AACTCAACGGTTTTCAAAGAAATGGAATAATTATTCACTTAGCACTGCTTCTTTAAATGTGTTCCATTTACGTTTCGTTCATTTAGACAGTTTTCTTATCCAACATACACTAATTGAAACTAGCTAACAGTAAATTTTCCGGTTTTGATACACAAGACTGAAAATACTTCAGTCTTTGTTGCCTTATGTAAGTCCTAATTGGATTGTTTTGACAGAAGGTTATATCATAAGTTTTATTGAACTTGATATGTAGCTAGCAGCCAAACTGAGGACGAAATGCTTTTCCTATTTGGAACTCGTCAGTCGGATGTATCTACCACATTCCAAAGCTGATATCCATTCAGGAACATGAACCTATTACCATTCTCTTCAAACGCCATCACGTTACCCACTTAGTTACTGAGTTCAGATAACCTCCCGTTTTTGAAATAGGGTGATAAAAGTAACCGATGCTCGAACCAATAATGATGGTGTCTCAACTAATTGACCTAATATACTACCGTTTATTGATCTACGAAAAATTAATTTGCCTCTAAGTCCCAAGATGGTAGCCAATTTAAAATGAATATATATATATATATATATATATATATATATATATATATATATATATATATATGACTCCAAAACCTATACAATCATATACATGAACTACATGTCCCCAACTAGGACATTTAGGGTAACCTCCCACCTTGAATAATTAGTTAATAATTGATCTACAATAAGTTTATCATTAAAAAAAACATATAACAACACTCAAATGAAAGCTTACTATTAGTAGAATATGAAAAACATTTCACAAACTATGTAATATCTTCTTAAAATATAACTAATGTTCATCAAAAATATAATGGATCCCAAAATTTATCATTCTCATTTATAGTTGTTACTGTCTAACAGAAAGTATTTGTACTCAATCCATTTTCTTTGGTATCAGAAGGGGTTTTGTGAAGGTTGTAATAATTTTGATAGTTGAGATCATGAGTAAATTGAAGCTAGACCACCATGAAGAACCTGTAAGTTCTGGATGGACAACTCATCCTAGTATGATGCTCCTCAACAGTGAGCATCCACAATCCCTCCTCTTGAGATTCGAACCCATGACCTATCAGTCTCACGCACGAGCACTTAAGTCCTACATCACTGAGTTGGCATCCAACGATGTCAATATCTAACTTCAACTAAATCACGAAAATGAGCGACACATCCATCATTGTCATCAGTGAGTTACTGTCTCACAATTGAGCCGATTGAACTCCACTAGTCGTTGCTTTTCACTAGAACTGCAGGATATACATATTAAAGTCAATCATTAGTGAGCATATGTTGATTAGTATCAGAAGGGGGGTTTTGTAAAGATTATAGTAATTTCAATATTTGAGATCATAAGTCAATTGAATCTAGACAATTACGATAGGACAAAACGACCATCTATTACTTCAAAGTTTCCCATGGTAGTCTAACTTCAATGAACACATAATCTTTTTCTTTGATTATAAATATCATCCAATTTGATTCAAATATTAAACTGATTTTTGATTTCCTAGTTTTCTTTTCTTTTTTTTCTCTTTTCTTTCAAAAAAAAAATGTATTTCCGATAAATCTATAGATTGTTAAATAAAATTTTGTTAAACGAAACATGATATTAACAATGACACATAATAAGTGTCTATATATATATTCTATTTATCTAAAATCTTTTCTTTTGATTTTTTTCTCTCCTAACTTAAAAATTACGAAAAAAATAAATAAAACAACGTTGAGTATGTATAGTGTTCACAACTGATTGATCACTGGGTGGTGATCAATGTCATGTGTGTCAAGTCTTTATTTAGTGCAGATCGAATGCTATCGAGCATGTTGTAATATGGCCACCAGTCTAGGTGACTAGACACTGAGGGCACTATATATTGAGATTAGATGATGGTTGGAGGTAGTCGACAGGATACATTGCAACATGATCGATAACATTCGATTTGCCCTAAATGAGGATTTGACACACATGGCATTGATCACCACCCAGTGATTGATCAATTGTAATTACATCTCAGTCCTACAGGAAGTCAGTCGCAGCTCGGATAGCTCAGTGATAACGTCTCTGACCGTGAAGCTGGGTGACGCGGGATCAAATCCGCCAGGGAGCACCAGTTCCCTCAAGATTACAGGTACACCTTGCTGACGAGTGCCAAGTAGCACGAAAACCGTGTCCAGGTTTTCCTGTTGACTACCTCCAACCATTATCTAATCTCAATGTATGGTGTTACATGACAGAGAAAATGGGTAAAAACAAACAGTTTTTTTATTTGCTAATAGAAATTACAAAAATAAAGAAATAAATAATTCATCCGTTTTACATTCTACTTGTAAACTGATACTAAAAAAGAAAAAAAACAGAGAGAAAATTTTTGCATGTTCAAAATTTGTTAAAACTAAAATAATTAACTTTTGTAATCAATAATTCAATTTAAAATTTATTAAATGTTTTAAAATTTGTTTTAATTCATTTTTCTAAAAAAAAATTGAACATTTAAACATTTAATATTATGTAACTGATGTATTTCTTTTTTTTATATTTTGTGGATAGAATATATTGTATAGAGATGAGCCAATCAGAATTGAGAAAAAAGTTTTTGTGTGCGTGTGTGTGCGTGTGTGTGTGTGTTTTGGAGGTTAATTCAAAAATGAAGGATTTTTAATTTGAATGGTTTTAAATTGATTGTTGTTATGTAAACTTAATGTATTGCCAAGTGAAATAATGGTTATGTTTACGTTTATGTAGTTATTTAATTTTTTTTTCAAAAAAAAAACAAACTAGATTATGCTATGAGTATTACATTAATTGTGGAATTTCAACATATTGAAACGTTAAATTATGCACTTACACAAAAGAAAATATACAGAACGAAGAAAGCCAATCGCTATTGCATACAAATATGGTGGATATGATAATTTTCACTTCATTTTGATTAGTCGCTAAGTAGACTGACATGATTGCGAAATTGAGTTGAGTTTAATTGCAGACATTAGTTTATAACACATAAAGCATGTTGATCTTAGACACTAACACCATTGGATGCCGGCTCAGTGGTCTAATGGTTAAGTGCTCAGGCGCGAAGCCAGTAGGTCCTGGGTTCGAATCCCGCGGGGTGCGGGATCGTGGATGCGCACTGCTGAGAGGTCCATACTAGGACGAAACGACCGTCCAGTGCTTCCAGGTTTCCAACGGTGGTCTAACATCAATTAATTCGTGATCTCAACCAATAAATGCGTTTTGTTAGATTACTGTTTTCTTTTCCATAAACTAATCATTTAAAGAAACTATTGTCTGACTGACTAATAACTGGCTAAAAGTTCATTTCAATTATTTCGGGTTCGTCACTTTATTACATTCTTACCATACCTTATATAGTTTAACGGTAATAGAGCAATAATATAGATGCTTTCTGAAATATAAGGAGTGTATCTAGTTCTCATTATGAATTTCCATATACTAAAAGTTAGACTTTATCAGAGTAACTTGAAATCATCTTATTTCGTCAGGTTTTCGTTAACATTTTTTGATAACCGGTATAGAATTATGAAGATTGTTGAGTTTTACTGTAATCATGGATCGACCAATTTTAGACCATCACTAAGAACCTCAAAGCAAAACACTGCCATTTCATCCTAATATGGGATTTCTCAATGTTGCACATCCAGGACCATCGATCTCGTACGCAAACATTTTACCTGTAGATCAATAAGCCGATATCAAACGGTGTCAAGATTTACCTTCAATCAATTTTTCAATAAATATAATCACATGTCAAATATATTATAGCAAAGTTGCCGATAAATTTACTCAGTTAAATAATAATTTTCAATATATCTTCATAACATGTAAGAAAGCATTCCACAATGTTGGTAGTAACAGAAATAAGAATCATATAGTTATATATATCACAGGTTTTAAGTAGCTGATGATAATTATAACGAAAGAAAATGAATTGATATTATTCTCTTTAAAGTTCTGTGTATTTTATATTACGAACAATCTGATCATACATATACTTGTTAAGAACATTTATAAATGAAAATTAAAAGGTCAACTAGACAGGTTAAGGGTAAGTCATAACAAAGGCAAAATATTAAGCTACACAAAAACAAATGTGATTACCAATTTGTATAATCAATCAGCATTACCAGGGTAGGTTAAGTGTAAGGACAAATTGGTTCTGAACACATAAAGGGGGTTTCAATTTCTGAATAGCCAAGGCTTCAATAAACCTTAGTATACGTCCTTGAAAGCTTTCGTATAACACTACAAATGCTGATTTGACGTCAACTTTATGACCCGTCTCAATCAAATGTTTCGCAATGGTAGATGATGTCAGTCTATTTTGTGATCGTATTTGACCATTGGAATCCAGTTGTTTCTGCAACCATTTTCGTATGTGTTCACCCATCCTTAATTTATATTGACTGAAATAAAAAAATTATGCAACCTAAAACTCAGTATATTTTGATTATCAACACTGTTATAATTTAAGTATTAAAACAATTTTATTGCATAACTATCTATTATGTTAGTAAATTTCATTCCGAACTGATATCAGCCCTTTTTTAAATCATTCTCAATAGTTGTTTGGTCTTTAATTTATGACGTTTACTGTAATAAAGACTCATAGGTCTTGATTGGATTTGAAAATGAAGACTTAATAATCCATAGATATCTTATCAACCATGAGAGGTTAATATTCTGTATTTATGTACTACATAAAGTGAAAAATGCAGACAGATGAAGATTTCTATACAAGAACAAAATAACTTTTCAGTATTGTTTGGTTTCTAATAGTTTACCAACTCATATAATTCCATAACGATAACTGATTTCATGTATATCAATAACGATATATTATGTTTCAATATAATCATTAAACCAATTACTCAAATAATCCCCATGTGTATAGTTTCTTTTCACTTTATCAAATGTTTTTTTTGTTTGTTTTTTAACTTTTCAGTGCCAATTTTTAATCATTGTCCAGTTCAAGCTAAAGATTATTGTCAAAATGGTGGAGAATGCTTTTATTTATCCGGAGATCCAAGTGTATATATGTGCAGGTCAGTTTGGAAAATTGTCATGAATATATATATGAAAAAGATATTGATTCATTTTGGTTTGCTTGTTTAAATCTTCCCACTAATGTTTTTGGACTGAAATTGGTCAGTCTCTTACTGGAATATCTACATCTTAAGCAGAAAATTCAGGCTAGTGGATATCTGAACTCAGTATCCAAGTGGATAATGTGATGACTTTTGAAGTGAACGGTACTAGGTTCCAGTACGGTAGTGAACTTCAACTCTAGGAATCAGATAAATTCAGTTGATGAAACGTACATCCAGATTTCCAGTTCAAGACACCATCCATCTCTGTTTATCATACAAAAGATTTTGTCTTAATTGTATGAAATCTTCAGAGATCATTTCAAATATGATATAAATAATAAATAAAGTATAAATTTATGGGTAGTGATATACTGAATGATGTTTTTATACATACATTCTTGACGAATTACAATTCACTGTTGTTCAATAACAGATACCTTTCCTCATGTGACATTTGGTCAGAAAAATATATTTGTGGTAAATTTTACTAAGACCGACGAATAGTTAGACCTAGTGTCTAAATATCCGTTTCCTTCTTCATTGGAATATCATACTAAAACGGTTATTTTCCTGATTCATTAGAGAATTTTTTTCATATAATGAAATGGAGATCTAATATAATTCAATAACAGTGTCTATTGAAAACAAATTATCCAACAATTAAGTTGTAAATAGTTACTTACTTACGCCTGTTACTCCTCATGGAGCGTAGGCCGCTGACAAGCATTCTCCAACCAACTTTGTCCTGGGCCTTCGTTTCTAGTTCCATCCAATTCTTGTTCATTTTTCTCATGTCTATCTCCATTTCCCGGCGTAATGTGTTCTTTGGTCTTCCTCTTTTCCTTTGGCCTTGAGGATTCCTGTAAATAGTTACCTGGTGTTTAAAAGATCAAATGAGTCTCAATGCAAAAATAAAATTATATAAAGATATTAATCAATATCGTTTGACTTCCCATCCAGAATATTTTCTGAATTGAATTTATCTGTCACTTCTGGTGTATGAGTTTCTTGTATACTTAGATCAATCTTCTCCTCACATCACTTTAATTATTATTTAAGTGAGATAGGCTAGAAAATTTACCTTCAATCAAGTGAGTTACACCTTATTCATAGTTAAACTGTTTAGAACAGAGAAAAACAAATAATCTACATTTATAATCTACGTTAAACAATCAATATCTATTCTGATTTTGTTTTTTAATTGACCAAAATAGTTTGTTTGCTTGTGGAGCTCTTATAGTCCTACTGTACAACATTAGCAACATTCATATCATGTCGAAAAGATCATTCTACTCATAAATGAAGTGTTAAATCAATTCATTATGATAGTCTTGTTTAATTGATCTATGATCATGTGGTTGATTCATTTTTATTGTATAAATTAGATCTATATTGATGTACTTCCTGATTAGTGATTACTCTGAATTTCATGCTTTTAAGACTTCTTCAACTTTCTTGGAATTCACTCTATATAATATTTGAACATTTTTCCAGTAAGAGTTATGTCTGTCTTTTGATTAGTAGTAGTGATAGCATACCATGTTGTTTTGATATAGCGTATACTCGTGTATAAGTAAATAAAGTATGATTCGCATTATCCAATTTAGTTCTCCTAACGTGTGGCATAACTTATTCCATAAGTGATGCATTTATTTTCCTTAGATGCTGTAACTCCGCTTTTGCATAAATTTCAATGAAGTTGATGCAATGGTTTGTGAGAAAACCTAGTTTCAAACAACTTCTCTCAATTATGAACAAAAACAAATAATATCAGATGGGTTTTTTTGGATATCATAGTAATTTCAGTGGTTAAGATCATAAGTTAGTTGAAGCTAGACCACCATGGAAAACCTGGAAGCACTAGACGGCCGTTTCGTCCTATTGTGGGACTCCTCAGAAGTGCGCATCCACGACCTCGCCCCCTACGAGATGCCAACCCAGGACGAAACGGCCGTCCAGTGCTTCCAAGCTTTCCATGGTGGTCTGTCTTCATCTAACTCATGATCTTAACCGTTGAAAAAACAAATAATTTGGATTGATGAAGGTATACAAAATAGGTGAACCAACACCACTAGATTGATCCAATCTTTTTGCTTATTTCTACTCCATGTCAGCATCGAATTAGTAGATAAAAGACTTATTCACATATATTTAAGCATTTTAGGGGATAATGATCTGATATCGATAAGATCAGCATTTGTAAATTAAATTTATACTAATCCCAGCTACATTGTGTATTGTTATGGTCTGTCATTAAAATGCAAATGTGAAAGCTTCTAGCAAATCAGTGAGAGTATTCACTTAAAAATCTGATTGATTATTTTTCTAAATGTTGTTTATACTACTTATATTATACGTAGCCTACCTTTGCTTATGAGAACTTTTAGGAGAATTTTGAATTTTTTTTTAAAAATAACTACTTATGGGATAAAGAATTATCTCGGTAACTGTCATGATTTTCAAAGAACGAAATGAATTTGGCAGAACAATTAATTACCGCCTGGTGACAAGAAAATCAATTGATTAATATTATAAGGGGGGAGGGAGGTTAGAAATTAACAAAGAATCATATAAAATGATCAACTTCTATACAATTTAATTCAGTAAACGTATAAATTTTATACATTAAATAGATTTCCTAATTTTTCAATATAGTAGACTGAATAGTTTTCTGACATATTATAATCATTTAAAAGGAAATAGTTAAGGAATTATTTTAATCAAACGATCAAGTTTAGTTTGCATAAGTTTCCAACAGACTTTTCCACTCTTTTTAGTTTTTTATGAGAAGTAAATTAGGTTAAGGGGACTTCAATAGGTATTTTTAGAAGATATAGTGACATCAATTTGGCGTCTAATGTCAACTAAGTCTACGTGAATGAACCTCTTGATTATTTATGTCTGTCATGTTTTAGTGTATTAAAATTTATGTTCGAAGTTAACATGATGAATTCATCTACTCATATACTCAATATACTTAACTTTCTAGTAACAATCAGCAGAGGAAGATTTAGATGATAATGGGTGGCACTAGTAAGCTTTTGTTTGTTTCGTGAACTCATTTTTGACTAACTGTAATCTCTGTCCAGTTACTATATTCATATTATCATATAGTTATGAAACGGGTTATATTGGAACACAATCAAGAAAATTTGTCCACTATTGTGAGTTATTGTACTAACTTTAACCATCTAGAAATTAACTTTTCATTGGTTAGTATTCTTGCATGACTGGTAAGAACTAAGCCTAACAGTCAGATCTTAATTCATTGGAGAGTAACTGTTCTACAGAACAGATTTCATCCTAAATTTATCACATCATTTCCGTGTTAATGATTTGCATAGACATATTCATTTTCTACATAATATGTTCAGGTTAATGACCTTGTCTTTGCTTTAAAATCATTTAGAAGCTTGGTTTCGTAGACAACCGACATATCATCGATAGATCAATAAATTTGTCCTAAACTTTGAATAATCAAAAGTTTGCTCATTAACTTATTGAATGCTTTATCCATAATAGAAGTTTAATAAAAAAAATGCATACTAACAACTCGATAACAGGTTAGATATAGCATCTAGATAATTATCAGTCACCTTCGGTTAATATTGCTTTTAGCTTGCTAAATACAAACATGATATTACCATGATATTTGGTAAGTCAGCTTAGTGAAAAAGTTGTAAATATGATCGATAGCGTTTAATAAACATTAATGACTGAAGTATTGAAGATTACAACGCGCTGGTAGATTGGTGTAAATTTTAGAATCTTGTACTAGTTTCACTGATATGAACTTCAAGAATAATGTTTCTAAATTTCTGTTGATTAAAGAATCCTGAAAAACTGACGACTCCTTTAAAGTAGAACAGTGGAAAATCTCAAATTATGAAGTGACTTTTAGATGATTAAGATTATATTTGTTAGTCCATTCATGAAAATTGTCAACTTTCCTCTATTACCATAAGGGCTGATGTAAATTGTTTAATGTTGAAAGTATCATTACGAACTACTCTCATTCAAACAATCAGTGGGAAATAGAGAGTAGTGGTCAGCTGTTTCGTCCGAATGTGAGACTCCTCAGTAGTCCATATCCACAACCCCACAGAATCATCGAAGACATTACTCCCATGTCTCGTATAAAGCCTCTAATTTTTAGACCATTGAGATAGTATTCAATAATTTATATATCTAAATTCGATCAATCCGTGCAATTGCGCAATCATCCTTCAATATAATCAGTAAGTAACTATCTCATACTTGACATGGTTAAACTCTATTGACCACGGTTTCTCGTCAGAACTAATTGAATCATTTTCCGAAATTAAGCTCTAGCGAGCAAACGATGGTAATCGTGACAAAACAACTGTCCAATACTTTCTGGGGTTTTTTTCGTGGTTGTTCAGCTAAGATCAATCTGTGATGTAAACTATAGAATCTCGCTTTTAAATTAAATTTACCGAATTACTTGTATTTAATCCTTAGTAATCTGTTTTATACCAAAACAAGATAACTATTTAATTAAATAACTGTGAATTTCGTCTCATTACAATAGTCCATGTCACCAAACAATTACCTCAATATTTTTTTATAAATCTACTCATTACCATCTATCTAAGATTCACTTTTTTTATTACAATTCCTAATTGACTCTATTCAGTAGACGGAAGTAATTATGTCAAAGTCTACTGATATTCATTAATAAGTAATATTTTCGTCACCAAAATAAAAATCATATACAGTGACTTCACTTAATAACCATTCTTCAATAACTAGACTAAGATATCAATGTTTTACGTAATAATGAATTCAATAGTATGATACAATCCCTATCCAGTTACTATGCTCATATTATCATCTATAATAAGAAAAGTAGCAACAACAACAACAACAAATGAAAGCAATAATTTATGTCTATTTTCCCCCCTAAGAATAATAATAAAATAATCATTAAAAAATGTAATTACTTTTCAATTACGTTACTAATGAAGAAAAACCCATATCACGTTGTTATAGTTCTCTTATGAAAATGATGCTTAGTTTTATTATTTTATAATAAAATTCTAATTAAATTCATTTTAATAGTTTGTTTCTACCGCCCTCCCCCTTCCCCCTCCCTTTTTTTTATTATCCTGTATATCTCGCTTATTATTATGACGATGATGATTATTATTATTGAGTTTATCCAACTGGTTACATTTAAATCATCTCAATATGATGTAACTTTAAACCGACCTTTCATATATAAGTTACATCATCATTGTAAAAATGTACAGAAATAAATGACATAACTTTAATCAATCTTATTGGAACATTATTCTTCTAGTAGATTTTCTTTTCATTGTCACCAGTTCTGGTTGATGAGTCAATTTTGTTACAAGATAAATAAAAACAAAAACAACAACTAAATTGTGATAAATTTTAGAATATAGTTTTTTTCTCTTTTTTTTTCTTTAAAGAATATTTTTAGTATAGAGATATTGTTAATGTTTTTGTTAGATGGTTTACTGTACTGCCGGCAGTATACTAGAAGAGTGTTGTATCCGGATGAGAATAATGAATGGTAATTTTTGGGATCCAATTATGGATCAATATTATGAGTATATTTTTTATTGTATAATTGTTATGTAAATAAACTGCCCCTCTTATTATGAGCTTTATGTTGACCTATGAACTATTATTGAACGATTTACCATTTATGAATTATTCGCTATCTGTTAATCGCTACCTCGGTCATTCACAGCCACGTTTGTCTAATTATTGTACAAATGTTATTTTCTATTCTGTTGATACGTTGTGGTCGGGTTGATTGGTATATAAACAGAGTATGCTTGAAATACAAGGATTCATATTACAGAGGCTGAGACTTGCGTTCTGGACTCAACTGGCTGGGATAGACAGGGAAGCAGGGCCAATCAGAACTCTGGGCCGTTTTTATGTGTTTACGCGTCTTTGGTTCGATCGATAATACGCTGTCGTCTAATCTGCAGACACAAGTTACAACAAAGAGGAAGTTATGAATGTTAAAAAATGTTTAAAGAATAACGGATATCCACTGAAATTTATTGAGAAATATGGCAAACGTGAAGATAAAAAAAACCAAAGAAATTACAGCAAATAAAAAGCCTATTTTTATTCAACTTCAATTCAAAGGTGATAATGTCACAGGATCAATCAATATGAGACTAAAAACTGCATTGACAAGAACTTATGCTACAGCAAAATTGATTGTCCCCACCAAAACAACATGTTCATTGACACAATCAAAGGTTGACAAGTATCTCTTTCATGTTATCACTAACTGTGTATACAAATTCACATGTATCTGTCAAATCAGTTACATTGATAGAACAGAAAGGAGAGCCTACGTCCGATTCAAAGAACATATTCCGAAAAGTTTAACATCAAATGGACTGAAAGCATTTAACAGTGCCATCGCAAGACATCTCCTTGACAGAGGACACGAAGTCGATACACTGAAGTCGTTCAAGGTGATTAATAAACAATCAAGCTCCAACCTTCAGAAATGTGCTGAAGCGTTAGCAATCTAAAGTATAAAACTAGACCTATGTATGCAAAAAGAGACAGTAATAAATCTTTCTTTACCCTGGTAACAATGTCCCACCCCTTTTTATTTATTACGTCATTCACTATTCCAACTCTTCCTGAAGTTTAAAATTACGTCATTCTTAACTAACTGATTTCAGTTCCTATTTTCTTTATTATCATTAATCTATTTTCATGAGTTCTAATCACTATTTCAATGTTCCGGAACTTCCCCTCTCAAACTTTATTTATTTGAGACAAAATTTTATAACCTCATTAACTCTATCGGAATCTTTGCTACACCATGATGCATTTATTCATACTCTTATGTATAAGTATGTCAATATCTGTAATAATGTTGAATTTTAAATATTTTAGGTTGTAAGCAGCTGATGAGATCCTAATGAAATAAAATGAATCCATTTATTATTCTGCACCAATCTTTGTTCTTGCTCCCTTTAAGATGGTTTACTGTTTAAATAAGTTTATGTAAAGATATAGTCAATTATAAATAGAGACAGGGTTTTGTGGATATTATAGTAATTTTAATAGTGAAATTTATGAATCAATTGAAGCTAGACAACCATGGAATGCCTGGAAGCATTGTTAAAATTACTATAATATCTAATTATATGCTCACTAGTGATGATGATCTCTAAGAGGTATGCAGCGTGGCGTCGAGTCGCGGTAGACTATGAACACCGTTACAGAGAAACACGTGCCAAACGAATCCATAAAATCCCCCGGAATCCAAATATCAGAAGGCAGTTGATGGACCAAGTCGAGATATATTTGCTGGCGATCTCGTGGTATCGAAAGAGTACCGAGATCGTGCCAGGATACAAGCTTGGTTACAGAGCGTAATCGAATTCGCGCGAGGTCACAATCAAAGTGTAAGAAAAATAATGGAAGCATAATATAGCTGTCATTAGCACAGTTAAACAAAGAGCACATTAAACAAGCACAGGTACAATTGGTTATAATAATAATAATTGTTTTCCTTAAACCAGTCGTGTTCTCATGATAAAAGTGAGTCACTACAGGTATTTCCTGGAGTTCTAGTGAAAAGCAGTAACTAGTGGAGTTCAACCGAATCTGTTATGAGATAGTAACTCACTGATGACAATGGTGGATGTGTCGCTCAATTTTGTGAATTAATTGAAGTTATACATTAATAGCGTTGTATGTCGGCTCAGTGGTCTAGTGGTTAAGCGTTCGCGCGCGAGACCGATAGGCCCTGGGTTTGAATCGTGGATACGTACTGCTGAGGAGCTCCACAATAGGACGAGTTGTCCACCCAGTGCTTCCAGGTTTTCCATGGTAGTCTAGCTTCAATTGACTCGTGAATCCGACTATTAGAACTAATATAATCAATTGTTTTGAAAGAGATTAAACAATATACGATACTAAACTACCGATAGTCTATGCAACAGAATAACAGTGATAAAAGACTCTTTTATATCACATTATAATGACAATTTACAAATTTCATTATATTTAATTCTGTAATAAGTTTAAAATGGGATAAATTCAGTGGTCAGTTAAACTGATGAGAACAGAGAAACAACGCACACCCGAAATTCCTCTAGCTACTTTTAACGTTGAAATTTATCCATCCTATACATACATCGTCAACCAACTCTGGAAGGTTATTTACTTAGCAAACATACATTGCTCAACGATGCTTAGGTGATATTTGCTTATGATAATCATATTACTTGTGAGCGGCCAAAATGTTTTTGACAATTTTTATTGAATATTTTCACTCCTTAAATTTATAACAACCGTTTCTATATTATTAGTATAATATTTTGTGAAAATTGTAAAACCATGAACTGACCCTTCTTAGACCATCATAAGAAACCTAAAAGCACCAAACGGCCATTTCATTATAGCATGAAACTTCTCAGAAGTCCATATCCACGAACCTATCATAGAGAATCCAAACCAAGACGTTCGGTCTCCCGGACATGGTTTAATTCAATGTCTTGCGTTTGATTCTCTATGGAAGGGTCGTGGTTAGGCATTTTTCAAAAGTTCCATACCGATACGAAACAACTGCCCAGATTTCATGGTTTTTTCATCTGACTGGTTATATTAAACTCGTCCTTTTTTAATGTTAAAACTCATTCAACAAGCTGCTTAATAGTACTTTCAAACAACGCAGTTTTGTATATTTTCAGTTTATATTATCTAATTAACACTTCAGAAATTCCTTACTCTTATTCTTTTGCATATAGTTAGTAAATGAAATTGACTAGATTGAGACAAGTTGTAACCTGTATATTATTAGGTAGACGGATCAAAGACGCAACACTACCCATAAGCTCCATGTATTTTATTAGTATTAATAGTATTAACTTACAGTTTGGACTTAAGTGGAAATCATAGCATAATAGTTTAATCACTGACTTGAAGGTTTTAATAATAACTAGAATCTAGATCATGTCCTTATCAACTTTTACTTCCCTCCTTTCCAGATGGCAAAAAGTCAGCTTCACTTCACTACACTGGAATACTTTTCTATTCTAGTTTACGACTCTGAAGTAATACTAACTCACAATTCCATGCAGGATGGAATGCAAGATCTGAAGTGTCGATATAAACTGACTTTGAATTCTATGAAATTCCCTATAAAATTACCACAACAAATAATTCATTACTTTTGTCAAAAATTACGCAATTTCCTTTATTGATCTTTGTACTTTTTTTTCATTTCAGCTGTTTTATGCCATTCTATGGACCACAGTGTGAACATAAAGCTCCTGGTAAAGATAATCAAATTGAAGTTGAAGAAATACAAAGTAAGTTATACAGTGAAAATATTACATTATGGTTTGGGTTATTGTTATTGATCAATATGCGTTTGACAACTTTCGTCGTAACAAAATGATAGTAAATTAGTATATCATTAGTCTCGTTGCAAAGATTAATATCTTACTTAGCCAATCGTTCACTTTCATTAGCTTGAGTTCAGTTTAAACGAGATTTGAATTAATATCTAGGGTCTTTGAATATTCAATAAGCTTATGCTTAATGTTTCAATATCTAATCAGTTCGTAGTATTGTTCATTTAGTTGGGTAATGTTTCATACTGGACTTTACATTATAGATCTCCTTTAACACCGTCACATTTACTTTTTTTTCAAAACCCATGTCACTTGCGTTATAGTATTATGTTCATAGAAGACAATTATAGATTATTTTAGTCAACTGAAATGAACTAAGAGATGATCAAAAGTTCTAGAAACGACACGGGCATCTAACATTGAAGATATTGGGGATAATTCTAGTTCAATATTTATTTAACTGGTATTCCGATGATGAAAGAAATTTTTTTAAGATTCAAACTTGCAAACCCTATACTTAATGATAAAGTCCAATGATGAGTTTTATGAAGTTAAAATGACCGAAATACTTTCAATATTATTTAAATCAAAAATCTAACTGAACTGATTGTTATCGATCACTTAACTGATGACTCTTTGCCACTCATTTAGACTTGAAGGATAATGTATAGAGAGTTATTTCATTTCTAAAAATAGAAATCATTGAATCATGAGGACGTTCATACTACTAGGATAAACAGTGACCATTACCTACTAACTGGCTGGTTGATCACATTGTGTCAACAAGATTAGTATAAACAACAGTTGTACAGTGGACGAAATAATTATTGAGAATGACAAATGAATTTGCATAAATAATCCTCTCTGAATGCACAAACCATACAAAAATGAAATATATTTCCATGTTGGTTAGATGATAATACACATCGGATCCTGAGAAACCCTACAAACATCCTTGACTATATCATGAATCAGTAGAATAGACTAAAAAAGTAATTTACCATCTCAGATACAATCTACATAAATAGCAAATGTTGTTTACAATTCAACTCAAACGTAATATTGTAGTGTCACTTATTATGTTAAGCCCATATACTTTATTGTAACTTTCGGACAGCCCAGTCTATTCATTCTACTTGAGTCATATTCTGACCTTGTTAATTATTCGCTTATCAATCTTGACTTTTTATATGAGCGTATATATATGTACACTTCATATCCCATGTCTCATCACAGGTCTGTAGCTTATACTGTCTGCCTATAAATATTGAGTTGACTTACCAGCCATCTCCCCTGGGCGTCGTTTTGCTTTGTCCTATTACATTCACTTTACACACAAAATATATGTATTCAGAGGCCATTCTCGTTAATTGACTTATCTAAATTCCGTTATTGATTAACGTGATTTAAGTAGATGATTGTGTACGAGGATATGTGATAACAAACATTCGTACGATCTAAGTGGAGTCAGATCAACGGGCCACTAAAATATCCTACTCATGACTTGGTTACACAACAGATACATTCATTATTTTCAAAGCATTTTTCAAATTAAATTTACCTAATTTTTATTCAGCTCTTATTAGAATACAAGTTGAGCGTCATGCAAAACAAAACAAAAACAAATCCGAATCTGGTTATCTTAATTCTAATTATCAAACCAATTCATTGTTATTTACATGAACCATTGATTTCAAGGAGTGATATTATCTTCACTAGTTTTAAGTGAATATCTCTTCTAAATTAAATTTTAATTCATAAATAGAATGAATTGAGATTGATCATATCTTTGTGATTACTTTTTTCTAACTCATTGTAAAGTTGTTTAATGGATAAGCATTAGGGTTATAAAGATTGTTAAGTATTTGATTGAGATCATTGAGATCGATTGATATTAGACCATTATTGAAAACCTGGAAACACTCAAAGGTCAACTCATCCTAGTATGGGACTGCTCATTAGTGCGCAACTACGACCCCGTATACGGGATTCGAACCCAGGACCTTCGTTCTCACTCGCTAATGCCTATCCTCTAGACTAATGAGCCGTCATCCAACGGTGTTAGTCTAACTTCCATCGATCCATAAATGGTTTCACAACCATTCGTCCATTGTCTGGGGTAGATACCAGTCTCTGCACGATACAGATTGATAAGTGTTAAGCAATGCTCATTGATATATATTTTAGAACTATTGATGATATATATATATAATGATTTATTTACCTCTTATTTTCATCATAACAATAAAATCTTTTATTTCCTCCTCCTTTTCATTATTACCAATATTATCAGTTTCATAGTGAATAAACAGAACGTAATTTTTAATGACAAAACGATAAATAAATCAATTTTTATCATTATGAAGATTTATGGAGACTGTAGTAGACTGACAGTTGAATTCACGAATCAATTTAAGCTAGTAAACTATTAAAAACCTGAAGGCACTGGACGGACAGCTCGTCTTAGTATGAAACTCTTCAACACTGAGCATCTACGATATGTCACATAGGACTAGGACCCAGGATCTTGTATCTTGAAAGTGAACGCTTAACCTCTAGATCACTGAGCCGGCCAACTGTGTTAGACAGTAAGGTGTTACAGTTTCCATTACGATAAGTTCAGGGTGTTTTTCAAAACAAAGAATGTTGTCGTTACAGAACACAAAATCTAACAAAGATATCTAAAGTAATAATTGAAATATTTAAACGTTTTTTTCTTGTAAAATTATGATCAAACTATATTCGTATTTGAAATGATTTGTTTCACTGTTGATGTAAAGTTGATAAAAACATGATTTGTTTTAACAAATCGTTCAGTTTTATTTAAAAGATAATAAAATGAATTCATTTAGGTAATGTGGGCCGATAGATCCTGAATCCGAATCCCGCGAGATTGGATCGTGAATGTGCACTGTTGAAGAGTCCCACGCCGTTCAGAGCTTCCAGGTTTTTCAATGGTGGTCTAGCTTCAAATGACTTATGATCTCAACTATTAAAATATAACTATCTGTTTAAGAAAATTAAGTCATTGTTTTCAACGAATAGCGCATATCTCTCTCATGTAGAAAATGAAACGAATATAAGGAAAGTTAAAATTCGCTGAGCTATTTTCCGGATAATTATTATTTATATTTTCAGTGCATAATTAGTAGATAACTATAATATTACATTTCTATATTCCCTTTATTGTAAGCTTCCAATTGATCTATTAATTGTTTTTATACATGTTACTGTTCTTCAATTATTGCTATTTGATTATGTAATGTATGCTCCTTCCTCAGTCACATTTTGTATGATTGTGCTAAGAGCACGAATTCTAACTTGGTGTGGTATGTGGTCAGGGATTTTCAATACATTATTTTATAAGTTTTTAGCCGTGATTGAATTAGATACAATAGAGAACTAATCTGCCTACTACCAACGTCTTCTGATTGGCCCTTAGGTTAGAAAGGGGCCCGAGGATCAATAAGTATTAAGGCTTTGATTATCATTCATTAGTTAGTCTATAAATTCATGAAATTGGTCACTGGTCCCACTAGCAACACAGTACGTGATATTAACTAGTCATTCTCAATCATTAACCAGCCTTCTTTTTTTCGCAAGGTACAACAAATGTCATCTGGAATTACAATGAAAGCTTCGCAATTAAACCATCTAGCATAGAGAATACAGCACCTCCGCCACACCTTATATTATTTAAGCTTTAAAAAGCATAAGATTAAATACATATTATACAAGATCATAGCACAGCATAAATGATAATTCACCATATGTACATATTAGTGATTTTCTTGATAATAGTTTGAATAATGGGTTCATAAGGAATTAAGAATGATCTATGTACGAAAAATAATATGACATAATACACATGAGACCGATCAACTGCAGTCCTAAATAAAAATTAGAAGATACAAGTAGAACAACACCAAGTGAATTTAAACTTCACTTCATTGCACAAACACTTGGCTATCAGGACTCAGTAGCTAAGTGGATAATATGATGGCGTTTGAAGCGAATGGTACTAGGTTAGAGTCCCAAAGTGAACATCAACTCTGTAATGCAGGTACATCTAGCTGACCAGTGGTCCCAAATAGAAAGAAACGCGCGTCCTGGATTCCACTGCTAGCCACTATCCATCTTTGCTTAAAAACCTTGTGACTTAAGGCTATATTGAGGCAATCATCAGAGGATGCACATATGCCAACATGACACTGATCAGTTTATGTCCTAAATAACAATCGGAAGATACAAGTGAAACAACACCAAGTGAATTTAATATGACAGTATTTAATACGTCAATTGGGAACTTACAACTAGGAATGTATAGGAAAACCCTAAGTTGATCATTTAATTAATACAAATTAAAAAGATGTATGTAAAATGATTCAAGGGAGAATAGTTTTCAAAGTTTCCTATTCCCATTTATTCACCCAGTCATAATAAATTCAATGAACTTAATTTCATTTAATAAATATTAACTATCAATTAAAGTGTTATTAAATTAGTTTAATTATCAAATATGCTTCTATCTTACCATAGATGGAATTGTGACTGGTTAGAGAATTTAGAAAGCGCATTTCGTGTTAATGTTTCCAATGGGACAAGAACACAACATCTTTCTCTTCAAGCATATTAACATGATATACACTAGGAACTAACTTTTGGAAATCAATATTAGCAATATAAGTATATCCAGCTGATAGATTTCATATAAGACTAAATATAGGTCGTGGATTTCACCCTAACCCACAATCCCATCTATTCTATACAAATTTCAATATAGTGAATATATCAAGATGGTTTCTACAAGGTGCATATATGTCAACAAAGATTGATCAGAAATCAATTATGAATATTAACAATAGAATTACTGAGAAGGCAAAGCAAGGACAGCATTCCTACAATTGAAGAACATATGGAACTCAAAACAACTTTCAACCAATATCAAAGTGAGAATCTTCAATACGAATGTCAAGGCAGTTCTACTGTACGGAGCTGAAACTTGGAGAACTACAACAACCATCGTCAAGAAGGTGTAAGTATTTATAAATAGTTGTCTACGCAAGATACTCAACATTCATTGGCCGGATACCATCAACAATAGCCTTTTGTGGGAGAGAACAAGCCAGCTTCCAGCTGAAGAGGAAATTAGGAAAAGATGATGGAAATGGATAGGACATACATTACAGCAATCGTCAAACTGCATCACGAGATAAGCCCTAACTTGGAATCCTGTAGGAAGGCGGAAAAGAGGAAGGCCAAAGAATACATTACGTCGGGAAATAAAAGCAGATATGAAAAGGACGAATAACAACTTGAAGGAGCTGGAAAGGACTGCCCAGGACAGGGTTGGATGGCGAATACTGGTGAGCGGCCTATGTTCCTTCACGAAGAGTAACAGGCGTAAGTAAAGTAAGTAAGTAAATTACTTAGAAGTATACTAATAATGATACTTTTACAAAACTACTCATTTCTAAAGTTTAATAAAGTAATACATAATGGTTTTTATTCTTGTTTTTTTTTCATTTTAGAAAATATAAATCATCATGAGAATCATGAGAATAATGAAGGTTTTATGATTAAAAGATCAGTTGATCGTGCAATGACGCTGACTGCATTAATATTCATTGTGGTCACATTTTTAGGAATGTTAATTTTAGCTTGGTATATTTCTAGGTAAGTGATTATTTTTCAATACAGAAGTTGAATTCACTATGGTGATGTGCTAAATGTGATTTTTTTTTAAAAAATAATTTTATGCTGATTGGCTTTGAGGTACTGACTTATTTTAACCAATCAGAAAGTGACAAGTATAAAGAAATTTACTTAATTACGCTGTTATGTTTCCGACTAGGGATCTCTAAACAACTCTGTTTTAGGCTCTTTTTCTAGCTATTTCCAAGTACTATTCATTCTTTTGATGCCTGGCTCCAATTCTTGGTTCAATATATTTTTTGGTCCGTTTCTTTTATTTTCCTTAGAGGATTGTATGTTAGGTCATGCTTTATGGTGCTTTTTAATAATTTCCGCAATGTTTTTCCTGTCTAGTCCCAGCATCTTTTGCTAATTTACTCATCAGCACGAAGCTAACTTGTTCTCTGACACAGTATGTTGTTACTATTGTATCCGGCCAACGGATATTGAGTATCTTGTGTGGATAATTGTTTATAAATACCTAGACCCTTTTGACGATGTTTATAGTAGTTCTCCAAGTTTCAGTCCCATACAGTAGAACTGTCTTAATTTCTGTATTCAGAATTGTGACTTTGATGTTGGTTGACAATTTTGTTTTAATTCCAGAGGAAATAAGTAATTTCCACATGATTAATGAACTTTTCTTAGTTTCAAATAGGTTCTTAACTGCTAGAGTCAAAGGTTAGTATCGGGCTTTGGTTCATGGAGTTAACGTTAGGATTTCGGGCTTAGCATCATAATTCTTATCTTAAATCTGTTTTTAAACCCGAAATCTTTATTCTTAAGTCAATATCATATCCTTAATCTTATCTCTAATTCTAAACCCAAAATTCATAACCATAAGCGTAGTACTAGCTCTTAATTCTACATTCTACATCTTGGTTCAGATTGGACAATGAATCAGTAGAACTTCTGAACAATACCTATTTTATTATATTTCGTTCAGTAGAATTAACAACGATATAAGAGATGGTCATCATTTCAATTTGATACGGTTCGATAAACGGCAATGATATATTTACAGGGATGAGCTTAAAGCAATCCCAATGAATGATAGCTAATTGTTGTAGAAATAGAAAACAGCTTTTCTGTATAATTAGTTCATTTAAAAATAACAATAATATTATAAAAGGTAAAAATAAATTTCATTTAAAGGTTACTACTCCTGCAAAACACGATAACAGTTATGTCCGAATTCGTCCACATGGATATAGAACACTTGTTTTCTTGAACATTCATATGAATCCAGATAGTATCTTAGACATTTATACATTGCTACTAGCTAGTGATTAAAAAGTTATAAAGATTTAGCATTAAGATTAGGGACTTAGGATTAAGGTTTAAGATTAACAATATAGAATTTGTATTTAATGATAGGCTTGGGTTCAATGTCATTTACAACATACATTAGAAAGAATTAACATTTAACATTCTTTATACTACGAAGAATTAGTAATATGTCACGATCTATACTTGTGCAATCTAGTATTTGATATAATGAACAGTTTAAAATATATTTTCTCTCTATCAGGGATACTAAGCTTAATACGATAATGAGATTAGTCACGTTATATGAAATTCATGATCCACGACCAAGAATAGAGAACTAGAATGAGTAAAAACTACATAATACTTTATTCAACACAGTTATAAACAGTCAAACTCAGTGAGTTCAGAGTAGAAACGAATGAGAACAAAAGAAATCACATACTTTTGATAGTCAGTAGACTAAATGCTTATTTATCCATACTTTCACTATCGTCTATCAGTATTAAAGAATAATGTGTGAACCACTTCAATCTTATTGATAAATTACAGACTGAAATAGATGAAATTAATGCAGTTTATTCTAACTATTTTACACTACTTACATATGAGTGAATATTACTTTAGTGCCTTAGACCGGCAATTTTTTTTAATTCCCAAGTGATTTATTCATTAGAAACAATTGGATTTTATAACCAAATCGAACAAACAATAAATGACATCAAAGATTAATTTGCAATGTATTTCTGTTTAAAAACTGAAACTGAAAACATTCATCATGTAGAGCTACTCTTAGTATCAAGATGGGCTTATAGTTGAAAAAAAAAGAAAGTTCATACCAATCTAAGACCATAAATGATCAGTTATTTAGTAATCAGAACAAGATTTTGTAGAGATTGTAATAATCGAATGGTTGAATTCATCAGCCGATTAAAGTTAGACCACCATAGAAAACCTGTAAGCATAGAATGGCCTTTTCAATTTGGAGAGTCCTATACCAGGACGAAACGGTTGTCCAGTGTTTCGAAATTTTCCATGATAATCTAGATTAAATCGACTCATGAATTCAATTATTAAAATGACTACAATCTCCACAAAAAAAACTCATGAATCTGATAATTCTTAATTTATTTAAAATTGTTTAAATGGAACATAATCAGGTCATAAATAAATTATATATTTGTAATATCCCAATGAATAGAAACATTAGATTTTCTGACGTTTCGTGACTTAGTGTAAGTCACTTCTTCAGAGAATTTACAACCAAATTAAAATTAATCCTAGTTTAAATAGTACAATAGAACTATTATTTAAACTTGGATTAATTTGAATTTGCTTATTTATTCTCTGAAGAAGTGACTTGCACTAAGTCACGAAACGTCAGAAAATCTAATTTTCCTACTCATTTGGGATATTACAAATATATTATTTATTTACTTATAACAATCTATTCAATGCTCAATTTATTCGAAATGATCAAATCAAACCTTGATAATGATCCCTATAAACAGGTCACGTTGTATATTGTTTAAATTAATATATATGAAATTAATTTATTTAAACAAAGAATTGAAAAAACAAGGAATTACTTTTCATGATCAGAATCCTCGTTTTTGAACGGTTATCAAGGTCAACTTGATATTTTGTGAATAGAATACATGTTCATATTCAATAATTTAATATATTATTGAAATTTGTACATAAAGTTATAGAGCGAAAATTAAACAATCATCTTTTCAATGTCATTCATTCACTTATTATTATCTAACTTGTGCTTAAACCATAGTTTTAATAAATTAAATACTAACTAAAGTACTATGTATTATTATAATATTTACTCTATTACTATAATATCCACAAAACTCCTACTGATAGTAATCAACATATGCTCACTAATAACTGGCTTTAAGATGTAAATCCTGGAGTTTTAGTGAGAAATAGTGACTAGTGGAGTTCAACTGGATCAGTTGTGAGATAGTAACTCACTAATGACAATGGTGGATGTGTCGCTCATTCTCGTGGATTATTTGAAGTTAGATATTGACATTGTTGGATGCCAACTCAGTGGTGTAGAGGTTAAGTGCTCATGCGCGAGACTGATAGGTCATGGGTTGAAATCTTGCGAGGTGGGATAGTGGATGAGCACTGCTGAAGAATCCCACAATAAAACGAAACGACTTTCCAGTGCTTCCAGGTTTTCCATCGTGGCCTAGCTTCAAATAACTCATGATCTCAACTACTGAAGTTACTAAAATATCCACAAAAACCCCTTCTGATATAATTAATAATTTAATACCTAATTAAGGACTGAAGTGAAGATGTTGTCAGAAATAAGAAAAAGCTTGTCATATAATGTATAATTAATCTGATAAAACGTTTCGAGAGTAGCTATTTTCACAGTTCAATTGACGAGCCGATCTAAACTAGACTAACATGGGAATGCAGGTTTCGAGCCCTGCGCGCGAGATCATGGATTAGCACCGTTGAAGAATCCCATACTAGAGTGAAACAGTTGTTGAACGCACCAAGATTTTCTTTGATGGTTTAAGTTGGATCGACCCATGAATTCAACTGTGAAAATAAGTTAGAAGCCTACTTTATGTGATACGACAAATAGATTTGTAGATGGATAGATAGATAAATAGATAGATAGAGAAGCAAGGAATATTTCTGGGACATCCAAATGACCTTGGAATTTTAGAAGCTCATTAAAAGTTTGATCAGTCGGACTAAAGAAAAATGTAATCAGTTGAATTTTCAACTTTTGAAACTTCACTGACGTCTAATAACTTTTCAAGTATTTTTTAACGAATGTTTCATCAGTTTTTTATTTATTTAGTATCATCTTGTGAATTCACAAATAACTTTGGTTTAAAAATCATTATTTTAAGTTACTTTTTACTTGAACACTGCCATTACATTATCTATTTAACTAATAATCCTCTTCTTGGTTGTATTCGTCACAGATTATTGTCATTTGAAGCACCAGTGAAAATGAAGATGCACTAGACAGTTGTTCTATCCTAGTATGGAACTCTCCAACAGTCCTTATCTACTACTTTAACATCTGCCAAGATCAATCTGTGACAAATGCATCCTGAACATTAGATTCATCCTCCACAAAACTCCTGAAACTTATGATCATATTACTATTTTTTAGAAAACTTTGGGTATTTCACGACTAACTTAGACCATTGTGACAAAACTTACATAGTTATATGTGAATTAATTGGGAAAAGGTGTTTGATCACAAAATTCCTTAATATTTTTTTGGTATCAATCCTTAACATACCTAGTGGACTTACACATATTCACTGATATTTTGTAACAGTTTGTTGTATTACTTATTTTCCACTTTTCAGTAATATACTCTTCATTTTACATTTTAGGCGTAGACGTAAAGATTATGCTAGATGGAGAAAAATGACCGAGTTAGCAATGAAGGTATTTCTGTTTAAAATGTTTAATGATAGTATTTGTCTTGAAAAAAGCACTGTCTAACTGTTTATTATAGCATATAGAAAAACATTTTATCTTACTAAACTGGCTGCAAATACAAATGGTTAATAGTTTACAAGTTATACTTTCGATTACGATAAATGGTTGGATCACAAAACACTTGTTTAGTACTATTGAAGAACCTTCAGCTGGATATGTCCACATCACGGAATTCATCTTTGTGATGCGGATTAAATTCATAACCCACAAAGCGTTATCTGTCAGTGTTATTAAAGTCATAATAGTCAACCACAATGTAATAATTATAACTTAAGCGGTTTAGTTTTCCCATTTTAAGCATCCACCACTGAGTTTTCTTGAATTCCTTCGGAAATATGATCTATTGGAGCATGTAGTTAAGTATTGTGTGCACATCAGAATATTAGTTACGTTCTAAACACGTATTTACGATGAAGTTCAGGGACAGCGTTTTGCCCCATTTGTGATTCATCCGCTTAATCTACATGCATCGCTATGCTCTCGTTCATACTTCTCAACTAATACAAATATCATACCTAGTAACTGAGATATGGATATCATAAGTCAGTAGCTTATTGAGTAACTCCTTGGTTTTTGAATCGATGGATATGAGCTTTAAATACCTTTTGTAAAACAGATTCAAGTGTATCACAAATTTTACTGTTAGGCTGTAGCTAATCAAATTAAACTAATTTTTGAGATGATGAAGAACTTTTGTAGCTCATATGAATGTTATTGGTGGTATTATATTCTCTAATCGGAACGGCTGAGTTGCAAACCTTTCACCCTTGCTCTAAAAAACACCGTCATGGACTCCTTTATAAAGAAACGTGTTATCGCGAATGTTCAGTCAGTTGATTGTGAAAGCCGCTGTTCACTTATTTGATATCAGCGACAGGTATTCCTTACCGTATATATATGTTTTAACAGCAGTGATCACTGAAAATACTATTTGGTATAGCATGCATTTATAAGACCATAATATTTATAAAAAGAACTTGATATTAAGGCGTTTGTACAAATAGCCCACATGCTTCCAACAAGCACTGAGTGTGAATGCGACTATACAAGCTCTTATAAATGATGGTGCAAATTATTGAATAATTTAGGGGTTTCGGGATAATTGATCGGAAACTCTGAACATAGGTTTCAAGCTAGTTGGCAATCGGCAAACTTGAATGAATTGATAATCCCTATAGAATTCGAACTCACAATCATCAGTTCCCGCTCTCATGATTCGAACCCAGAGCCTTTAGTCTCACTCAAGAACGCGAGCGGGATCGTGGATGCGCACTGATGAGGAGTTCCATAATAGGACGAAACAGCCATCCAGTGCTTCCAGGCTTTCAATAGTGGTCTAACATCAGTCGGTTCATGATCCCAATCAAAAACTTAATATCCTCCACAAGCCTATACTTACAGTTCATTTACTTAGAAAGAAAGACATACTAAGACCAATAAAATGTTAGAATCATAAGTGACACCTAGAATCTATCTCCCAACACAAATACTGTATAAACACATACAGACATTTTGAACTATTTTAAAATTAATAAACTGAGATAAATGCTCCTTTTTCAGAAAAAGGACCTTTTATTATTACTGTTACTTTTTTACTGTTATCCCAGTCAAATATCAAAGAGAAATCTGACAAACAAACACAAATCACATTTGATCATTCTGATGAGAAGGAAGCTTCTTCATTAAATAAATCGATTCATTCTTTGGATAATAACAGTCATTTTGATGATGGTGATCCTGAGGTGGATAATGATAAGCAAGATATAGAAGCCCAATTTGAGCAAGCCGAAACCAATTCAGAGCATGGTGATCATTGTCAAAAACAAAATGATGAATATTCCGATCTTAATTTGCGAAATGAAGGTAAAACATTTGGTTTTAGACTTAAACTACTTTAATAATGTATAAGTAGATGAACTGTTTTGTGGCAATTAAATTTAGCTACATATTTGATGGTAGGTGAATTTCCCCATGAACGTTTTGAATTATTTAGATAGTTTTATATAACCTTTGCTGACTGAACTTTTATATTTCACACAAAAGCGGACCTATTTCTCTTGTCATGTCAACGCATTCGTTAGGTGGATAGCGCTGGAAATATTCGGCTGCACCTTTGGGAGGCAATTACTCCCAATTTTTAAAGGTTCATTAGTGTCCTTCCCTCGGAGATCAATAATCTGCTTGTTTATATTTGGACTGTTAATGTCGAATATCATAATTTCTTTGATGAAACATAGAAAGTCAAAGGTTGACGAAATATACTGATGGAGTTAAATGTTTTTTTTTTCATTTGTAAAGTGCATCCACTTTACGAGTTATAAATAGGAGAAAACATAATTCCTGTATTCCAATCCTTCCCACTGTTCACTTTAACTCGGAGTGAAGTGCTTACTATTATTTGAAGCTTATTCACTCAGAAATTAATATCAGCTATCGGAACAGTGAAAGTTCTCCTTAAACTTTGATGAACTGAATTTGTATAATCCATTCATCTTGACAAAACGGTTCTTAACACTTGAAGTGGAAATTATATTTCCTAACTTGTTTAAATAAGGATTGTTAGTTGACGGAAACAGGGAAGCATTCAATGGATCTGTTTCAAGAAAATTAATCATTAAGATATATGCAGATATCTAGACAATTCTATTTGTCTAGAAATAACTAAAAATTCAGATTACGATCTAGTTACTTTTGAGTTTATCTCTCGATTTCTATTTGATTCTTAGCTCGTAGTTGAAGTAGCAGTCATCATCAAGTTAAGCTGAGTAACATTTAGGTTGATTTCTTCTTGTGTTGTGTTGTCTGGTTGAAATCTTTGACCGGTTATCTGATCTTTCTACTTTTGTGGTGGTACATTTAACTTGGATATCATTTAACTCATGAACTGGACCAAGTTAAACCAACACTGAAAACCTAAAAACACTGGGGAGGTAGTGAGCCAGTTATCCACCCAAGGCAACGGAAGATGGTTGCTCCATTTCATGGATTCATTGGGGTTAAACATCGTTTGCGCTTGAGATCAAAGGTCTTGGGTTTGATTCCGGTGTGCGGTGTTGTAGATGCACACTTCTTAGGATTGCCATCTAAGGATGAAACGGCCTTCTAGTGCTTTCCGGCTTCAGTGATGATCTGATATTGGTCGGATCACGATTTCAAAGAAATTCAACAATCTGCACGATGTGGACATAATTTTGTTACTGATTGACATCAGTTAAGAAACCAGTGGACTGGAAGATCTTTTTGTCAGAACATAGGACATACATCTGTAACGTTATCAGGATTATATCCAGAAACTCCGTCTTTTAGTGAACACATTATTGCTCAATACTTAATATCTTCACATTCAATCAATTTACGATAAAGTTTGGTGCTGGTGACAGGGCTGAAATTCACTAATCAGAGTATCTCACAAATTAACTGTAGATCAATATATGAAATTTGAACTAATTTGACTTCACCTTATGGTTGAATTGATGAATAATTAATCTTCTACTGACAAAAGGGTGATAATTCCTTACGAAAATAAGTATTAAAAAAAAACTAATAATGGAACCTTTTAAAACCACTACTACAATGAATGTAAACTCATGTGGGGAAAAGCAATCTATATTTAATACAAAAACAAACAGTAGCTTTGTAAAATACGAAAATCATACATTCAGCACATTGTTTGTACATCTTTCTTCAGTTATCTTTAACATACTTCATCATTCTTCCAATCCTGCCATTATTTTGATTGTCCTTCGTTTTCCTTCCTTTTCTCTTTATTTTACTCTTCTGCTGGTAAACAATCAACTTCCAATTCCTGCTACGTACTATTTGTGTCTGTCAACATAAGTATTACATACGACAGTACTATTGAATAACAATTAAGAAGTTAATTTTCAGGAATTTTCATCATTCAGATTAGATTTAACTATGTTAGCAATGATAATAAATTTTTTTTTAATTTATCATTTGTTTGTTAGTAGATTGAATAACTGGACACTTTGTTAAACCTAATATAATTAAGCCGGTATCCAATGGTTTTAATGTCTAACTTCAACTAATCCACGAAATTAAGCGCCCTGGGTCCGAATCTCGAGAGGCGGTGTCGTGGATGCGCACTGCTGAATGACCGTCCACTGCTTCCAGGTTTTCCAACGTGGTATAGCTTCAGTTAACTCATGATCTATACCATCAAATTTATTATAATATCCACAAAAACACCTGATATTATGTAAAGATTAGTTTTAATTTACAGTTGATAGTCATTAAAGAATAAACTTAGTTTGAGTATCACTAGAATTTAATGAACATTGAACAGCTGTTTTATTCTGTCTGGTATGCAATTCTTCAATGAAATCATTTGAACAAAACAGACATTAAATAATCAATGAAGTTGGATGATAATCTAACTACTATGGTGAATATCACTTGAAAATTAAACAATACTAAATAGTTGATCTCATGAGTCAATTGAAGCTAGAACACAATGGAAGACCTGGAAACACTGGACATTCATTTCGTCCTAGTATGGGACTTCTCAGTAGTGTGTATCCACGATTTCGCTCTCGGAATTCATTCCAAAGACCTATCGGTCTTGCGTGCGGACGCCTTACCTCTATCCCACTGAGCCGGTGCATTGCTGAAGAGTCCCACAATAGGACGAGTTGGCCGTTCAGTGTTTCCAGGTTTTCCATGGTGATCTAGTTTCAATTGACTCATAATCTCAACTATTGAAGTTACTATAATATCCACAAAAACCCCTTCTGTTTTGCTTTGTTTTAACTTTTAATCAAGAATTATCAGTTCAGAACACTTCAAAGATTGTGGAAACAATCAAATCTATTGGTGAACTGAATACCTGCAAAGAGAATAACATAAATCAATTCAATTCTGATATAGCTATAACTTCTAATACTACTACTGATAATAATAATAATGATAATAATAATAATAATAATAATAATGTTACAGAATTATCAAATAGCAATCATAATGAATTAAGTCAGAAAAAACGAACTAAAAGTAAACGAATAGCATCAAACTCAAACAATCAACTTATATCTAATCAATCTGTAATAGATCGTAATCAATTAACTGATACATTGAATAGTGATGAATATACAGATTTGAATGAAGAAACAAAAGAGATAGGTAATTGTTTATTATGTAATTTAGTCTTTTTTCTTTTACTCTGTGTTTTTCAATGTTTAATTGTTGTATAGTTTGCTTTTAGTTTGACGATAGATTTTAGTTTTAAGGATGGATGATGTGATAGAAGGTATGTTTATGAAAACCTGAAAAATAGTAAGTAAAGTAGCTGTTGTTTATTGTAGTGTCTAAGACAATGTTACACCTATATGAGTTATCCTAACTTTAAGACGGACTATTTAGTTGATCCTCTTTGCATCACATCTTGATCTTGTTGATTATTCACTTACATTATTGACTGATTTATATAAAAGTGTTGTCTTAGGTTTGATTCCCGTGTGCGATATTATGGATGCATACTGCCGAGGAGTTCCATACTAGAGTGAAACAGACTTCTAGTACTTTCAGATTTTTAATAGTGGTCTAATTACGGTTGGTTTTTATAATGTAAAACTACGAAAACTCTATTATCTCCATAAAATCCTGTACTGATATTGAATATTGAACGTAATGCAGATGATTATATTTACGCTTACACTGAATCATATATGTTTTATCCAACAAATACTAAATGAATAGTAACTGCCAGAATTATTGTTGAACTATTATCACATATATATTCTTTTGTATAGTTATTAAGAAGTAACTAGGTTATGTATATTTATATCCCCCTTTATCATAAGCTTTCATTTAACCCATTAACTACTATTATACGATTTACTATTCTTAGTTTACTTTCAATCTGTTATTTAAAGCCATTCCTGCTTGCAGGAACTTTTAAATCAATCTTGTATAGTTATTATTTTTCATTTTATGGTGTGATGAGGTCTGGTCTCCTTGTATATAAACTACGTATACCTGTAATACAATATTCATACAATGGAGGCTGATTATTATGTTCTGAGCTCAATGAGCAAGGTAATACAAGAATATACTTTATGGAAGACTCATAAAGATTTAGAGTTGACTCAAAGCTATTAGTGCCACTTGGCGTATCATGGGGGGGCAAGCGTCATAGAAATCGATTTGTTGATTGTTGATTTTAATTGTGTGATATATTAAATAGGGGCCATAAGTCTCTTTCACTTTCACACCTTTTCGTTAATTCAAACTTTGAATTGATCATTCTATTTTAGATGTAAATGTCATAAAAAATTCGCATACAACAGAACTATCAAAAAAATCCAACATAACAATACGAAATGATGAAATTGATCATAATTTTGATTCATCTAAACGTCTATCTATAGAAAATCAACATCATCTTGATAAAACTTATGCTCCAATGATTAGTAATACGATTGGTCGTAAATTATCTAATTTAAATTATCCTATAGCAAATATTTTAAGTAATGCTATTTTAGATAGACCATATATTAATGCCGATGAAATTCATACATTATTCGATCCACATTCATCTAATTCAACATTAAATCCTTATCATGATTTAGAATATTACAATCCGATGAATACAAAAATAAGTTCAACTTTACCACGTGATTATAAACAAGAAATATATACAACTAATGTAAAAAATCGTAATAATAATAATAATAATAATAATAATAATAATAATAATGATTCTGTCCATAGAAACCAACCATCTCGTTATTTAACTAAAGATTACAAGAGTAATAAATTAGTTTATAGACAACAAGAACCATTTATTGTAGCATCACAACATGATGCATTATTATCAGAATTATTACATCGAGGTATGAATTCAAATCCTGGAGAATCACGTCCAAAAAGTACATTTTAATAATAATGATACGTAAAGTAAATCAACGATACATATAAATACACATTAGCATGTACATGTATTAATTATATTCATGTACATATTCATTATTCATCTATATCATCTTAAATGATTATCATCAGTATCCGTGGAATTAAACATTCGATGAAAAATTGTGATAATATTAATATTAAACAAGTATATAATCATAATACTGATAAAAATATTATCAGGGATCAATTTCCAATTGAATCAATCATTTCTATCATTAAAAAAATTGATCTCAGTACTACTACTACTACTACTACTACTACTACTACCAATACTAATACTAATACTAATACTACTACTACTACCAATACTAATACTAATACTAATACTAATACTAATACTACCACTACTAATACTACTACTACTACTACTACTGCCAATACCAATACTAATACTAATACTAATACTACTACTACTACCAATACTAATACTAATACTAATACTACTACTACTATTACTACTACTACTACTACTAATAATAATAATAATAATAGTAATAATAATAATAATAATAATAATAATAATAATGGGAAAACAATCCAAAGTACTGCATATATTTATTCAAGAAATTATTAACGACACATTGTCATCATTACTGATGTTCAAGTTGGGTTTATTTTAATGGGGCGAAAAGAAGGTATTTTGGTCAACTTTATCAGTCAGTATTCATCATAGATCTTTTTTTTTCTTCTTCAATATTCTTATTAAAACAGCTATTATGTAATGATATTTACTGCATATTAATGAAATACAGAGATTAATATTTTTCATAAACTATTTTTACTCAATCACTAATGTTGAGTAAAAAGTGGTTACTGAAATTTATTTGGATCTTAGTCAAATTTAATTTGTTTAACGATGAGATTCAGTTGACAGATAAGTAAACAACCCGGAGCATTGGAGCTCATAATGAATTTTAAACTATTCACTTATGGCTTCAAATAACATAGTTTTTTCCATTAGGATTCTTCTATATAACATATTTTAAACCATTTTTACTTTAGTACTGAACGGTCTTGTATTTAATGGGTAGAAATGATTAACATGGAATAAATATAGTTACCACAAAAAAAGGGAATTCATAGTGTTCATTTGCGCGATTTATACTACTGAAATATATGTAATTAAATTAGGGTACAATTTTAACTTATCCTAGGCAATTGGAGTCATAAGTTAACACTAGCAATAGCCTTATTGATACACTGAGTTTCAAATGAATACTACGACTTTATTGAAGTCAAGAACCGATCCAAGTTAAGTCACTACTGAAAACGTGGAAGCGATGGACGGCCGTTTCGTTCTAGTATGGCACTCCTTAACAGTGCGCATCCAGCCAGAGTCGAACCCAGGACCTTCAGTTTCGCGTGCTAACGTTTAACTTCTAGACCACTTAGCCATCATCCAACATTGTTAAATTCTAACTTCAACTAATTCACAATATTGCGCGACCATCTTTCATTGTCTTGAGTAGGTAACTAACTCACACCTGACACCGTTGAACTCCACTGGTCACTACCTTTCACTAGAACTCTGAGAACTACCTCTTAAAGCTAGTTACCAGTGAGCAAATGATAATTATCACTATAGGGTTGTGCAGAATATTGAGTTTTTATTGATATCATGAAGGATTATAATCTAATTATTGAGTTACATGTAAATGTCCCGAGGTCACACGACAAAATATTTGTGGAAGTATGATATTATTGTTAGAAATCAAACCAAACAATGAAAAATTTGAAAATAAAAAACGTGAATTGTTCTGATGTTGACTTTTCCATCAACAGGTAGGTATATTGGTCAGATAAATAAATACAAATTAGGTTACGGAAGCTACTGACAATCAAAATACCGAATATTTATCATTCATACATAACAGCAAAAAAACAAAACAACACTGTAATCTATTCTTTAAAAACATGTTAATCAGTTTTTTGTGGCCCTGAATCTAACTCCAGGTCGATCGTATGAATGAATGTTATTTGAAATGTACATATCGTCAATCCTTGTATAAAATTATGGACTTAAATACTGTTAGTGAATAACGGAATTAAATAAGTCAAATACTAGAATGAATTTCGGATACGAGTATTTTGGGTAAATTTTTGGGAAATTGTTAGAGAAAATTTTGAGGAAATTTCGGGGATATGGCATAAAAACTCTAAAACGTTCGAGTTTTCCACAATATTTCTCAAGAATATTATAACACTGAGGTTTCTCCTTAAAATTTATATAAAGTTCCCCAAATTTTCCCCAAGATAGTGGGATTGGGAGCTCACTCTAGTGAATTGTGTTATCTGAAGAATTTTCAAATATTAGGAAACACTGAATGGTCACTTCATCTTATTCTTAGACCTCTTGTCTGTCAGCATTAATTACCTAAATCTAGATTGAATCCGGCACATTTAGATCTGATGGAGTATACATTATCTTATGAACACTGAATAGAAAAATTAATACAGAGAAATGAGCAAACTCGTTTTTTTTTATAGACACCTGATACGAATATATAAGGAGGAGTCTGAACTTTCAATCAGGTTTTCGTCCTTTGAGTAAGACAAAAATCTGAGTATACACAATAGGATATATAATATTTCGAAAGACAAACCAACCAATAAAAATAAGACTGTATAAACCAGTTGATTTCTCTGAGCTCGCTTCTTGTTGTCTTGACTTGTATTACTATCTGACTCATTGGTTTGTGTGATATGATCCAATTATTCACGGGAATTACTTAGGTTTGAATCGTCAAGAAACCAATGCGGTAATAATATTAAACAGATGAGATATTTGGGGATTTTATATCAAACAGGTATAGCAGACAACAATACTCGGAAAAATTGGAAGAGGATATTGTGGTGTTTGTATGAACTAATGGTTACTTTGTACCTGATGACTGCCTGATTTCGAATTCCAAATGCAATATGCTCGTTTTTGCACATCTAGTTTTGCCTGGCTTAGATCGTACCGTTTAGGGAATTCCCATTTCTTACAATAATTTGGATACTTCTATTCATCATACTCACCTAATGTCTTAAACCACTGACAAAGGTTATCGCGTAGTCTGTAGCAATGCAATCTACATATATACTCAGTGAATTTATGGTTTAACAGCCCCTAAATTTTTCCACTTCAACATCTATGCCAGTATCCATTACGCGGGACTGTATGTGGCGAATGGCCATACGAAATACATTTTAGCAATAGTAGTTTATGAAGATTCTCATGCTCATCGTCCGACTTAGCCACATTTGATAATTATGACCTTCAACCTCAGAATCCCTCTGCTAGTTGTTTCATGATACACGAGAAATATTTCTGATTTTTCGACATTGTTGTCAACTGTTCCTAGATCGATTTTTCTACACACACCCACAATCTCATTTGGACGTGATGAGTAAGAAAATAAGATGTAGACGGTAAAAGTTTGTATAAATTAGCATAGTTTACTAAATAGGAAACATTTTTGAAAACTTCATGTATTTAGTAAACCCAGTATGAAATGCTAACCTATTTATTTATCAGACTACGGGTGACTATAATCATATCTGTCAGCCACAATGTAGACGTTTGACTAATATCCTAACGCTGATAGATTTAAAAACTGTAAGTGAAAATGATTTTTCCATACATGAACCATTCCCCTAAATCATCCTGGCTGCGTAGAAAACTTGGTCTCCCTGAGAAAGTAGTGATGAACGTCATAAGCATATACCAAGTCAGACCGGTTAATACTAATTCGAATGGAAAATAAACAGTCTTACGAAAACTAAGAAATTTGGCCTAAACTTAGGGGAAAGTAAATCATTGGAGTACACTTGTACCGAGCGAAAATAGATAGTTTGGCGTAAATTTGTCTGAAAAAAGGACTGTTTAGTGTTAGGATTACGTAGGTTAATTTACTTATTTTGAATCAGATGTGATTTATCAGATTGTCGACTAAAAATCTGTATACTCAAAAGCGTCCATGTGCGAGAGTTATGAGAAAGTTGCTGAAAAGTGCAAATTAGCTCGCTAGAATGTCTGCGTCCGAAAAAGATCGAATTTTGGGTAACTTCTGGGAACTATTTATGGATTGTTATTAAATATATATTCTTAGTGTATAACCATTAAGTGACTAGATTACAAATATTTATATTTCTCTCATTATAAGCTTTTATTTGATCTGTTAGCTACTACTTTATTATTAACTATTCTTGAGTTATTCGCAGTCTACAAGTTTCAGTTTCTCACACTCACAGACACGTTTGACTTGATCTTGTATAACTATGATTTATTTAATGATGTGATGCGGTCTGGTCTGCTTGTATATAAACCGCATACGTCTGAAATACACAATTTATACAGCTTTTATTGAACGAAAAGTTTTGCTAAACAAAACTTCTTACTCTTTTTAGTTGTCTTATCATCAGAGCATAGTCTACTGGAACGCAGAACAGATCTCGACAAACAACGTTGAGATACATATTGTATCTTGCTTGGCCGTTATCCTACTAAGACTGTACCGCTTTTACAGAGGCAAAACAGCAATAAACAGTAAGCTCCCTCAACTTATAGTAATCCTGAATGACGAAGATATAGCGAAATAAATTCCTCTGGTGTCTCAGAGACTAGCAATACATGACCCTCAAACAGCAGAGTTCAACACGATAAACCATAATCTGAAAAAGCTACGGCAAGAAAAACATCAGAGAGCTCTTGAAAACCTTGTAGCGGTAAATAAATCCCCAAAATAAATAGCTCTGTAAGTCTTCGACATTGGATGCTGACCACATTAGTTTTAGTGGATTGACCTAGCTGAAGTGGCTCGGTCATGCATCCGCACCAGATCATTGGTGGGAACGTCGTGCTCAACATCCCCTGCAATCACTAGCCAGCTTAGATTAGTCGATCGTCGGCATATTGATAACCTATCAAACATATCTTCGAACCTCCTCACTTCTGTCTTTTGATTTCGCTAGTTGAGTACGATTCATAATCGGAGGTGTTGTTGATAAAGCGTTTATTAAACTTCAAATACCTGTGACATCTTCAACCTGAACTGGTATGCGACACTTTGGATGAAGCTCACGCACATGACGTACAGCAGTGGTGATGGTACGCCCAGGCGTACGTAACAACGGTGATCTATGAGTTCGGACTTTCACTTCCGCCATACCCAGCTATAATCAATTCTCCCCATCTGATCTCAGTAAACTTCTATAGTCTAGAAGACTCATTGGAAGTCCTATGTGTCTGACACCGTGTGTGGAAAGACCTCAACAGTTCCCATAGAAATGGCCAACCTACCATAGATCATAATCTTTTACTAACTTTGCTGTCACAGAGGAATACTGCGTAAGACGACACGTAATCATGTTCCGCTACAACAATATAATGGAACTTGAAAGCAAATTGATAAAAATTAAACACACTCCGTAGCGACATCAGCGGCTAAAGTTAAGAGGTAATGACCATGGGTAGTTAACATAAGATATCATTCGAGAAGTTACCTCAAGCTACATGCGCACCTGGAGAAGGGGGAGTCTTGTGCAGTTGGAAGGCTTCTCGAAAGGGGTTCAACAGCAGCCATAACTTGGCAACAAGAACTGGATGTGACACTAAAATGCGAAGTGAAAGTAAATATTTTCAGAAAAAGCTAACAGCTAATATACGTCATTAGGGTATGACATCAATAGTCCCGTGATGCTAAAACAGTAGGCAGAGACCATCAGTAAACCGGCATGTGATCTCTTTGGAGGTTCACTAGGACAGCGAGGTATCCAGGTCGTTAGGCGGCAGAAATGATTCACCAGATCTACAAAAAGGGCTCACAAAAATGGAATAATGGATGGTGGATAACAGGTCAAATTGTGGTCTCTCAAAATTTCGTGTTGGGAATATTTAACCTAACAATACTCAAACAATCCACATTCTCCACAAAAATCCTCTCCGTTTTGCCCAATAGAGTGAGATCTAGGGACATTGACCAATGGGGGCTAGGACTCCATCTTCAAATACATTAGAGATGTAGCAAAAATACATATGGACTTTCACGTTTTATGAAGACAGATTAGTGCCATTGTCTCATAGTTCTTACTAGCACGTTCTCAAAATGAATACTCAAACCCGCCTTAAAGTTCAGAACATTGTCAGATCCACTCTCTTCAGAATACACACAAATCACTTAGACGTATTATTGAAACGTGCAACCGAGTGAGTGATAGGTCTACAGCACAAATCTTACGAGGAAAGATCCCAACATATGGGATTAGTCTCAGTGAGCGGCAGGAAAATAAGAGGTGATCTGATGATGGTGTAGTGACTCACATTTATCACGAGAACACGACTGGTTTAATAAAAACAATTATTATTATTAACCAAGTGTACCAGTGCTTGTTTTAATGTGCTTTTGTTTGACTGTGCTAATGACAGCTATATTGTGCTTCCATTTTTATTCTTACACTTTGATTGTGACTTCGCGCGAATTCGGTTACATTCTGTAACCAAGCTTGTATCCTGGCACGATCTCGGTATCCTTTCGATACCACGAGATCGCCAGCAAATATATCTCGACTTGGTCCATTAACTGCCTTCTGATATTTGGCTTCTCGGGAATTTTATGGATTTATTTGGTTACGTTCAACCTTCGCCTTCTGATTTACTTGGCACGTGCTTTCTTGGTAGCGGTATTCATAGTTAATCTCGACTCGACGCCACGCTACAATTGCATGAAACATATTGATCTCACCAAATCACTCAAAAACCAGCATATTACCAGAACATTGTAGAGATAAATAAATCCCCAAAATAAATAGCTCCGTAGGTCTTCGATATTTGTTGCTTACCATATTAGTTTTAATGGACTCACAATGCTAAAGCGCCCGTTCATGAATCCGCACCAGATCAGTGAGTACGCCGTGCTCCACTTCCTCTACAACTGCTAGCCAGATTAAATTCATCACTTCGTGTTACACTGATGTTTCATCATCTTCGCTTCTGACTTCACTGTGTTGGCACGTTTTGATTATAGATGTTACTGGTTAAGGCGTTGTCGACATGGGGCATCTTTAACAAACTCAAAATGTCGTACGTTTGACAGTAAAAACCTAGATATGCTCTCAGTTTTTCCCACTGGGAGTTTCTAACGTTTGGAATGTTGTCCCAACACGGTGAAGTTAACACAGCTCTATAGGTGTATAGCTTTAAGAGAGACTTGCTAGAGAGCTAGTGGTAATCACGATCCCCACTATCCTGAGATAAACGCATTCCCAAAATCTTAGAGTTACACAAACCCACAAAAACTTAGATGTAATTTTCATAGATCCGATTAAAGCCCTTGATAAGATGGTGATGCGGTTGGATAATGTTTCTTATTACCCAAAGTAAGTAACCACAAAGATTTAGAGGTCATACTAAGCATAGCCGTCAGAACTACCAATCACTGTAAGGCTGATGCTGCTGCGAAATGCTATAGGGTATTATGGTCTATTCGTAGGTCTTTGCAGTATTTGGATGAAGAAATGTCTAGATTATTGTATCCGACTTTCGTTCAACCACATTTGGAATATGGGACTCAAGCATGAGGCGGATATGCCTGAACGAGTTCGACGATGAGGGACTAAAATGGTAAAAGGTCTACATGGCCTATGAAGACAGACAACTTAACTCAGTTCCGTTATCTTACGGTAAAATACGGGGTGATCCAATATTGGCTCATCGTATGATAGACGATGACTACGGTATTAATATGTCTTATCCTTCCCTTCTCTCGATGACTGAACATTTGAGAGGACATTCGAAGAAAGTTCAATAACCTAGATCAAATCGTCTACGTCTGGAGTTTCGTTTCTCTCACCGACTACTGAATTACTGAAACGCTCTGCCGAAACATGTAATATCAGCAACTTATGTTAACATATTCAAAAAGAAACTGCACCTCCAGATTCACAAACTGCAAGGTTTAATATAGGTCGATAGATTTTCTATCTTTATTGCTGAAGACTGACAAGAACTAGTGTATTCAAGTCGTTAGAATACTAGTTGTTGGAGATAAAAAAATACCTGGAACCGTGAGGAAATAACACAAGCCATCGTAAAGAAACCAATCAGTTTATACAATCTTACGAAAATGATATTGGACATCGAACCCTTCGAGTCCTTGAGCCCGACTTTAAGGTCATACACATGGTTTTGTGTTTCTGCAATCTAAATTATAGACAGTAGCCCAAACCGCTATTAATGTATGGTATAGAAGCACTAGAAGAAGTAAAAAAGTTGGCCGAGGATGATTCTAAGTATGTTGCCTTGATAAGTGTAGGTTACTGAGTTTTCCATTGATAAATCAATCTCCTTCATTTTAGGACAAAACCACACTACAGGGACTTGTTTTACTACTTTCGAACAAAAATAACTCGGTTATTTCAACAGTGCTGCAAGTACATTTAAAACTTCAGACTTCTGATTTTAGACCTTAAAAATCATATCTGGTCAACCAGGTGGCATTGATGCTTTGCAATCATTATTGGGATTACGTGAACAGCTAAATGAACTGATTAAACCCACTAAATCTAGTGGAAACGAAACCTCTCATCCCTTCTCTAGGAACGCTGAGGAACTTTTATCTTTGCTTAACTGCTCCAATAGAGAAGGTCCTCCCAGACCCATAAAAACCAATCCAGAAAAATCACACCCCACATTCAGACCGAAGAATGTAGTTTTACAGCTCAGAGGAATAACAGACGAGGTAACTTTTCATGAATACGCGACCTCAGGTTATTCACTCACCTTATACAAGTCTTGTAACCATATTTGTGTGCTAAGGCCACCTAATTTATTGTCATTGTCTAGATAAGACAAAGCATAACAGTTGAACGCTTATAAGTACGCAGCATTGGCGTACAGGACTCTTGTGTCATATACTCTTTGTCAGACAATTTTATTTTTAAAATGACTAAATAATATTTATATATTTATACCTAATCAGGGTCGTAAAGTCGTCTTCTAAGTAGCTTTTCTTTACAAACTGTCTTATTAAGGCCAGTTGAAAGACATCTGTTAATAAGTATACTGGTTAATGTCTCTGGACTTCAAAAGAGAATAAATTCTAGATTATAGACTTCTGTTTACTCTGGCGTGAGTCTTGATAACTTCGAAGTACATTCGAAAAGCGTTAGTATAACTCAGTGACTGGCCATACCCTTATATCTGACACTGGGACACAATTATCTGTAAGTAGTTGCCTACTGTACAACTGTAATTCAAACCCATTATCTATGAGACGGATATTTGTGTTATTTGGTCACGACCTTAAGGATTGAAAAGAGGCAACATAACTAAATTCAAAAAATAATTTCATTCAGTAGATTTACTGGTCTTAGGTTCATAGAAGTTCATTGTTGTTGGTTAGTGTCAGCAAAATAACTATAATCAGTAGTACAAGTCCAGGATTTTCCCAAAATCAATCAAAATTGCGTAAAGGGTTCGTTTTTCATATGCTTAGTTTTAGTAACAAGTGATTCTCACTTTCCCCATCTTCACTCTTTCAGCGTCTCTCTAAATTTTGTCCTCTACAATTTTTCACATAACCCTATATTTTAGCTGTTTCACCTCGTTAGCAACTTTGTCCAGTATGATTTTTTTTCAACTGCCTTGTTTGTATTTGTTCGTCATTACAATCAGGAAAAAATTGGGACAGATGAGTGGGATTTTATGAGGTAGTTAGCATGAGCTAGTTTTAACAAGCGGACTTTACTTAAAACCTTTAACGGGTGAATATTGTTATTATTTCTTGGAAGAACAGACTTATGTGTCTACATATGTTCTTGAAGGTTGGGGTGTATACATACGTACAGTTCAAAGCGGATTAAACTAACAAACTGGTTTTTTATTCTAGACATCTCAATAAAGGAGCATCTAAACAAGATGTTGACCTGAAATTCAAGGCATAAGAAACTATATAGCTTCTCTGAATATTTCAGCCATATGTCAAGTTTGTTTTGCTAACCACATTTTGTAGTTATGTCTGGTTAGCCTTATTTCAAAAATACTACAAGAAATTAAAGTGAAATATTGTTTTTCATACATTTTATTAGTCCCAGGTGGTTATACCTGAAGAGTAAGTGTTGTGTCAATAAAGTGAAGCGCATGTTTTATGCTTGTTCTGTTTAGATTTCTTACGTGATCCTCATATCTTATTTATTAGGATGATATTGAAATAGTATGTTCAAAGCTCTTGAAAATTCGCGGTGTAGTTAGTATTACATTTCAGCTGCAGAAACATCGCGTTCTTGTTTGCACGGTACCTTCGTTAGATCCGGAATGCCTTTTAAATGCAGTATCTTCAGTTAAAAACAACCCAGGTCAGTCAAATGGTACTTGTCAAACAGATTCGATCCGTCCCACAATCACAGCCCAGATTGTCAGGAAAAAACATAGAGCGTGAGTGAAATTTTTATCGGAACTTTTGTAACCACTAATTCATTTTAATATCCATTACGTTTACGAAATGAAATGTTTTCTTATCGTATGTGAATTAATGATATAGCTTAGCTAAACAGACCACAATAAGTAAATTTCTGCCTAATCCAGTTAGATTTCATACTACTAGTTTTAAACTGTTGCCATAAAAATAAAGTCATAATAAGTCATCCATTTGTAACTGATTTACCTATGTTGAAAGTTATATTTAAGTCTTATTGACAATAGCACGGGTTTTCCTTTGCATTTATATGCAACTACAAACATTTGATCATTAAGTCTCATAATAGCATCAGCACCATATTCATAAGTGACCATACGTCAACGTACCTTTGTTGGTATCATCTTGTACATTTGTCTATACTAAATTATATGCTACGTTGATAAGCAGTATGAACAATAGTAAAGCGAAATATCTATGTACCATTTCACCCTTCACGTGTTAAGGTGTGTGAAAAAGTTCAGCTATTTGTGCAATATAATAAACTAGTTTCAGCGTAAACTTTTCGAGTTCATCTTATTAATTTACTTGAAATCATGAACCTATCTAAGTTAGATCACCATTGAAAATCTGGAAGCACTGAACGGCCAATTCGTCTTAATATAGTCTTTCTAAGCACTGCTCATTCACTATCCCGCACGCGAGACTCGAACTAAGAACCTTCGGTCCCTCGTGAACGCGTACCGCTAAGTCGACATCCAACGGTGTTAATTTTGAACTTCAACCAATCATTTCCATTCCGGTAGCCTTCAGTTTATACTGGCTACAGAAAGAGTAACCCTTTGATGGCTGTATATTGGTTTAATGTAAATGAAATATTTATTGCTGAGTTCAGTAATATCACTGATCAATAAAAAATTTTCTAAAAACTTATTTTTACACGTTAATCAACCATTCTTAAATAATATGGTGAAGCCCATAGAAACGCATTAGTTATCTTCATTATTACAGTTTCTAAAGCATAAAAACCTCAGTGGTCTAGCTCCGTCCAGAAGTAATCTACAAGCAACTTCATCGATTTTAAAGGTCTGTCTGATAATGAACGCCTACATTGTTCTAAAGATTTTTGTTAACATTTTCACTGACAAATGTTTTGTAAAGTGATAACAAAAGTATAGGGTGAAATGAATTCATTTCGTGTATTCTAAATTTTTCACATACAAAACAACTTGTAAATGTTATGTTATATATACCATGAATAAAGTAACCCAGTTTACCAGCAAGGAGTAATTATGAATACTTTGCACTATGATACAAATTCAATTTATAGAGAAACAAAATAGTGAGTGAAATATACCATTCTATGTATTTAATTTACATGAGGTTTGGTTCAACTGGGCACAAAAATTTGTAAGCGCTGCACAAGATTTCTGTGTGTGCGCTAGAATACTTCTCGAATACCCAGACGAAAGCTTATATTTCCCTAAGAGGATCACTTTTCAATTTTTTTACCAAGAAGTATAATCTACAACAAGGCAGTGGAGCAAGGTTAGCAAAATGTACATGCTCCAACTGTCATATATAATTATCGACTTATTTCGCGTTAGTGAATAGTAATAAAATAAGCCATACAAGAGTGAATTCTGGTTACGTATATTTCATACACCCGTCGATCCAGACAGACAACAAGGGACACGAAGCGAACAAGAGAAGGCAAATATGTCAACTCCATTTGAAGGAACGTGACTCAGTATTGATAGCTAAACATTTGACGACTAGGATAAGCATACGCTCGTATAAAAACAACCAGGGTTAGTAAGCGAGTAGTTGACAGGGTTAAGATGTTGATAAATAAGCTGATGTATCTGGAGGCTAAAAACACTCGTGGGTTTGACATAGTGCTAGACACTACGATGCATCTTATCCCATCTTAGCTTTAATGTATTTCTATTTAATACGCGTATGCAGAGGGTTTTTCTTTAGTGCCTACCTAGAATACATTAAAGAGGAAGAATGTATTTGTAAAATCTCAGCGAATGAATTTTGAAGTAAATAAATTCTTCTTTAATGTCTCACATTAACTCAGCGCCCAAACACTGTGAAATTATTCGATCAAATTTAGACGAAAGTTTTTATTTATCTACCTAGAATACGCTTTAAAAAGCTGTTTTTTAACTATGTTTTTACCTTTCATTTTTTATAGAAGTCAGTGTTTGATTTTATATTATACATATTGATTCTAGGCAATCCTTATGCAGACACAGTTCATTCAACGGTTTAAAATATAGGCAAAACTCGCGAAATACTGAAGTCCCACCTTATTTAGAAGATGATGCTGATCTCTTTGAGGTTGATGAAACGAGAGCTGCTCCAAAATTAATGGATGCTCCAAGCAAATCAAATCCTTCTAAAGGTCCCATTAGTTGGTTATCAGAATTTTTGGAAAAATCACTATTTTGGTGAATTTAGTATAATATTTCCTGTTTCATAGATTTCATATTTATGTCAGCTACTGTATTTAGAAATAGAAATACAAACTTCCTATAACTTACATTTCCTGTAATAAATCTACAATATGTCAATCGTCGTTTGGTCTCACGAATTAATGCGACTTTCTGTGCCAAGATTCCAACCCGACTCTTGATTACCATAATCTGCAACAATAATAAATGATTGGATATTGACATTTGGTGTCGATTAATAGGAATTTTTCTTACTACTCATCAGCTACAGATTTGCGTACTTGGCTTTGAGCTAAACTTTTAGGATTGAGGGTTAGTACTAGTAGTATCACTTACCACATGAAATGTATGAACAGAATGGTTTCCCTGGATTTAGTACCCAGATGATAAAAATGAAATAAATTTCAAAGTTAGCAATTTATTAGGCAAAGGAAAAAATACTTCACTATGTATACTGATAACAAGCTCAATTAATAATGAACTAAAGAGGTCACAGATCCGAACGAACTTTAAATCCAGGACCTTTAGGTTCTGTAGTGAGTGATGTCAAACCACCTTTCGGTTCGGATGCAAAACGTCCACCTTGTCCGCTTCTAAAATGAAGATAAGTTAGAAAAAATTCAAGTATTCATTTGACTATCAATTTAAGCATGATAGTCTAATCGTTTATGTCAAGCTAATCTGCGAATATTAAAATTATTATACAATAAGACCCAGGCTTCAATATAAACCTGTCATGTATAGAAATGGACGTATATAGACGTATTCAAAAAGGGAGTAATTAGATAACATTTTAATGTCGAGTACTTTACATTTAGTTCAACTGGACAATCAATAAAGAAAGAACAGAACAAAAACTTGAGGTATACAGAAACCAATTTTACTAGCATTTTGAAGCGAATATAGAATTGAATAATAAGTACTTTTTTACACGGATTTTAAGTCCTGAAACTAAAATAGCAAGACAGGTATAATTAGGAGCCTGTAGAGTATTGAATAACTTTCAAAGATGCTTCAGCACCTTCATATTTATACGCAAGCGATAAATGAATATCTCAACGTTACGATAGAGTTCAGGTACCAAACTCACTAATCTATTCATATCAATAAAACTACCTGAGTCATCTGTTAAATTGTTTCTAATCGACAATTATTTCTCGTTGATTGGCCTCAATCAGCTGAGAAATGTGAGTAAAGACTTAATTTAGCTGTGTTGTACGTTACGAACAACGTATTTGAAATTAATGCTGATCAGGATAACTTATCATAATCAGATGCAATTATTTGTATATCTTTGTCTAAGATAAAAAGATCGTTTTGCGGATAGTATTTCATGAATTACACGCTGGAGAAATAAAAGACGATCGAAAACTCACTAACAGTCAGAAATGATATCTATGTCGTGTGAGTCGTCAGTAAGACTTACAAACTCCAAGAAGGTCCGTGATTTCTTTAACGTTTACCGGCACAAACGTTACCTCACATACTTATAGCCTTGAATGAAGTTGAGAAAACCGTCTTACTTATTCGGCTCAGCTAACATGTCAATTGCCTCTATTTCACGTTATGAGCTAAGCAGACGAGTAGGTGAAAAGTGCGATTTTCTCATTACTTCAGTGGCTCTGCGTTTTAGAAACTGAGGAAGTCAATAAAGGATTAAAAATTTAAAACGACTTTGATAGTGTGACTTATGTGGAAGAAATCAGTAATTTTCAAAAAGAAAATCGAAGTAGTGATTAAATAATAAACGTCCATAAGATATAATTTAAAACTTACTGTGGGCCAGGTTTTGGTTTTTTCCCAGCTTTTATTTCATCAAGAATACGAACTGTATCCTCTGCTGTTAAATCCTCCTACAAGATAATGTATAAGAGAGTGGGTTACAATTAGAAGTCCATTTTAAATAATTTTTAAATCATACAAAAAAGAAAGGTTATCTCATAAATTAGTAGACTGACTTTGCCAATGAATAGCAAGTGTTCAAATATTTACGAGACCACTAGTGTTCTCAAAGTCTTGCTAATGGCTCGATAAGCATCAAAACAAGATATAACATTTCCTCAACAGTATCTTGAACAACTGGAAATGAAATTTTATCTATGAATAGAACTCCAAATTGTTGTCAACTATGTGAACTTAAGGTTTTGTGTTAATAAGAGAATTTTTAAAGATAAAGCCTAAGGGTGAAATCTGCCTAATATTTTGGCTAGTAAACGAGTAACTCCGTTTTTATAATTTGTTTTATAATTTATTTCTACTAGTTTCATTTTTGGTCGACTTCTTTTCTCTGGAGTTGTGAAATACGATATCTTGAGGAAATGCAATATTATGCTAGGCTAAGCCGATGATATTTTTCATACATGTAGTACATCGAATTGACTGCATTTTACCAGCACTGTGAACTCCCTGAATTAATATACTAACATAATTGTCAGTAAATATTATTAATGGAAACTAGGAATGGAATGGCGTAACGCTTATTTGCAAAATCACACTTTAGTAACTTTAGCGACGCTAAAAATCTTCAAGTTTTTTGAAGTGAGAGGGACAAGTAATAATTGACATTTCTTGAATTATAACAATCTCCCGACATTTTAATAACGATATGGGATTAGCTAGCGAACATATCATTACAATATAGACTAGTGGTTCGTGATTAGTTGGGGCTTACGTACCGATTGGCAGTTTTTACTTTCCTCTAGTTCTGTTAACAGCTCAGTAATTCAACCCAAGCAACTGAATCATTAAACTATCCACACAAATTAACAATATACAAAGTTTAAAAAAATTTACATGATCCACCATTCAAAGTGAAAACAACACAACTCTAAACAAAAAAGTGGCACTTTTCCATCAGTTTCATTTGGAAACCGAAAAGCGCAGACCATAAAGTAATCTGCTTGACGCAACTAGTGCTAACCCTAATTTATTGACTTTAGTTACTCAAATCTATATATTCTAGAGGTCAACGACTCAGTATTTTTGACTCAACTGGTGCTACGAAAATTTAACTCCGTTGTCTAAAATACTTGATTTTTAAAAGAAAACCATGGTGAAATCTCGCAGATGGATTATACATAAGTATGTTTTCTTAGCAATAGCCTTCAATGTTACAAAAACCTGCCTTGAAAAAAGATTTTAAAAACCTACATAATAATCGTCATTAATTTGCATCATGGGCGCATTTACACAAGCCCCAAGGCATTCCACTTCTGTCAGTGTAAACATTTTATCAGGTGTGGTCTGACCCGGTTCAATACCTATGAAACCGAGAAAACAAATATTAGTTTAAATGTAAAAGTACAGGTCACAATTAAGTATTGTGCAGCATAGTTTAAGAGCGATCCGGTTTTCCTCTAGAAAACTAACTTGCTTATTTCAGGCTTGACTGTAATGTGCATATACTATCGGTTTACTAAACAAACGCATTTCAGAAAAATACCTAGGTTAGGTAAACCAAACGATTCCTGTTGTCGATGTTATGATTCACGGTAGGAGTCCAGTATAAATGTTAGGCTAGACTTAAAAGAGTACAAAGTGGCAACTACATAATTGCTTGTATAGGTCAACGGTTCAATAATCCATATCATAAACAATCCTAATAGATTGACAATATTCTATTTACCAAAGAACAAATGGTTTATAAACAACCTACCTTTAAATTCTGACGGCATAGTATATTATTAGGATCCCTATGGTTGTTTAACTATCAACATAAAAAATACAGACTTTGAAGTGAGATGATTTCCCAAGAGATAGGCACCAATGTTAAGCACAATGATGGTAGAAACGATATATTAAAGAATTTATAGGAAAATGTTACGAAATATAATGACATACCAAGTTTTTTCTTGAGTGCGTTTAGAATAACTTCTGACCCTACACCTCCTAGCATACACGGGGTTGTGGTACATATTTGAATGTGATACTTTCCGACTGGTTCCCTGAAAATGAGGAAAAAAGTTCGTCAACAAATTTCTAAGCTATATTACTTAGCGCGCAACATGTCAATTTTAAGTTTAGGTCAGTTAGCCACAAAAACCTTGGAATCCGACACATATCGGCATTGATTCAGGTTTCCATGCCACATTAGTACAGCGAGATGAAATAATGACACGTCAGAGTTGTAAAATTAGCAACAGTATAAGCAGTAATAAGTGGGTATTATGTCACATTGCCACAGATAAGCACGTTAAACTACCGAGTAATACACATAAACTGGTGTTCCTAGATGAAGTATTAAGCGAAAATGTTAACACTGAGAGAATCGGGAACACACAAAATAATGAGAATTGATTATAAAGCGTCAAGTGATAGTTGTGGAAAGGGTGTAGTTGTAGCTTCACTATGTTGACTATCGGGTTACACATTCTTATAGACTTCCTTCTAGTCTTTGGAGATTTAAACACGGGTTTAATTGCACTAACTTATTACATATAGCGTGGTCAGGAAGTAAAGTGGAAGATATACAGAAAAGTATGTCTTGAAAATGTTGCAGGTTAGGGTGTGGGTAGTATTTCAGTTTTACACAGTCATAGTAGAATTACTGGAGCAAATCCGAAAGACTTTGATTGGAGTCTACAATAAGATTATCATGCAAAGAGCGGGTTGAAAAGCTAGAACTATTTACTTTGTCCTATCGCAGATTAAGAAGTCATCTGATTTTGATGTATAGAGTACTAAGAGATGATTTTGGAACTAACGCATCTTCTCTTTTTTCCACTTGATTGGTACATTTTAGAGGACATAGTAGGTGAATAAAAAGCCAAGGACGAACAAAATACCCGTGGTATACAGGTTTTACACCGAGTCATCAATTCTTGGAACGTGTTACCCGAAGCAGTGGTACCCGCACCTTAAGTTGCCTCATTCAAGGGAAGAGTGAATACTCACAGAAGCATACTAGAGAAGGAATAACATAGGTCGTAGGTCTTCTGTCCTTATTACACAAATCTAAATATTTGATACTACTGCTAACCTGTTAAACATGGTATAGAATGTGGCAACTTCATAAACCCTCATCTGGGGGACATTAAGAATCTCTGCCACTTTGTTCATAGCGGATATTGGCAACCATCCTAAATAAAGTTGATATTAATTCAATCTAGCCATTATTACCGTGTTGTCGCTGAGCTAAATCCAAAGCAGGAATTATAGCAGCAGCCTTGTGAGCAGGGGGATAGTTTGATATTATCACATCCAGTCTCTTTTTGTTTTCTGCAGAAAATTCGAAGGTTGTATTAGAATTGTTTTCAGGGGTTTCTCTGTGCTAACATTGGAATACACAAAAATAAAGTACAACTCACTACAAAGAGGTGGGATGATTGACGTCCAAAGTTTCTAAAAAGAAACTCATCTGACCTACACAATAACTGTGACAATAAAACAGATTAAAACTAGCTACCTTGAGTGGTACGGCGCCAAAAGCACGTAAGGCCATAATCCGACCTTGCTAATGATAAGAGATAGCGTACACTTTGAACGGTTTCTCGACCTTCAAAACTGTTAGAATCAAGTGTCTTCTCGTAAACTTCTGATGGCATGTCTAAGACCACTAATTAAAAATAAATATCACTTGCCTTTTGATTGAGAATAGATGATACTAAACTCAGTGTATTCAATCAGCATTTTGTAGTGGTAAATAAATCTCTGTAAATTTTCGACATTGGATGCTGACCACATGTTTTAATGGACTCACCTAGCTGAAGGCGCTCGGTCATGCACCTCACCAGATCACGAGTGGGAACGCTGCGCCCAACATCCACTGCAATCGCTAGCCAGATTAGATCAGACGATTCTCGATATATTGACAGTCAACAAATATATCTTCCGATCTCCTCGATTCTGTCTTTTGATTTCTCTTGGTGGTTCGAGTTATATTAGGTGTTACTGGTAAAAGCGTTGTCAAACACTGAGTACCTGTGCCATCTTCAATTTAAATACTGGAATTCCAACTGATTTTTACATCCCTGGGGATTTCAGTTTAACTTTGAAGAGGACAGGAGGCTAGGTGACTTGTGTTAGTCCCGGCAATGATGGTCCCTCAGTTGATCCAATTTTTTTTAAGGCGTCGATAAGTAGAGCTTCAATCACGTAATGAATTCCATTCGTTGATGATTCGATAGGAAAGTCGATAGTCAACTGACAAGTAATCTGTTCCGAGCTTGTAAACATTTTTGATGTTCTCATAAGTTTTCTGTTTTGGATGAAAAAAAGAATCAGGGAATATCAGATGCGAATTTATCATTAAGCAATTAAAATCTGTGATCAGGTCGCTTCTGGTTCTCTTATATGACAATGGAATTGGGTTGAGCTCAGTCAGCCAAACATCATACGGAAGCTTAGCTAATCCTGGGATCAATTTAGCTGCAGTTCTCTGAATCTTTTCCAGCACTGTATACAAAGTCAAAAAGGTTCTCGTATCGACAAGGCTAAGGGTCCTATGTATTGAACATAAGGTTCTACAACCTTTGGTGACTATCGCATAGTAATGTGTAATAATTTCTAAGTTGTAGCGATCTACTTTTATCAAGAGAATGCTATTGGTTTAATGGAAACAATTATCATTATGGCCAATTGTACCAGTGATTGTTTTACTGTACTTGCTTGTTTAACTGTACTAAAGACATCCATTATTCTTCCATTCTTCTTTCCGTTGTTTGTGATCTTGCACGAACTTACGTTTGTTCGGTAAATCCGCTTGTACTCCTTTGGTACGATCTTGGTATTCTTTCGATAACACGAGATCACCAACAAATATACTTAGCTACAACCTTCAATTGCCTTCTGATATTTGGTACGCAACCTTTCTGTAGTGGTGATCATATTCAACCGTTACTCGACGCCACACTACAAAGTCTTGGCTAACGATGGCTTCTAGGTAATTTTGTATATGGACAACAGGTAACTCAATGTTATTCACTGTGTATGTATTTGCACCTCGATGACCAATATGCATCACAATTCACATGGAAGCACGTATCGGCAACTGCCGAATTTGAGACAAGTCAAACAATTTCTACACGGCATTTTAAAGCTCTAAACGATCACCTTCGTTTTTTATCGCTCTCCATATATCGATAACAGATTAAATGAGATATGGCTTTCAATTACGACATAATTTCGAAGTTTGTGTTATCGCTTATTATCTTTATTACAGACTTTGTCACAAGGACGACGGCATGCATAATTTGACACAAGGTGTTTTAAGGGCTGATATTATATTCTAGCCTCTAATCAGACCAGTCTATTCATTCTTCTCGGGCCACATTTTTATCCTGTCACTTATTCGTTCAATATCCCCGACTGTCTTTTTATATGATCTTACGTCTGCAACTCCTCGTGAATGAACACACTAATCTACGCAGTCGACAAAACAATCTGAAAGTCAGTAGACGGAGGCAATGACTTGCCATAGCTTCAAAACCAATTTGTAGTCGTATCACTTCTAACCACAAGATCCTCGAGACTGAACATAAGATAACTGAGAATATTCACATTCAACATTTAACGGGATGAAGGTCAAAAATGGTGAACGCATGAACAATGGTTCTGTATGGCATGACTTAGTCCTACAGACGCGGCCGTTCTGTACAACTTATCCCCATCCACACCAAATATATTATTCTATCCACAGCCTAAATTAGTTCTTCAAAAGTGTTAAATATCATACTGCCGATTGTCATGACAGTGAGTCAGGATAGACGATGGCATGAATTTCGCATAAGATCTTATACATTAGGTAGCCACATCATGACAAATTTAAAATTCCGGGATCGGTCCTATCATTATGGTAGGGGAGACAAGGGTACTAGTACCGAACTAGATCATAATAGTAGACAACGGGTTAAATTCTAGTCTCTCAACAAATCGTACTAGGAATACTTATCCATACAGGAAGCAAACAGTTCACATTCTCCACAATGATCCTCTCCGTATTGTCCCCACAAATCGCGATCTAGAATTATAAACCAATCGGAACAGGACTCCGACTTAAACTAGATTGGAAATGCAGAAAAATAGATGTGGACTTTAAACTTATGTGAAGACAGTTTCGTGTCATCGTCCCATAGTTCTTACTGACACGTTCGCAGAATGAACACTCAAATCCACCTTGAAGTTCAGAACATTGTCAGATTTTCTCTCTCCAGAAGACACATAAATCAATTGGACCGAGTACAGAATTGTTCCTACCATTGTTTGAAACGTACACATCTCCTTACCATGAAGTCCTCAATGTCAGTACGCCCCCTTCTTTAGAAATCTCTTAAACGAAGCACAGGAACGTGCAAACAGGTGAGTAGTAGGCCTAGGACATAAACCTCACGAGAACAGAATCCAACACCCGGGGTTATTCCTGTTGAGCTACAGAGGATTAGAAGGTGAGTTGATCATGGTATACAATGTATTGAATACGCCGAATCACTCCAACACGAGCATATTATCAGGATATCATCATTACACCCCTCGAGAAAACGTCCAAAAAATCGCACATCAGAGAGTAAAAGTACAGATATGCTCCCACATTTTCTTACTAGGAGTTTCTTCCATTTGGAATGCCGTCACAACCAGATTGTGAACACTATCTCATCAGAGTATAGCTTTAAGGGAGACTTGTTAGAAACGTGCTCACTCATGGATTATCATCTCCCACTTGGGATAAATGTGCTTGATGAATAATCGGCAACTTACCTTGTGAGGGTATTGGTTATCAACTACACAATCCTTGGAGTGAAACATACAATAATTGAGAAGATTCATATTCAGCACCAAGCACTATAGAGGGGGTCAAAAAAATTGCGAACACAGAAATTTAATCAGTATGACATGGCTCGGTCATGTCAGTGTGGGGGAAGGGTAATTACTAGCACGAAAGCCTATTGACATCATTAACTCAAATTTCCTCCTATCTCTCGTATTTTCATCTCCGTTTTCTTCTCTATTTCTAAAATTCAGTCTCTTCACACTGTCTCCATCATTAATTAACTAAATTACTGAATTACTTACTCAATTTTTGAGACAATTGCCATCTCAAAGTATTTGAATTTTCTCTCTATTATTTTTCACGTTGCAACCAACCAACCAACCTCTTGCCTAGTAGTGTGATAACCGTCAGTATCTAGGATCATCATTGCCTGAGAACGATGCGCTCACTCAGATTACGAGATACACAAACTCACAAACAACTACTAAACTGACTTGAAGTAGTGCAGTCGACTGGGTAGATACCACCCACTCAATATTACCAAAGACGTTGAGTTGTATAGAAATATCAAGAAGCGATCAGAAAAGTAACATTCTGGAGATGCTACAGGTATTCGGAGTTTGACAACGCTCTAACCAGCAACACCTAGTACGAATCGTACCCAACAAATGAAATCAAAAGACAGAAGTGAGGAGGTTCGGAGATATATTTGATAGGTTATCAATATGTCGACGATCGACTAATCTAGGCTGGCTAGAGATTGTAGGGGATGTTGAGCACGACGTTCCCACTAATGATCCGGTGCGGATGCATGACCGAGCCCCTTCAGCTAGGTGAACCCATTAAAACTAATGTGGTCAGCATCCAATGTCGAAGACTTACAGAGCTATTTATTTCGGGGATTTTTTATCGCTACAATTTAGTTTATTGAGTTCATTACAAGGCTGTTGGATCTTTGGCTCATACAAGAAAATAACAGATAAGCACGGAAGCCAGCTGGAAAAGAAGCAACATAGTCTATTGGCTTTCTGTCCTCAAAGGACAAATCTAAATATATAATCTAATCCAGATACCATAAAAAGAGCGCGCACGATGATCAGGTACTGTGTAAGTGATTTACGTTCCAATTATTTATGTCGTAGTTTGTTTTTGCGGCAGGATTCTACTGTGGAGTTTTGTTTCAAAACCAATATGAAGTAAGTCTTTTGAAAGCCTTATCATATTGGTCTAGATTAAAAATGTAGCCACGCCAATGGAACTTGGCGAAAGTCTCCTAACAACAGTTAAAGGATTATTAGAACAGAAGAATAAACCTAAATAACTGTACATATATTGCATCGCAAAATTTCTGTATCAAGAAAAGCACAAAGTTATGAATTTTAGCATCAAGTTTTTTAGTGTTTTACACTTTTTGCTTTCTCCATGTTACACATTCATTTTACCCAAAAGTATTAGAAATATTTCTTCACAAAATGCATTTTTTATTTCTGAATGGCTTGTTAAAACCAAAAATTTGCATGTCATATCCAATCCTTTAGTAGAGGATATCGATTTAGATGGAAATCATGATGTTTACTTTTCTACAGTAGATGGTGTACTTTACGGCATTTCGAACGTGCTTAAATGTGTTACAGGGAAGTCATGCGGTATTCCCTACGAGAATTGGCCCGTATCTCACTACGGTGAAATCTTCTTCTCGACCCCCATTGCGGTAAGAAAACAGAGTATTGCTTATTCATTGTAGCAAGTTTAAAATTCTGTTACTTCTTTAGTCTGTAGCTACACAATAGTGGTGGGTATTTTGATTTCTATTTTTGTCTAGTAAACATATCTAACACGCTTCATACCAGCTACGTAGCTAACATATGTTAAGATTCGTTGCAGTGTATATGTTCAGTTGTATGGTGTTAATGTTGTATCACCAAGTCGAGTGGTTTGTAGGGTCCATGTTAGTCGGTTGATATAACAGTTTCCTGCTCAACCAGGTGAATAAATTTCGAGCTGATAAGAGCCATTAAAGCTGACATGGCTTTCAAAGTTGCTCACTAATAAGTAAATATCACCAGCTTCCAACTGGAAATTTAGAACATCTAACCACTAGAAACACTGACTGTCGTCCTTTACTGGTAGACCAACCACAATAGAGACTGCAAACATTATCATGCCAAGGTTGGACCGCTGTGCAGTAGGTATAGGAGTCTCAACCGATTGCTTTCTTTCCTGTTGTGGCTGCAACACCTACTCACTCAATAACGTGCAGTCATAGGACTTATGGGACGGTTTTTGGAATCACGAGAATAAGTCTGCTAGAATGTCCAAACAAAATCAGTCAGTTATAGCGTAGAACCTGGTACATATGTACATCAGTTTAAAGAGAAAGTCCAAATTTTAAATATCCCTGAGGTTGATTAATCTTTTCAGATCATTGTCGTGTATTCGTATTCCATCCACTTTATTATGTCCTTTGGTGACCCGTTTCTGTACCATTATCACGCCGAATTCCAGTAAGTGACCTAACGTATGACTTTCAGTAAATACATCACTGAGTACGAATTTTCCTCTGGGTTGTATGAACTCGTAAAACTTGTGCTTATTAGTACACTAGTCTCTTCATGCTTTGTGGTATTTAGTCTCCATCATAATATTTACTAACGATAAAGGATTTGGCAGCTACTTATAAGCTTAGTCTAGACCTAGCTGCACGTATCCTGTGATAATATATGGTCTTGAGATCTCGATAATCTATCTACTGGTCGAATGTTTGGTTCATAAATTGGTAATTTCTTAAACCAATATATGTCCCTTCAGTGAAATTAAGACTTCAAAGTATTACACTTTGATCACTGACTACACAAACGGGTTGTGTAAAACCACTTTGGAGTACATCTGAAGAAACGTTTGGTTTAACAGTAAGAATTGAGGTATCTGAGCGCGTAAATTGCATGACATATTATTGATTATCCAATAATAAACACTTAACAAACCAAAGAACTGTTGCTTTTGTGGAAATACACCACAGACGATATCCGTTTTGCTGTGAATCAATCCATCTTTTCTTACCGAACTGCCTTTGCTGCAGTGTATGTGGATGTCATGGATTTCTAACAGTCAATTTTGTCAAAACATTGGTTGTGTTTATGATATTAGAGAAAATATGTTGATCAGAAAGAACGATACGAAGCCTTACCGACTTTATTGGCTAAAACATGCATTACAAGCACTTATCCGCTGTCAACTAACCAATTCATCTAGGTAGCCAGGTATGGACACAGTTTCTTTTACAGAAATTAAAGCCACATATAAGTTGAAGAGTAGTGTTAGCATTTAGCTGCGATATCAAAATACGTGGAGCTGGGTTCGAACTTATCGGGAATGTGCGATCCTCAAATAAAACTAAAGGGAAAGGAAATTAATATCGATTAAGATGAATTCCCGTTACAACAAATTGCTCAGTGTAGATTCTGATAATGGACTTCTAGTATGTTCTTATTATGATTTATGTTAGTGAGAAATGCTTAGTTCGTAAATGTTATTTACTGCAATTGATCTATTTTGAATTAGACTGGGGTCATCATCAACAAAGTTTCAATTACTAAATCATTCTTTTTACTCTTATTAGTGGGTCAGAGAAGAGGATAGAAGTTTCGTTCACTATATTCAAGTCTGAGTTACCAAATATTTGTGTAGCACACGACTGCGTAAGGATGTATAGTCCAGTGGTTGGAACTTAAGTGCTTTACTAATCAAGCTACCGCTTTACCGTTATGCTCTATATAGAGCATAATTTGAGATGAACTCAGAGTAATCAAATATCATAACACCAACGTCTCTAACTGCTATTTTGAATTATATCAGAGGTCTCTAAGTTAATCTGTAGCAGTGGCTCCGATTTACTTTTTATATCTCCGAACCTGTCATGATCGTGAGCTTCCTATTCCCCTGTTGTCTTCATGCCCCACTCTTATCTTATGCAACTACTATTCTTAGTCCCTTATATCTTCTCTCTCTCTCTTTATATATATATATATATATATATATATATATATATATATATATATATATATATATATATATATATATATATATATATATATAATCAAATATTTATTCCCAGATCTGTCAAAAATGCACTCTAGCAGTCCCAAAGAAACCACCGCTTGAAGACATGGTTGGACCGTGAACTTAATTGTATTATTGTATTGAAATACTTATAAATAAAACTCGTAATTATGTATAGAGCGTTTTTCATTTGATACAAATATCCCATATATACTTATTTATTCAACCAAAGTAGTATAGTTAACTGCAAACAGCAAAACTGAATATATATGGTTAATTGAAGGCTTACTGTATCCTCTCAATTTTCTGCATCAATTATGTTCACAAAGTGATGCAACAAATTTCTTTTCGTTTTTAAAACTATTTTTAAATAAAGGTTGATGTTTACGCTGAGGGTTTCAAGTCAGTACTTTTTATTAGTCATCATGGAGCAGTGTTTACTTATGATTATCTTGGGAATTTATTATCACATTTTCAAGTAAGTCCTACTTTTTCTCCTGACCGGATCAGATAAAATAGTTTATCTATGTTTAGTTATTATACTTGATTGTAGCTGCTACCTTGACGTAAGGGTCGGGGTTGTCTATCGTAGTGATCTTTTTGAGCTATATTTTCTGGAACAGTTGTTCTTTGAGGTCCTATCTTGTTAGACAGGTAAATCATTTGGGGAACGGTAAGATTAAAAGCAGCAAACTCGTGATTCGAGGGATAAGTCGTACTGCTGAGTGTACCGAAGTGTGACGGCATTGAGGTTTTTCTATTAGACAACCAGGATCTGGAGCAATGCTGCCTTCTCACGACGGAAAGAGCTAGAACAGTTTGGTCCTCAAAATTTCACACCTCAGCCTACCTCATAAACTTCCTTCTTCGATTTGAGGCATTTTGAAACATGGAGCTAATACAGTACAAACTACTGGCAGAAAGCCGGTATGTGACCAGTATGAATACTACTAATTTAGTTTCCCTTTCAAGCCCCTCAAGCAGAAATATCCTTCCACAGTTTCAGGCAACCATAAAGTAATGTCTGTCCTCATACCTCTAATAGCACTAGAGATCCCCCTTCCCATGATCAAATCCCTTCATCACTTTTTAATATGCCCTATATCCCCATCACCAACCCCTATCCTGTTACTTTATCCCAAAACTCCATCGATGCTAACTACTTGAGTCTATGGCATGGAGAGTTCGATTCTGTAAGTTGACAGGTTTTATGTCAGTGTTTGTCATTAAAAGGCGTACCAAAGTGGTGCATTAACCTTATACAGGGTTTCTACTCGAACACTATTGTTCGAGTCAGAAGTTAGGGCAGACTCATTCGAATCGATAACTCTAAGTGATGACCATCAGGATTGTCTTCGCAAATTTTATTTAACTTTGACATGGACGTGCTTTTAGAGATAATACTCATCATCTGAGATTTCAAGAATTGATCTACCAGGAGATTCACTTGCTGATTTGTAATACTCAGATGATATAGTTCTGTTTAATGGCTGCCAAATTTTGGCCATTAAGAATGGAGGATATTTGTAGGTTACCGGTGTTCGACCATACGTGTCTTCGAAGCATCTTCGTGTACTTTGTGACCAATCCTGTTAGCAGTGCTGAGGTTATACGCCGAGTAGTAGGCAAAGATGACAGACTGGTTGGTGGGTTAGTGAAATCTTATCGAATACGGTGATTAGGATAAGTATGACTTATATCCACCTACCGACTACCTCGACGCGCGATGTTGGCTGGTATATAAGTGGGTTGAAAGAAAGCCAGGAGTAGTTAAACCAAGACATGGGATCAGTCCATGAGGACATAGATTGTTGTATTGAACCTTGTAGGTAGGTACAGACTATCTAATCGAGATCCGAGTGATTATCGTGACCAATAGTTATAGAATTTGAATGACTTGACTCAGAATCCTTTTTAATAAGTCAGGTACATTTACTTCTTGCCTTTCATTAGATCATTGGTTTCTAAATTACCTCCTTTTCAATTGCGCTAATCCATTTTTTCTTGAACCGTTTCTTCTCCGACCAATTTATTTTATTGTTGGTACTAACTACTAATCTGGTATTCCCCTTGATCATCTCATCTCTCTGTGATAGTGGAGTACGACAACTTTAACCAACGCACATATCTGCCATGTTATACACTGCATGTCACTGACTGACTTATCTACATAAATACTGTATATTTGTAAGTGAATTTTTTAGGATACTATCAGATACGATTATGACTGTGAATGTGTTGTGAGGAAAAGTGTTCTGAAACATGCCTACATTGTCATTACTGTTTTAGCTTTTTCACCTCATGGTATCAAGTATGGCGCTAGTGGTCATGATAATAATACTAACAATAATAATAAACAGCTTATTCACTCAGTACAAGTTTATACAGTCTGATTCAATTCTCATATTCATAATTTAGAACTAATGACTACTATTCACTTCTTAAGATTTAAGTAGATATAATAGAGTTCAGAGCTGCAACTCAATAGTTAATTACTTTGATCACTAATTCATGCGTGATACACTAATTTGTTATTCGTTTACTTATTCCCATATAAATGTTGTACCACTTGTCATTCAACTGATGTTTACAGACACTAAAACTGATGAAAAGTTTTGCATGGATTCGGTCATATAAATTTCAATTTATATATAATCCTTATAATGTTGCTATCTCAAATCACTTGTCAAAATCTTTAGCATTAAGTAATATCTTAAGTTTTGCTGAAAAACATTGTAAACTCATGCAAATAATAATACCACTAAAAAGGATAGTACTAATCAGTACGGGGTTAAGCGTTCGCGTGCGAGACAGAAGGTCCTGGGTTTGACCCCCGCGTGTGGGATCGTGGGTGTGCACTGTTGAGGAGTCTTATAACAGGAAGAAACAGCCGTCCAATTCTTCCAGGTTTTCATTGGTGGTTTGGCTTAGATTGACTTGTGAATTCAACTGTGAAGATAATACTAATGTTATAGATTGTGAATTATCTGAAAGTGTTAATCATTCTTAAGATTTATAGAACTGTGAAGGTATCTGAGATATTTTAGAAAGCAATTCAGTTAAACTCTATGTGTCTTTTAGTTACCTTCATCTTGTAAACGTGATTGAACCTGGTAAGATCGAATTTCCCAAGCAACTCATGTCATTTAGTAATATGTGCTATACATCTTTGATTCTGACACTAAAGCATTATGATCAACATCAAATAAATCACACATAACGATTTAAAAGTTCTAGTTTTCAAATAAGAGTTCTCAAATGAGTTGAGGTGTCATAGTCCAGTTTCACCAAGTTGTTTTTCGCATTTTTTTGATTTGAAGTGTTCACATACTTGTTTTAATTTTGGTCGACAGATAAATCATTTCTAAATATTAGTAAACCTACTTTCTTTCGTCTAGATTCCGGATATCATTCTAGATCGAAGTACTTTATCCCAAAGAGATCTTGATGAGAATTTATTTGAATCTATACGTTGGGCATCTACTGACAATCAATTACCAATACATAGTGAAAAGGTTTGTTTTTTATTAATAAATCTATCAAATAGACCATTAAACTTATTTACTTAATTCCATTTGAATAAAATGTATTATGGTGGCCATGCTTCTAACTTTTACTGGTCCTGTATCGTGATTACGTAGAGTGATTAGACAAATAAAGTTAACTACCAGTGATCACCTACACAATGTCTTCTACCTTTACAGAGCATATTTCGCAGATTTAAACTGGTAAAGATCAAACTGATGTACAAAATATATTTGTTTTTTGACGTACCAATCGACATCTCGTCTGTACTACAGCTTCTGTAAGTTTGCAAAACCCACCATAACGTTTTGTATCAATGTTGAAATCTCATCAGCCACTAACTACTCTCCCATATGTACATTAGCCAACTTGTCAACTATTTTATTTCATATGATCAGACTAGGCATTTTAAACACTGAAGTAGCAGTGCCTGTATGCATATTGTATTAAAGCGACTTAGTTTATTTCTTTTCAACAGTTCTACTTGGTTTTCCTTCAACCAGATTTGTTATTTCGTTGCGTCATTTTACTAATAATAACGTCTACTTACATACATGAAATTCTTGTCGAAATTCAGAATCAGGATTAATATTTCTCACTTGTGTGGGATTTCCCACAATTCTCAGAAATCAGTTTATTTCACTGACCTTAGCTAAATCACCTAACTTGTGAGTTGATGTGTCCAACTGATTGAGATGGCAAATATATTGTCCAAATGCTGACTTCTGCGAGTGGTACACTTTATGTTAACATCTGACAACCCATAGTATGTGTATATTAGCAGTTCTACACAGACTTATCTATATGTCATAGAGCTATATCTGTTTTGTCCATGATTCGTATGAATTTGTAATTTAGTGGTTCATCATTAATTCTTTTGATCAATAAATCATTATCAATGTAGTTCTTGGGACAAATATATGTCGAATCAAACTTTTTTACAACGGGAGGACGACTAAACGAAACTAACATAATGTATAGCAGAGGAATCGAGATAATCCAGTGGCGATCATAATGAGAAAGACTGAACGTTGAGAATGTGGTTCGAAAATACCAGATGAAAAGGCATTTATGAACAAGTTCTATTAGAAAATAAATAAACAATACACTTAGACAACTATGAAATATTTTAAACCATTTTACCCGTTATCTCCAATAATCGATCACAGTTATTGCTCTAACGGTAACCAGGTAATCTGCACCAACCAACCAAAGCTCCACGACCCATTACGATCGACTATATCGCCTTGATGATTCTCAGGAAAAAATAAATGTTGGGATTAAGTTTTGCTAGTTTCGTGACCAGCCACCTTAGGTAATTCACCATATTTACTAAGCCAGATTTATATCTTCTCAAACTCACGGAAATTTCAAACTAGCTAACAAGCCGCTCTAGATAACCGTACTAACTCAGGCATATCCGGATACACTGAGGATGAGTCAAGGCTAAAGAGTTTATTTCATTACTGAGGTGTATCGCTGATTTTGAAATGATGGAAACAGTTCTTTGTTCAAATAAATGGTTTTGGTTGGGTTATGTTCTTTGGGCTAAATAGTTTTATAGTTTTTCTGAACGACAACAACTCTTACTGTTAGTAGATTTAATTTCACAATTGGTGAATCAGTTCGTTCCGATAACCTCGTTTGTGACTGGTTGTCTGTCTTGGTTTTGTTATCTTCATGTGTTCTTGAGTCCCTGACCCTAAATAAAGCGAACGCCGTGTTTAACTACGTATATACGAAATCATATTAACAGTGACGCGACACGATATGCCAGAACTTGTATCAATGCATTGAAACAACTATGAACGCAAATTTGTTTAGGAAAATGTTAAAAAATGTTAAGGAAATTCCAAATGTACGGAAGAATTTTTAGAAACATGATGTCCAATTTGTATTCAACGAGTGTATCGATATAAATCAAGACCATACGAAAAAAGTTTATCAGTCACATGGTTGGGGGTTAACTGAGCGAAATACTGTCATACAAATATAACAAATCTGTGTAAACACAAGTAGTCACATGTGGGCTAATTAGAACGAACTGATTATTCAATGTTTGAGAAATAATTTTAAGAAGTTCATTTCCGCTTGAAGTAGGCACTCATGTTGTACAGAACAACTATTCAAATGTCGCTATCGAAACATCTGATAGAAAGGTGGAAAATAGGATTTAGTGACACTTGATAATACTGTAGAAAACCAGACCGTTAAATTGGATCATTTGGTTGATACACAAACACACTATCCTAATCAATGATTAGAAGTCAGATTGTGAGCCAAAAAAATGGTATGTTAACACGAATACAAGCATTCAACACAGAGTGAGGTTCAAACAAAGTGAATTAACACTACAATATAATCTAATATATTTAGCATCTTCGGATATGTCTATTTCTTGTCCCACCAACTAAACACGTTTTCCAACACATCACTGTTCCGTCCAGGGGATCCCATACTGTGGATTACATTTATTCGATAATTTATAAGAAATCCTTTAGGTTTTTGAAAATTCTAGCTATTTTTTGTTTGACATAAAGGCTTTAAAATTTCATTTTTATTTATAAGACTTAGTTTTTATATGTATTTTCTTATGTATTTTTAGGATATCCGTCTACATCCCATAGTTTATACAGATCCAATTATCTTAACTTCAGTGATTAGTCGATCGAATGTGAATGACATAAATTTCTTGTATACTGATCTTTTACATATTGCATTAAATTTCGTTAATTATCATTCTTATATCACAACAGCGTCGTTGAATGAGTCATCTCCAGATGATGGTGTACTGGTAGCAGCAATTGTGAATATACCACGTTGTGCTTTATTTTCTGTAAAGAACGAAGATTTCAAGTTATGTTCACCACGTCTTAAAGTATTAGAAGTTGACTGGGTAAGTTATTATCGTTCAGAATGGATTTTAATCCTTTTGATCATTATTATATTTTGTTAACTAGGCATCTGTAGTATGTGATGAATTTTTATATATATATATATATATATATATATATATATATATATATATATATAAGCGCAACTAGGCATAACAGTCAATCTCTTTGTAGACTGGTTCTTTGTCTTAATCTTGTTATTCCTATCATAATTCCAACTTATAAACCAACAAACGCCACCCATTAATTTGGGTGGTGGTTAGATATACATAGCACATGTCCTGATCACTTCAGTCGATGAACATTTACAACGTAATCAATCGATTTTTCACTTCTACATAGTACCCTATTATGTTGGATATTTCGTTTGTTTCTTAAAGATTTTATATCTAATTAGCAATTGTGTAATTATGTTCATCTTTTTTTCTGTTTGCTTTCCTTCTATGTTCTAGTTATCTGTTAAATTACCACCGTATATTTTCTCGTCGCCTATTATAAATGCCAATGTTTTGGGAGAGACTCGAGTCAAAGATCGTTCATACGTTGATAGTTATTATAGTTTTATTACTACATTTAGTGGAAATATACATGTGGTTCAATTAACAATGTTAAATAGTCATGTTAGTCAACTTTCGTTAGAAGTCAATAACATTTTTATTGATTCTCATTCTTTCCGTATCACTCCAATGACCTTATCAGTAAGTCTTGTACATGTATTTTTCATTTAATTGCTATGAATGCGTTTAAAATAAATTTGATGAGTGATGGGGGATGTCGTACTTAATATTTTTCATACTAAAAACTAAATGATATACTGAAATAATTGTAAGAACCAGAACTCTGATGATTCCAACAGTTATGTATGATTACTGGTTCCCTCAACTACGCACACTTTTGCCCAAATTTTATTCGTTTCCACACTTAGGACTGAGGCTGCTAACTGAGGTTTCGGTATAGTAGTTTCCTTGATGTATGCTACTTTGTGCGTGCCATAGATCAATGTGCGATATGGAGGTTCCAGTTGCAAGCTTATCCATGCGCAAACACAGCCACATCATAGCCACCACTTGTGACATATCACTGGACAGATGTAAGTCTACATTTTTTTCATCTTCAGTACTTTCTTCCGATACCTCTTACTACTGCAAGTTGACTTAAGAGTTGGATAAATCCAACGCACTCTTGCCTTATGTTTGAATCTGAACTGGTAAGCGGTTGACCCCACTCCATCTGTGCCTGTCATATCTTTTTTGTAAGGGGTGTTTGGAGGAGAGTGAGCTGAGGAAATAAAACCCAGTGGACCAAACAGATCAAATATTGCACAAGATTCTCCGTTTGGTTTAATGGCTCATCAATTCTACCAAAAAAGCTTAAAAAAGTCTTGTTCCAGTGGGTGCGTAGTGGAAGTCCCTAACTGGGATGAAACACCTATTCAGTGTTTCTCGGTTTTCAATGGTAGTCCAACTAAGATCAGTTTGCGATATTAATTCTAAAAATATGTTTAGCATTTGTACTATAATTTTCACATTCTGGAGATAGTGTTATTTTTTAAAGTATCATCATACTTTCTCTATTACATCCGTCTGTGTGAATATGGCTAAAATGTTGTTACATAACGGTGAAAGATATTAGTCGCTTATAATCAAATTATCAATGTTCTAGTCTCAGCCTATTATATCGGAAACATATCAGATTATTTAACTTAGAAACCTTAACAGTGTTTATATATATATATATATATATATATATATATATATATATATATATATATATATATATATATATATATATATATATATATATATATATATATATATATATAGTGTTATATACCTTTACTAAATTAAAGTTGTATAATGTTCCTTAATTTTCACAGTGTGTACCATCTCCATGTCCATTAAATAAAATGAAATCGAACATATTACAGTATAGTGTACTTACTTGTTGTCTACAAGTGGATATTTATTCTTGTTTACGTCTTGTTCTTCTTGTATCAACTAAAAAATATCATTCTCAAATTTATTGGACATATTGCCCCGCTACTTCTAATACTACTACGACTACATTAGAGTATGGAGAACAAACTGGTCAAGTGATAATTGTTCCTGGATGTCAAAAGTTACAAACTTGTTCACCATGGTCTGTTTACACAACACCTGATGGGTAAGTGCTTTTTGTCTTTGACAATATTTACGATATTATTCATCACTTATACTTAAATTTAAAGTCTCCATTTCATTTTGTCGTTTAAAGTAGAAAAATAAAATAGAAACAGGGATTCATTTTAACCATATCGCATAGTGTAATTTTATATTTTAAAGTTAACCATAATTACAGAAGTTTATTTATCTTTGATGATGTGATATCAAAGTAGTCGCAGTATGTATGGTGCTTTAATCCATTCATACTTATCATTTTCCATCTTTGTCTATCCTTTCTGCATGTTATGTATTTTTGTTTGGTGTGGTTTCCACTGCAGCTTATATTGTTAATTACTTTGCTTTTTATCTTGTGAATTTCTTCATACTGTAGTGATTGATATGTTATACAATCGGACTCACTTATGCACTTTCTACAGTATACATCAAATCTACTATGACCAATAGTTAGAGACTTTGAGCGGTGTGTCTCAAAGTCGTTCGTAATAGCATATTAGATGTATTCACTCTTTGTTTTCCCTTAAGTTACTAGTTTCAAGATTATTTTATAAACTTTTCTCAAGTTTTATTTCTTTGATCCATATTTTATTCTCTGATCGTATCTTAAATAAACTAATCTTTTCTATGACTACCAATACTCTTATTGCCCCTATTATCCTGGTATTTGTTCTGACAATTTCATCTCACTGTATTAATGGATTGTAGTAACCTAAATAGATGCACACATGTTCCGGGTTCTACATTGTGTTTGACTGGCTGAATTACATTATGCAGAGCAAGCGATTAAAAGGAATGGTAATGTTTTAATTGTCAACCTGAACTATAATGTACACTAGTCACAGGTATACATACGTTTGCCCTTTTGATCCAAACAAGGACATTTAAACTAAAACTTTGAGTCGGTGTATAATCGGTCGCCTCTAATCTCATTGCCTCGTTTATAGTGTCTCACCTATCATTTAACTTTGAGATGGCATGTAAACAGGCATGTGATATATGTGTTCTTGTCCTGTACATACATATCTGCGCCGTATTCTGTGTTATGCCTGACTGATTTCGATGTTCAATCTACATAGCTTTTGGAAGGCTTTAGAATTTCTACCAGAATCACTAATCATTTAGGCTAAACTAGTTAGTCAGTTGAATCAAGCTATAACTGTGAATATTTTTAAAAATCTCTACACTCAATCAGTGCTTGTGTGAAATATATCATTTTGGTTAGTTTTAGAGCGAAAAATTAGTTTGCTTGGTAGATCATCAAAAAATGTTAAGATCAGTAATATCAATATGTTAATGACACTTCCTACATTGTTTTATGAGTAGAAAGTTAAATCATATGCACCGAATGTCATCGTAGGAAAAATAGATGGTAAGTCATTTCTGGTTGAACAATCACCTGTGGAGGTTGAGTGTGACATGTGTTATTTCACTGTCAACTCCACAATTGTAGAAAAAGAAACCTGAGGCGAAAGTTGGTAAGAAATCAATCTGTACGCGAAAAAAGACATCGTCACCTCAAGTGTACCGGAAATAGAGTCCTATATAGAAATTTCAGAGGGTAGAGGGAAGGTGAAATTTCTTGCCATAGTGATATGTGATCTGTTATCAATAACCGAATAAACATGTCCCCAGCTACACTAATTGTACAAAAATTTCTTGTATTGTAAAATTCATTCTACTCATCGAACACTCTGTAATTATTTCAATAAACCCTTGTTGTGGTTTAAACTGATTTTCGAATGAATCGACGCAGACTTAAGTGATGATTTATTATCCTGTGATCAACTGTTGTGATCCATTATCTAATGCTAGTACTGTGAACTGATCATTTCTCTCCACTACAACAGGTACCATTACCACTGAAGTATTCAAGTGATGATTGATGTTCACTTTACGGTAGTACTGACCATTTCATTCGGTCACTGTGTCAATGTCAAATTATCTGGTTTCCAGTAATATTTGAATCGTATCGATTGCGTTTACGATGCAGTCACTAAGCCGAGTCACTCCATATCACGTAGCATTTTCTATGGTTCTGGCTAGTTGTTGAGTTTCTTATCTGAAGCTTTCGGGAGCGTAATATCAAAAAGACAGGATCTGTTTTGTGTCACCTAAATCAGTTATCACAGTATGTAAATAGAGTCGATAAAGTTCGTTATTGATTATTCCTAGATGTGTTTTTCATAAGTTTTTTGTATTTTCCCCCACAGTTATGCACATGCTGTCGACATTCAGACCGGATTATCGGCTCCAGGATATCCTGTTAATTTGTTTACTATGTATCATAATGTTACAAATCTTTCTATAGGGTCTGGATTATTATATCAAAGAGAGGATTATACATACTGGTTGGTAAGTTTGACCTTTACTTTATTGTGGGTTTAGTTCCATAATATTTTGATCGGAAATCGCTTAAGATAATTTCAAAGTACGAATGGTTTAGAGATTCTTTTAAAATAGAATTGAATCGACGCAAACTACATTGATCATACGACTAATACACCACAACACTTGAACGTTAATGATCCATTCGCTTATAAGAGGGAGAAGAGAGCGAGAAAAGACGAGTTTCTGGGAAGCTCTAATATCCCTAATAGATGTCAAAATTGTAATAGAACAACTTTGTTTATCTAACAACAAATATAACTTTTAGACAGGAAATTTGGCAAACTAAAAGTGTAAACAACCAATCAGATGATAGTAAAAGCCAATAGGGAAATATGAATTACGAAAAAGTTGTCGCGGACTTCCTTACATATCAAAACTACCATTTAACAAGGAAGTTGTTTGTTAAGACCATAATTTGACGGCTTCCTTGCACAGAATACAGATTAATAAAAAAGTGAAAAAAGTGAGAGTTTCAACAGTTTTTTTCAGTCATAAGAAAGATAAGTGTGCATCATAGTATATATATATCGGTCCACGCTCAGTATTCAATCAATCAGCTACAACGTAGGACCATGCACATATATACATCGGTCCAAGTTGCCACACCTCATTAGCACAAAAAGATGAACACCGGATTCAGCATTGAATGCAGAGTGCAAAGCCTATCACCATCTATCGATTCTCTTATGTTATTTAGGACAATACATAGAAATATTAGGAGATAAGGATATTTTTATATCAACTCTAAGACTAAAATAAAATGATTTTTGAACCTTCTTTAACAATAACAAGTTTTTAGTATTTTGATAGACTTAATACATTTTGTACTAATTTTCAAAATGTATTGTCATCACTGTTACTATTATTAGTAGTACACATTTAAAAAAATTATCGTTCTATCACTTTTTGCATCATCTAGGTTTTTACTGATGTTTACACAAATTTGATTCATTTGCGACTACATAATCCTTTGGTGATAATATCACATAATCATGATAGCATGTTCAATCATCAAACTAATTCATTGCAGACAATTTCATTATCTCCAATACCCTTACCGTTACCAACTGGAGTATCAACGCCACCTTCATACCTCTTATTGTCAAATCATGGTTTAATGTTATTGAGGAGTAGATCATCTCCGATTGTTCAGTCTAGTTCAACATCATTACTGACTTATTCTAAGTATATTGGTAAGTTGATTTCAAATGGTAAACTACACGATTTACACGTTTACAGGCTTTTCTCTGGTATATTTCCGTAGTTAACACTAAACCGTGTTACTTACATACGCCTGTTATCCCTCGTACAGCAAAGGGCACCGCCAGGGATCTTCAACCAACTATGTTCTAGGCTCTTCCTTCCAGTTTTTCCCAAGTGCTACTTATTCTTTTGATGACTGTCTCCAATTTCAGGTGAAATGTGTTCTTTGGTCTGCCTCTTTTCCTTTTGCCTTGAGGATTTCAAGTTAGGGTTTGCCTCGTGATGGATTTTATTAAATCCCTCATTGTGTTTCCTATCCATCTCCGATATTTTTCCCTAATTTCCTCTTCAACTGGAAGCTGGTTTGTTCTCTGCTACGGTAGGTTGTTGTTAATGGTGTCCGGCAAGCGGATATTGAGTATCTTAAGTAGATAATTGTTTATAAATACCTCTACATTTTTGATCATGGTAGTAGTAGTTCTCCAAGTTTCAGCTACGTACAATAGAACTGTCTTAATGTCTGTATTGAACATTCTGACTTTAATGTTGGCTGACATTCATTTTGAGTTCCATATATTCTTCGATTGTAAGAGTGTTGCCCTTGTCTTGCCAATTCTTGCTTCTACAATTGCATCAGATCCTCCTTGTTCGTCGATGATGCTGACCAGATACTTGGCAGTTTCCACCTCATCCAGTTCTTTTCCATCAAGTATGATTAGGTTGGTGCTCTCTGCGTTACTTTTTAGGATCTTTCTTTTTCTCTTTTGTTGTTGTAAACAGTGTAAAATTTCTCACACCGTGTTTATGTTTCGCGAGTTATTCTAAGAAGAAAATGTAATAAAACATATGCAGTTACTTGTTTATCACCTGTCGAATTCACTGAAATAACGCTCCTAAAGTTGTAGTTAAGTAAAAAAACAGTCTTCGGTGCTTGTGAATATTTAGGTACAAAAATATAGAAATAGTAGATAATTTTACAATAAGTCGTAGTTAGTTTAATCTAAACTCACATTCATGATTATAAATATAAGATAACGTGGACAGAACAACACTATGGAAGCTTCTTTGACACTACAGCGTGCCTCAGAAGATAGCCAATATCATACAGAATTCATATGATGGATTAAACTGCAAAATCGTGCATGGAAGACAGTTGACAAAGTCGTTCGAAGTAAAGACCAGTGTCAGGCAAGGTTGCTTACTCTCACCCTTTCTCTTTCTCCTGGTGATCGACTGGATTAGAAGACGTCAACATCTGAAGGGAAGCACGGAATACAGTGGACATCTAGGATGCAGTTGGACGGTCTAGACTTTGCAGATGATCTGGATCTTCTATCGCAATCGCAACAACAAATGCAGGAGAAGACGACCAATGTGGCAGCAGCCTCAGCAGCAGTAGGTCTCAATATACACAAAGGGAAAAGCAAGGTTCTCCGATACATCACAGCATGCACCAATCCAATCACAATTGACGGAGAACATTTGGAAGATGTAAAAACCTTTACATATTTGGGCAGCACCATTGATGAACAGGGTGGATCTGATGCAGATGTGAAGGCGCGGATCGGCAAAGCAAGAGCAGAATATTTACAACTTCGAGACATCTGGAACTCAAAACAACTGTCAACCAACACCAAGGTCAGGATTTTCAATACAAATGTCAAGACAATTCTACTGTATGGGGCAGAAACCTGGAGAACTACGAAAGCCATCATCCAGAAAACACTAGTGTTTATTAACAGTTGTCTACGCAAAATACTTCGGATCCGTTGGCTATAATTATAATCAAGTCAGATAACGAAAAAGGTGTAGTTTGAATGAGTAAAACAGAATAAATTGATAAAATCAATTTGATACTGTTGGGGAGCTCACTAGTTCTTTTACAGAACTAATATGAAAAGGGGATAATTTCATATGAACTTCACGATTTAATTAAACCGACTATATATATATATATATATATATATATATATATATATATATATATATATATATATATAAAACTGAACGGATAGTAAGATTCGACTCATGAGCTTTGGATAGACTGTAGAGTTGTGGTGTATCTGATGTAGTCGGTTTAATTAAATCGTGAAGTTCATATGAAATTATCCCGTTTTCATATTAGTTCTGTAAAACAACTAATCAGCTCCCCAACAGTATCAAATTGATTTTATCAATTTATTGTGTTTTACTCATTCAAACTACACCCTTTTCGTTATCTGACTTGATTATAATCAAAGTATCACCTCTTCTTAGCTTTGTTAAAGTGTTCCAATGTTGTTTAGATTAATAGATATTTAGTGACATATTTACCATTTCTGTGCTGTTTAACAGTTATCGACCAATGTGGTTTCAAACCTGTTTAGCACTTCCTCTAGTAGTAAAGTCAATTTTGAAAATTATTTTGATTATGAGTATAAAATCAATTGAATAGGTACCTGACGTACAGTTTAATAATCAGTAATACATACACTGTAGAACAGTTCTGTTGGGTTTTTTTTTCTTAATAAAGTTTTACATAAAACCTAGTACATCGACGACATATGATCTGTATTTATGTATGTTGACTTTCTGTGATGAAACTTAAAAAAATAAATAATAATGTCACATTTTATTTTAGACAATGTGGACAAGTCCATTACTCAATTTGTAAGTTTATTATCTTTTACTTTTCAATATTTTCTCGATGTAAAGACTTATTTTAATATTCTTAGTAAATTTGTTTCGGTTAAGTGCTATGGCGTGTTACCACGTGACAGAACCGCCGATAAAAACACCGACTTATATGACCTTGCCCCTGTGCTAGACCTATGATGTGTTAACCAGGACGAGCAGCCTAGAATCAACTATGAGTCCTTATTAGTTCTTCTCACCTAGCCTCGACCGTTTAGTCCAAAACACAAATATTAACCTCTACTGTATGAAACGTATATTTCAGACATAAGTGGTTTATATACAAACAGACCAGACCTCATTATACCATAAAATGAAAAATAATGTTTATACACGATCAAGTGTTTGAGTGTGGGAGACTATAACCAATAGATTGGAAATAAATTAAGATTAATAAATCGTATAACAGTAGCCAATAAGTTGAATGAAAGCTTATGATAAGAGGAATACGAATATACATATTATCTAGTTACATAATAGTCATTCAGTCAGTATATATGTAATAATAGTCCATAAATAGTCCCCAGCATTTACTATTTGGATGGAACATTAAGTAGTTACAATCTTGAAAGAACGTGTGTTACCTGATAGACTCGGTAAACCAATTAAATTTGATGAACACTAGTGAACTAAACAAATATGGTATTTATCACTATTCAGTGTTTAGCTAATTGTAAGTATCTCAGTCCTAAAGAATGCCATCTACTGTCTGAATAACTCAGCATCAGCATTCCAGAATGTAAAACGAAGTGACTCGAACTTGAGTCAATCAGGAAACCAACAGCTTCCTTAAAAGCTACTGGTATACCTGTCGTGAATCAAGACTTGGTGGGGAGAACAAATTAATTGTTTAGGAACAACATTACAGAGTGCATTCATAAATTATGAAAACCAGATACCAAATTCATCATTTGCGCATCTTTCATCGGTTAACTTTTACATACTGCATGACTTCCAATTCTGTTATTACTTCGAATGCTCTTTGTTCCTCTTCTTGTTCTCTTCAATTCAATCTTCTTTTGACAAGCATTCTAATTCCTGTTATATACTACCTATGTCTGCCAAAATAAGTACCATGCACTACGAATACCAACTAATACAATATCTATATCCATAGTTTCTTGAGGGCTATGCTTAATCATCAAATATATGTACATTGCAATTAATTAATATATTTTTTTGATGGAGATCATGAGCCGATTGATGTTAGACCACCATTGAAAACCTGGAAGCACTGGGTGGCCGTTTCGGTCTATTATGGGACTCCTCAGCAGCGTGCGTCCATGATCCTGCTCGCGGGATTCGAACCCAGGGCCTTCAGTCTCGCACGCGAACTCTTGACCTACAGGATGCCCGCTAAGTGGTCCAGTAAGTTAAGCATTCGCGTGCGAGACTGAGGGCCCTGGACTCGAGCGGGGTCGTGGATGCGCACTACTAAGGAGTCCCACAATAGACCGAAACGGCCGTTCGGTGCTTCCAGGTTCTCAATGGTGGTCTAACATCAATCAGTTCATGATCTCAATCAAAAATGTAATAATCTCCACAACCCTTATACTGAAAAGTAATATTTGTTTGCTTTATTTTTTCCAAAATTTCTAGATCAGTGTTCAATTCGTTAACGATCATTTCGAACCAGTTGATTCTATTATTCTTGATGATAATAAAAGAATTTTAAATTATTTAATCAGAGATTGTTCATATCATTTAAAGTTATTTAATGAATCCCGATTAGCAAAACGATTTTTAGTCAGAGTAAGTTATTTAGGGAAATTCTTATTGTCTTTTACTTTCAAAAGAATGAATATGTATACATGTTTTTGTTGTTGTTGTTGTTGTTTATTTATTAGTTTAGTCAGTTATGATCAACATAAAACCTGGGAAATTGTGTTTACTAGTAGTAATGTGATATCGATTACAGTAGAAAAGACCAGAGATAGACGATAGGCGATCAAATAGTATGTGAAATTTGAACAGAATTATTATAATGAAATCAGTCTTCTACACATAATAATAATCTATATAACTAGTCTTTTGACCAATCTAAGCAACAATGCAAGCATGTTCGGGATACGATCTTCTCCCTCGAAATGCAAAATGTTGCTTCAGGATTGGGTTGCATCGACACCCGAACTAGTGATAGGGAGTGAAGTAGTTGAGTGTGTCGACCGCTTCACTTATCTTGGAAGTCTCATCAGCCCTTGTGGTCTAGTGTGTGACGAAATCTCAGCACGGATACAGAAGGCTCGACTAGCTTTTGCCAACTTGCGTCATTTATGGCATAGGCGAGATATCCGTCTATCAACCAAAGGACGTGTTTACTGCGCAACAGTTCGTTCCGTCCTACTTTATGGCAGTGAAACATGGCCGGTAAGAGTAGAGGATATCCGTAGGCTACTAGTATTTGATCATAGGTGTCTTCGAAACATTGCTCGTATATCCTGGGACCATCGAGTAAGTAACACAGTTGTTAGGGATCGGGTACTAGGTAAGGATGGCAAATCAATTGATGAAGTAATGAAACTTGATCAGTTGAGATGGCTGGGACACATGTTACGTATGCCCAACGACCGACTGCCTCGACGTGCGATGTTCAGTGGTATAGGAGTAGGTTGGAAGAAAGCTAGGGGCGGCCAAACCAAAACATGGCACAAGTCCATGAAGTCACTGACAAGTGGTCTGGGTCATGTCTGTAGGTGTAGACTACCTGATTGGGGACCGCGAGATGATAGCAACCGATGGTTAGAGACTCTGAGTGACATGGCTCAAAATCGTTTGCAATGGCGCAGGTGCATCCACTCTTTGTGTTCTCCCAAATTCTAATCTTCTGAATTCTTCATGTCCCTTTTTTCCACTTTCCAAATTTATTTCACTGGATTATACTCTTTAAATAACATCTCCAAACACTAATCTTCCCGATTACTGCTTATACTCTTATTACCTCTACCACTACGGGATTTGAATCGACAACTGCATCTCTGTGCTAATGTGGTGTGGCAACTCGAACTGATGTACGTACGTACGAAGTTCTACGTTGTTTCTGACTGACTGATATAACTAGTATTTGTTGGTCTTCACTTAACAACCAATTACAGTTCAATGTCACGCAACTTATAACTATATCTAACCCTTAGTATTTCTTGCTCGATGGTTTTTGCATATATGAACGATGCTATCAATGTATCTATAATAAAATATTAGTAACCTATTAATATCTATCTTTAATCAAAATGTATTACAGATATAACAGCTAGCTACTGTTCAGTATACTCGTCGTTTATTTGATAAGTGAACAATGTACCTGTTACGTCCTTGATCCATCTACCTAATAATATACAGGAGAGAGCTTGTCTCGATCTAAATTAAGGCCTTGACGCAATAGGCTATTTGGTTCAGCCTTGAGGCTAGAAATGTGTGATTCCGAATTGAGACTAACTGTCTGGTGTTGACAGACGAAAAGTATTTTATCAGCTGATTGGTTGACAAGCGCAAGTAAGAAAAGACGAGTCAACTGGAACATTATTCTATCTATTCCTGACTCCAACTCCGATTCACATTCTGATTCAGATTAGTTCAAAAAGATACATGAAGAAATAGACGAGCAACACAACCACAATGCACAAACAATTAGGAAAATAAAACTATGTCCAAGCATTAGAGCAAAAAAATGGAGTGCCAAAGGTTGCGTTTAAATTACAACAGCTTTGGAACAGAAAAGAGTATGGCAGTGAATCATGTATCAAAAGAAAACTTATGGTTTGTAGAGTCAACTAGGGACAAAACTAAATGTCAGTGTTTTGAACTAAGTAAAGTAACGTTACCAAAATAGCTTCTGTTGTTTGTCACAGCTTCTATGTTTCTCTGTTCACATAAGTACTAGTGACTATGGTTTATATATTAATCTGTCATTATTTGCCCCCTAATGCCCTGGTACGGCCAAAAGCGAGGAGAGTTCGCTCTCCCTCTCGAAATACTCTCACATGGCCACGCGTATAGAGCCTCTGCCAGGGAAGTCCTAATCACTGCCTTCTCGTAGCAGGGGTATTGTTTATGAAATCGAGAGGACGAAAAGCGAATGTCCGCCACTTTAACCGGGTTGGTGGACATGGAGAGTCCACCTAGGGAAGTTGGAAAACCTTCATTCCAAACCAATGGTGCACATGGGCTCCAGTATCCTGAAGGAACAAATGGCGTATGAACCAATCGTTGCTCACCGGCTACCATGGGACTGCATCTCCTTACGATGCTCCACTGCCTTGTGGATCAGACCCTCACACCCTCCGGGTGTGGCCTCCTAAGCAAACCACCTGCTTCGGTTTGGGCACCCGTGCAGTATCACAGCCCTCACACATATCAAATAAGGTTTGTGTAGAGAATATGTATTTGATGCCTCCTTGTACCAATATCTATGTGTTAAAATAAATAAATAATGTCATTATTTAACAAATGAATTTTACCAGGTAGCAGACCTAGTGTAATGTATATTATCATTCTAAGCTTTGGTATTCATATCCATGCTTTTTTTCATTAGGGTTTTTGCTTACACTTACTATCATTACTATTATTATTACTACTATTACCATCATTATTATCACTACTACTATTAATGTTGTTATTATTACTGTAAATACTACTTCTTCATTTAGTTATTAACATCATTTGGTGTACCAATATCGGAATGGTCCAATGCATATCTAACTACAAATATGACATGTCATTATCATTGTTATTGTTTCAATGGTTCATTGTCTATTCAACATAGTTTACCATTAAATTCATATCATAATGAATTATATCTGTCAGTGATTGATTCAACTAATGGTTATTTCATTGTTAATTATCCAATGATAACAAGCTCTCAAATGATTTCTACACGTATTATTTTACATATTGGATCATATCAAACACAATTAATTGTCAGTTTGATTTATTTACCCGGAGTTTATTTATTTATTGGATTAACTATTATTCATTGGTTTTCTATATTAATAACAAAACAGAAAATGATTGTACATAATAATAAATTGATGAAACAATCTATTTGAGTTAAATTTTTCGTTCTTTATTTTATGGAATATATCTAAATAACAGCAACAAAAATCTATTGTTCATACATACAGTGTAAACATCACAATGGTCAACTACAAATCTCATTACTTCCATAGTGTTTTAAATCCTTTTCACCTTTTTCTTCTCTGTGTTAATGTACAATTATTCCACTTGTAGTGTTAGACATTAGTTTTAGCCCATAATATATCTTATTCTAGTTCCCGGACATTCCATTCTATTCATTGTACTTGAGTCATGTTTTGACCTTGTTAATTATTCGCTTATCAATCTAGACTGTTTTTTTTTTGAGCGTATATGTGTGTGCCCTTCTTATTCCATTAATCACATGTCTGTAGCTTTATTTTGTCTGACTATAAATATTGAGTAATGCCCGGCTTGAAATGGAGTTGGCTTCCCAGCCTTCTTCCATACGTGTCATTTTTGCTTTGCTGTGTCTCATTCGCTTCGTGTACGAAATATATGTATTCTGAAGTCAATTCTCGTTATTCGACTTATTTAATTTCGTTATTGGATAACGCGATTTAAGTCGATGACGATATACGAGAAAAGGCGATGACAAACATCCATACAATCATTCGTACGCTCTAAATGGAGTCAGATCAACGGGCTCACCAAATATGTGGTGGTTGGTATTCGATATAATCCTTAAACTTCGTATAGAGCTCGTCTTGATAACCGTTCTATATAACGTCCCAACGGCATATTAATCAGAAGACAAATACGAAGTGTTGATTACGTTTATTACGAGACCACACACATATATCCAAATGTACAGATGCGTTAAACAAGCATGGAAGAGTTGTGCTAAAAGGCAAGCAAGCGAGCGAGAGCCATAGCAAAGCAATTTTGACACGTATGGAAGAAGGCTGGGAAGCCAACTCCATTTCAAGCCGGGCATTACTCAATATTTATAGTCAGACAAAATAAAGCTACAGACATGTGATTAATGGAATAAGAAGGGCACACACATATACGCTCATATAAAAAACAGTCTAGATTGATAAGCGAATAATTAACAAGGTCAATACATGACTCAAGTAGAACGAATAGAATGGAATGTCGGGAAACTAGAATAAGATATATTATGGGCTAAAACTAATGACTAACACTACACACTTTTTTTTTCCTATAGCTTGTTTCATTTTCATGTTAGTTTTCATAATTTCTATGTTCGTAGCATATCAATGTTATATTAATACATTTGCATAACAATATTCTATATGTGTATATAAGGAAATAAATAAAATACAATACATTATAGGCAAGAACATGATTTCTATCTGTTTCTGTTTAAGATATATGTGTATATATTACATTCTGTATGTTTGTAAAGCATGATTTTTTAGTTTCACAACTGAAATCACGAGCTGATCTAAGCTAGATCATTATTGGAAACCTAGAATCTCTAGATGACTGTTTCGTCTTGGCGTAGGACTTCTTATCATTGCGCATTGACGATTCCCCAGTTAGGCGTTGAACCTAGGACTGTCGGTCTCGTGCGTGAACGCCTAATCTCTGTTGTATCCGCGTCACTTATTTCTTATACTTGAAAACAAAGAACTACAATTCCCATGACACTAAGTAAAAACACAGAAGACTGATACAAATGAAAGCACAACAGCGGTTGAAAATGCACTTATTTATATATTGATTTGTGAGTTAGTCAATCATCTACAACTTAGGACGAGGCACACATATGCACCTGTCCAAGTTGCCTTACCTCATTAGCACAACAAAGTGGATACGAAATTCATAGAAGTAGTTATTTCAATCGTAGTAATATATGAAAGGAAGATTACATATAAAGATATAATACTGGAAGAGAGAATTAGGTCGTAGAAGGAAAGGGATAAATCCATTTTAATTTCATAGTTTAAAGGAATAAAAAAAGTGTATACACTTACACCATTGTCGTCGGTTCTGAAGCATATCTTTCATTCTCCAACCACTGCTTGAGATAATCGTGTGAACTCCAACCATGTAGTCTGAATCTACCAACATGGCTTAAACAAGAAGTTGGTGACTTTATGAACTGATGTCTTGTTTTGGTTTGGCCTCTCCTAGCTTTCTTCCATCCGCCTCCAACTGTGGTCAGCATTGCGCACCGTGGTAATCGGTTGTTAAGCATGCGTAATACGTGGACCAATCAATATCACTCGATGTAGATTCACAACTTCATCAACTGATTTACCACCATTTTCTAATATCCTGCGTTTATCCTCACTATTACTACTATAAACCAAAGTATTGATTTTTGCACCGATTTGATTAATAATTACTTAAAAGTAATGTAAATGAAAAATGCCCAGAATCGTAACTAAATCACACGCTCCATGTCATAATGAACTAAAGTTCTCTTTAATTTAATACAAACAATGTTATATATTGAATGACGTATCACACTGCAAAATAATACACTGAGTATTCACTGTATTGAATTTCTTTTAAAAAAGACAAAATAATGTTGAACAATTATCACAATGTGCTAAAAGCGTAATTTTGCCTTTTCATCCTACCATGTCAACTTCTAGACTACTGAGCTGGCATCTAACTGTGTTAATGTTTCAATTCAGTCGATCTATGATCTTGCGCGAAACTTCATCCATTGCCACATATGAACATTATCAAAATGTTTCATAGTAAATACTTTCAACGAGTTATTTTTGAGAACTGTATGTGTATGGAAAAATTCCAAAACAATGCATTTTGTGTACATTACATGTACACGTAAATATTCCAAAGCTATGTATCCAGGACACATGAAACAACTACACAACAGACTTAGTCATTACTTAGTTAAGAAACAGTCATATCACTGTTAACTAGGGTTGAATTAGTATGGAATCATACTGTATCTGTGAACGGACAATATTCAATCAACAAAGTGCATTAGCACTTGTAAATCAATGTTATAATTCAAGTAAGTTGTTTAGAACTCAATAATGAAAAATGGACTAATTGAATAAAAGTTCAATAGAGTAGAAATCTTCACGAAAATTAGTTAGTTTCACATTGAATCGGTTGACAGTTATTTTTATTCTGAAATTAATCCTAAAGAATTTTAGTATTATACAAACATCTCATTTGGGAGATATCATGTTTTCTCGTTTTAACTAAATTAGAAATTAATGAATCGCTTTTTGTTTTGTGTTGTATTAACTGTATATAAACCGTTTGGCTAGAAGCTCAACATTTCAATCTGTACTTAGCAATGATAAATTGCACATTAACACTGACTGTGTGTGTGTGTGTGTGGGGGGGGGTGTTTTTTAAATTGATAGTCATCTGTTGCCTAATTAATATCCCAGTAATATAAAATCAATATTCATAGAAAAAGCATTTATTGCTATGATATTAGATACACATTTGGGTAATGAGTTTCAACAAGCTTAAAACCCCACTAGGTCAATTACCATTTCATTTATTTCTAACTTTGTATTTCTCATACTAAACAGAATTTCCCTCTCTTTTTCAGTTATTATACAATTAATTTGTTTATCGTAATTCATGAATTTCTCAGAAATTTTACGAAATTTATTATTCCCACCTCTTTCTCCTACTAATTCTTCAATTCATAACACTGAATTACATAAAGCATCAATCTATAATAACGATAATACTCATCATATTAATAACAAATTATGCTTATTATTAAGTCATGGAAATGCTGTACATGAATTATTCTTTATTGAATGTATTAATCAATTTTTACAAAACTATGCTACAACAATAATTCATCCGTCTCCTATTCCTACTACCATGAATATCATTGATGATGATGATGATGATGATAATAATAATAATAATAATAGCACAGTTCCTGATAATCAGCAAAACACAATTAAATGTTTAATTTTTTGTTTTCATAAATCATGGAATATTTATCATAAATTAATCAATCCATTATATGCAAATAATATAACATTGAAAAATAATTTAACCATTATTGATATGACAGTAATGCTAGAGAATTTACTACTCAAATCAAATTCATACTCTGAATTAGATAATAATGATAAAGATTTAACTACTGATGAAAATATTGGAACTATTATTAAGAATTATATCAAAGACAAGGTAATTAGATGTATATATATATGTGTGTGTATGTTTTCTTAAAAAGATTTATTTATTTTAACACATAGATATTGGTACAAGGAGGCACCAAATACATATGCTCCACACAAACCTTATTTGATATGTGTGAGGGCTGTGATACTGCACGGGTGCCCAAACCGGAGCAGGTGGTTTTCTTAGGAGGCCACACCCGGAGGGTGTGAGGGTCTGATCCACAAGGCAGTGGAGCTTCGTAAAGAGACGCAGTCCCATAGTAGTCGGTGATCAACGATTGGTTCATACGCCATTTGTTCCTTCAGGATACTGGAGCCCATGTGCACCATTGGTTTGGAATGAAGGTTTTCCAACTTCCCTAGGTGGACTCTCCATGTCCACCAACCCGGTTAAAGCACCGGTGTTATAATTGTGGACTGCAGATTAGAGCGAAGAGTATTATCGATCGGACCAAAGACGCGTAAACACGTAAGAACGGCCTAGAGTTCTGATTAGTCCCTTTTCCCTGTCTACCCCAGCCAATTGAGTCCAGAACGCAAGTCTCAGCCTCTGAGATATGAATCATTATATTTCAAACATACTCTGTTTATATACCAATCAAGCAGACCACAACGTACCATAAAATAGAAAATAACATTTGTACAATATTTGGCCAACAGGAAAATGACACGTGAAATAAACATTGACCAGTAGGGAAACGACACGTGAACTAAATATTGACCAATAGGAAAATGATACCGCTTTAAGTCCAAGGATAGCATTAGAGTTAACAGGATAATTTTTGGGATATTTTCCTGAATATCCCAACAGCCGGACATTCTATTTTCGTCCTCTCAATTTCGTAAACAATACTCTCGCCACAAGAAGGCAGTGATTAGAACTTCCGCGACAGAGGCTATGTGAGAGTGTTTCGAGAAGGAGAGCAGACTCTCTCAGCTCTCGGCCGTACCAGGGCATTTGGGGGCTTCTTAAAAAGAAGTATTATCTGAAGAATTACGTAATTATGGATCTTCGTGTTAAATAATTTATTAAGTAAGATAGGAACTTTTAATGGATTTGCGTTTTCTGAGTTGTTATAGTTTAGTTATAAAGTGTCCATTATTTTTCTAAACAACATTATCAATATTAGACTTCAGATAGAACTGAGCTATTTGAATTTAATGTTAATAAAACAGGATGTTAGTTATGTATTGTAAAGTTCAAATAGCTCATTTCTATCTGAAGTTGTCTAAAAAGACAATAACAATTTTCACAATCAAATTGTTCAACTCAAAAACTCATTTCTACTAATATAATCTCTATTATGTAACTCCATATTGTTTGCCTGTGTGCTAATGATACTACCCAGTTACCTTGATATATTTAGGTGAGGAGGTATATGAACTTATACATCGAAAATCAAGTTTTGTAACTTTTATTTCACCGTCTTTGAAACAATACCGTATAGATGAATTCTCTCAATATTCTGCCCAGATTAAATTTCTACCCAATGTAAACACACCAAGAACTAGAAAGTAGCTGTTTCTTACTGGATTGAAACTCAATAGGGTGCGCTTAGAAATATACATAGAATTAAATTCGTTATCTTCATGTCACTGAATTTAGACAAGGAGGTTACACCACTACTATTATAAATAACGATGGTAAAAACTTTTTCGCTGTAGTGCAAATCTGCTCACTTAAGATTACGTACTGATTGTATACTTTTCGTTTCTTTTCTTCATAAAAACCACCTATTTTTAGACTGATGAATTTCTGAAGAATAATTACACAACTAATCCTTCGAATGGTGTGCAACAAAAAAATATTGGCATTTTCATTGATAATATAACAGCTTTATATGATCTAGGAGTTACTGTACGTGAATTAGAACAATTTTTATGTAGTTGGCTTTATCATTCACGTGATCAGCAAACTGCCATCAATATAGCGAATATATTAGTTTGTATCGGAATACATATTGGAGATTTTTTCCAAGATTCAATTGTATCAGAATACGAACCTGCTTTAGTACATCTCGTTGGTCTATGGAAATCACGGGCTTCAATTACACTAGAATGTAAACCATTACTAACAGGTTATACATCATTGGTTGATGGTCAGGTAAATTTCTTGTAAACTCTTTAGTATTTGCTATGATTTAGTATGTTTATATAATCCCTTGTTCCCAAAATCATTCACATAAAATTTATCATCAGACATCTGTAACTATTCGTTATTTCTATTTGAAGACTGATGAGATATCATTATGCATGCTGATTCCTAATTGATTAGACAGTTTTCTTCAGCTTTGTTTATCCTATTCTCCTTACTGGTTGAGTCAGAGCTTATGGCTAACTGTTATTGAAATCGACAACTTCAATTGGTGCTCGTCAGGATTGTCCTTCCCCATTTTTAGTTAACCTTGTTATTGACACTTTTAAAGATACCACTCTCATCATCTGAACTTTCAGGGGTTTGTCCTTTACTAAGAGATTAACTTTCTTACCTAGAATACGCAGATGATGTGGTTATTTGATAAAGACACCGATAAAATTCAGAGTATTCTGACCACCATATGTTACTGTCTTCAAATCAAGCAATCCTTGGGTTAGGGATAAGGCACTAGGTAAGAATAGCAAATCTATCGATGAGGTAGTAAATCATCATGTGTCACGTATTCTCAGCCATCACCTACTTCAACAACAGATATTGTCTGTTATAAGAGTAGGCTGGGAAAAAGTTAGGATCTACCAGAGGAAGACATAGCACCAGTTCACGATGTTATCGACAATGGAACTGATCCTTTTCAACAGGTATAGACTACCTGGTTGGGGTCCGCGTGATTATCGTAACCGGTAGTTAGAGAGCTTCAGATTATATTTCCTTGAATCGTATGTGCCTAATTTTTCTCAACCGCCACTCATACTGTTACCATCTCTGTTGTGAACGAGAACGCAGGTGGGGACAACCAATGTATTTTAATGCTGAATTCCAGAGTTCTTTAATGAAATATGAAATAAATGCATCAAATATTTCATTTGCAAATCCTCCATCAATGATATCAAACTTCATCTACCTTTATTGCCATAAAGATTACTCTCTGTTCCTGTTCTTTTCGAGTCTATCTGCTGCCAGACATCCCACTTTTGATTGGTGTCACATACTACTTATGTCGACATAAGTAGCATGCACCACACTTCTATTAAAATGGGATTTGCCTTGGTAATTCTATCTCTGTGCTAGTGGGTGTGGGAATGTGAACCGATATATATGACTGTTGATTAACCAATCACAGTTTAAGATAATTTTTGAAGTCTAAACCAGAACAGTCGGATGTAGAGACAAAATAACGTTACTTTATATAAATTTCCGCTGCGTAGTTAATTACGATTACTTCAGTTGATTGCAATTTATGTTGTTCCGTTTTCTCTTTTCTTTTCAAAATTAAGTTAATTTGTTGGAAACGTTCAATAGAGGATAATATTAATCTTCAGAATGTTAACACTTCGAGCACATATCATTTTCATGTTGAAGGTAAACATATAAACTGTTATACTCCAGGAACTTCAAAATTGCTAACATGAGTATTTTAAACTATCTTGTAAATAAGTTTTTTTATGGCAAAAAAACACCCCATTTTTATTTGTTGTGATTTTTAAAATTCTGAATTTTTACCCACTAGATCAGAAACTAATAATGATCCGTTCGTGTGCACCAATCATATAAATGACTAATGACTTGGAACAACGACTGGAAATCCTAATTCCCATTTGTTCACACAATGACTAATTAGAACACGAAGATAGCAAGCAGGTTTATTGTATTCTGTACTCTCCCGATTCAGAAACTGACAGATTTTCTCATTTGGGACTTGTCAGTCGCACACGCTTACATCCTATTGTTGATGTTTAGTCCGGGACTCAAGCCCACTTTTGTTCGCTCATAACTCCATTACGTTATCAACTTAGTTACTGATTTCAAATAACGATTCACTTGTATAATTGGTGTTATAACTCTGCTTCTCTCTTTACGGTTAATGTCCCAGCTATTCCTATTGCTTAGTATTCTCGGACACCGATTCACTCGACAAGTCCCCAAATCAGAACACGGTTGAACAGGAAAAAGATTATATTCCAAATAGCAAGTCAGAAGCCAGTAGGAAGCACAATAGGGGAAAACGTCGGTATATTTATAGTTTTTACATAAGAAGATTCCAGAGTATTCTCCGACTATCGACTAGTGCTGATTGGATAAGAATCAACCAATCAGCGTGCACCAAAACAATCGTGCATTGAGCATGCTTTAATCTAGTCTATGTCCCGCCAACAATTGGGTGAATTTTAATTCATTTGTATTGGTTATTTGAATCGTTCTATTGATGTTTTGGCTGCAATTGATCAGAGCGCGGTACAATGTTAGAGTCTCTGGGATGCAAGTGTATTCAACTGACGAGTATCAAGTAGGACGAAACGCACGTTGAGGATTCCACTGCTAGCCACTATCCATTTCTGCTTATACAGCCTAATAGGAACATCGAGGAAACCTGTACAGGACGTACATATGCCAAGGGACTGATCAATTGTAGTATTAAAAGTCAAATCAAAGATCCATACAACCAATACAAAAATGAATTCATGTTTTTGCATGAGATCATGTTTATTCCTCATCAAACAGAATGTCACCCATTAATCCTTAATAACATCTTAATAGCAATAAAACTGAAAGTACTGCGTTCTAATGAAGGGCAAATATTTTTACAGGAATTTCCATGAAAGATAATACTACAATTTTCATCATGGCGACATTATAGTAGGCAGTGTTAACCACTTAAAATCTGTACTAATGGTTTTAATTGATCGATAAACTAGTTTGAGAGAGCTTATTTTCCCACAACCTTAAGGTGATAATAGCGTACTTGTGAGTGAAAAAGCACAGAACACTGTCTCTTATTTAAGCAGTCCGTTTTGTTAGATTCTCCAGTACAAATTTCAAGTATTACAACGTATCCATCAGTTTACTTACATTGGGATTTTTGGATACTGAAACTTTCTTAATAAAACTACCATAATCGGTTCGATGGTTGGAATTACTCCCATTCAGATCGACTATCATATAATCTTTTTTATGTTTCAGTTAATTATGTGTGACGAAAAGACAACCTAAAACCCCTATAACTTGTACATGATAACTAAAGTCATTTACATATAGTCGCTTTTATCTGCATTAAATAAACGAATGTATTTCACCAGTCAGAATTACTTAAAAATACTGTAGATAAACATCAAGTTACAACTCTAAGACCAAATGAGTTAACAGATTGAAAATATGAGTCAGTTGAAGCTAGACCACCATGGAGAATCTGGAAGCACTGGACGGCCGCTTCGTCATAGTATGGGATTCTTAAGCAGTGCGCATCCACGATCCCGCACCCCGCGAGATCCGAACCCAGGACCTACCAGTCTCGCTCCAGGCGCTTACCAACTAGACCACTGAGCCGGCATCCACAAACCCCTTCTGATAATAATCATCTGCTCACTAGTGACTGACTTCAAGAGATACTCCTGGAGTGAGAAGCCGTTATCAATGGAGTTCAACCGGGTCTTTTGTGAGATATCAATTCACTGAAGACAATGGTGTACGGCGGCGCAACTTCGTGGATTGGTTGGAGTTAGACATTAACACCATTGGATGCCGGCTCAGTGGTCTATTTGGTTAAGCGCCTGGAGCGAGACTGGTAGGTCCTGGGTTCGGATCTCGCGGGGTGCGGGATCGTGGATGCGCACTGCTTAGAAGTCCCATACTATGACGAAGCGGCCGTCCAGTGCTTCCAGATTCTCCATGGTGGTCTAGCTTCAACTAACTCGTGATTTCAATGTGAAATTTCTAAAATCTCCACAAACCCCTTCTGATAACAAATGATTTGAATCAAATTATTTCTTCTAAATTGTAAAAAACAAAATGTTTTAAACCGTGTTATTTTCTTGAGATTGAAAAAGAGCCTCATATCATTTGTCTAATTGAGTTTTATGATTAGAAACAACAAATTCATGTTTTCTAAACACAAAATTATTCTTATAGTAACATTCTTAAATGGTTTTACTTTTCGTTACCAATACACTCAAATAATTGAAATTTACAAATTATGCACCTTGAATTGTCATACTGTAGTGAACGAGAACACAAATGTGGGTAATCGAATGTATTTGAACACAAAATTACAGGATCTCTTATTGAAATCTGAGAATCATACTGTAAATACCTAACTTGCAAAATGTTAACCGGTTTTCTCAAACTTGACTGTTCCATTTGCAGATATCAGTCAATAATCTCAGATTTCATTGTGTCTGAATTTTAATACAAATGGCATTCCGTTCTTTCCTTCTCGATCTTCTACTGAAATACATTCTATCTCTACCGTTATATACTACTTATGTGTATATAAGTAGCTCACACCACAATACTACAGTTGTAAAGGTTAAATCATTACACAATACAACTATATGTTGTTAGGTATTCAATGAAAGAACATGGATCAATATATTTGTTTCGAGTGAATTATTGAAAGAGTTCGATTATCTCACTGATTCATATTTTCTTCTTCGGTCGTATTTTCAATCAATCATTTCTATAATCACTAATACTCTAACTGCCCCTATTAATCTAGTATTTATTCTGACAATTTCATCTCGGTGTACTAATGGGATGTGACAACTTGAACCGATGTACATATGTAATAAGTTCTATATAGCGTTTAACTGACTGATATAATTATTTGTGGAAATAAAGACAGTCCTCTAATCACAGGTGCGATATAAGATTAGTTGCTGGTTTATTTGTTCAACAAAGATACAGCGATAATCACCAAGTTTCATTTCCTTGATTGATGTAGACGTTTCTTTACCATTAAATCAATGACATGTTAATGAAAAACGTAGGAATCGATCATATATCTCTTTGTTAGTAAATAAGTACATCATCATAAGAAATATGCGTAATTTATACAAAAGAATAATGTTTATTTCTATATTGCGGAAATTATTATGGTATAAACAAAAGATTGAGTCGGTTGGAAATTCAAAATTTACACATAACAAAAGTCAATACTAATAAGCATCTTCATTTGGAATCATTATCAACAGTTGTAGTTTGAACAACAACATTTGAATTGAGTGTTATATAAAAATTGCCTAAAGCTGATTTTAAAATGTTTGCATGTGTACGTTTTTTAGATAATGGCTTTTGAAATTCGGAACCTGTACAAATAACACCGATTAAACTATTTTCTGCTAAACTTGAATATAATTTTGTACAGAATTTACACACTTTATGGTAGCATTTCTGTAAAAAGTAAAAAGAAAACAAACAAATAACAACAATATTCAACAAGGGTACATTAGTAATGCAAAATATACTTACACAATTGACAAAGAACACAATTACTTTTTGGTATTAATGCGTTTATTTTGATAGTATTTAAGACTGTTCAACTTGATAGAGATTATCAACAACATTTTTACCAAAGGACGTGTTTACTGAGCAGCAGTTCGTTCTGTTGTACTTTATGGCAGTGAAACATGGCCGGAAAGAGAAGAGGATATTCGTAGGTTACTAGTATTCGACCCTAGGTATCTTCGAAACATTGCTCGTATATCCTGGGACCACCGAGTAAGTAAGTCAGTTGTTAGGAAACGGGTACTAGGTAAGAATGGCAAATCGATTGACGAAGTAGTGAAACTTGATCAGTTGAGATGGCTGGGACACGTGTTACGTGTGCCCAACTACCGACTACCACAACGTGTGGTGTCTTATGATGGAGTAGGTTGGAAGAAAGGTAGGGGCGGTCAGACCAAAACATGGCACAAGTCCATGAAGTCATTGACAAGTAGACTGAGTCATGTTGGTAGGTGTAAACTACCTGGTTGGGGTCCGCGAGGTGATAGCAACCGATGGTTAAAGACCTTGAATGATATGGCTCAAAATCATTTGCAGTGGTGTGCGCAGGTGTATCCACTCTTTGTGTTCTCCCAAATTCTAATCTTCTGAATTCTCCATATCCTTTTTTCCTTCCAAATTTATCTCACTGGATTATCCTCCTTGAATAACATCTTCAAACCCTAATCTTTGCGATTACTGCTTAAACTCTTACTACCTGTACAACTACGGGATTTTAATCGACAACTGAATCTGTGTGCTAATGTGGTATGGCAACTCAAACTGATGTACGTACGTGCGAAGTTCTACGTTGTTACTGACTGACTGATCAACAACATTTATTCTATGTATTGCTGTTAATATAATTAATGAATTAAAGGAAATATCATTTTTGGAGTGGATAATAATCGTTATTATGGTTGGTGAATCAATACTAATAAAATAATATATGTATAATTAACTATCATCCACCAGGCACTTGGATATGTGCTTGAAGTATGAGCCACACTTCAAGTGAGAGTCAATGATACTACTATCCCGTTGTTTAAACCTTACGATTTTAAGCGGAGTTCGAACTTGAGAACTTAGTGGGTGAAAGCCGAACGCCTTAATCTCTAAACTACCGCCCTACTTTAGTCGAATAGTGATATGGTAAACCAATCAGGGGCAGCCAAATTAGAGGGTTGATCGATAGCAATTAGAAGTGACCTGTAGGACAAGTGTATTTCATTGGCTAAGAAATGGACTGATTTCCTAAGCGGTAGAGTTGTATAATATTTATATGGGTATTTGTGCATTGTATTCGGTAGTCCAATGTACTTTCTCGCCCAAGCAGTCAGTTTGGGGGGTAGCACATTGCATGTCGTGTATCAGTACTAGATTTCGGACACCGCTTAGATAACCGCCTCTTTCTTGCAAATACTAACTTTAAACATAAGCAAAAACATCTTTTAACATGGCGACCCCCTAATTCGTCCCAACGTTGGACCCAAATAGACCATATCGCTATCAGCCACCGATAGAAGGACTCGGTAGAAAACTGTCGATCATTCTGCAGCACATGCTTAGATTCAGATCATGCTCTAGTGCGAGCGCGTACTAGCCTGCGTCTTACTGGACGTAGGAAAGACACTACAAGGAAACCTCCTAGGGTCCTACTTAATGATAGTCAAGCTAAGAGTATATTTCAGGAACAACTAGGAAAACAGTTAGGCAGCCATGTGTGTGATGCCCACCCCGAGGCAGCATGGAATGATATCCGAAAAGCTGTGGAATCAGCAGTGATATCTGCTAGTACGGTAAACCGTAAGGTTAGGGAGCAACACTGGATCTCAGCAGCATCTACCGCACTGATAGATGCTCGAAAATTCATTCCATCTGGCTCTGAACATAACGAAGAGCGGAGTCAGCTTAAACGCAAGCCGACAAGAATCCTACGCAGTGATCGTGAACAGTGGTGGGTAGCGTCCTTGACGTTGATTCCTAACAAAAAAAGAATAAAAGTAGGTTGACATTTAATGCTGAAAAGGCAGACCAACTATCAAATCTATCGTTTACCATTACCATCGGAATATATGTCATAAATCCCAGGGACGTAGGAAGAAGCTGTGACCAATAAACTCTAACCATGTGAAACAGTTAACCTCTAGTATCGTTGTAAGATGGCTAAGTAGTCTAGTGATTCGAAACCGAGTACACAGATGTATATATGGTAAACGAATTACCTTATTTTGTGTTTGTTTGGCCGATACGAATGTTTTACCTGGGAAATCCTGATTCTAAACTAATGGTGTACGTTAGCTCCAGAATCCTGAGGGAAACATTTGTAGTCGCTGACTACCATCAGACAGCACCATCTGGCTTTGTTCAACTGCCTTGTGGGCTGGGCCTTTAGGTCAGAAGCTTGAGGAGACGCTTCCTATGAAAACTACTTGATTCGGTATAAGGACTCACAAATGTTATTTTCTGTAGCATATATTATTTGAGTACTCAGTCGTATCACATTTTAACTGCATCAAATAAAAACCGTGAAATGCGTGAAGTTAGACAGCTAACCGGCAATTGAACGGTCTAAAGGTTAAGTGTTCATATTCTTACGGCGTCATGGATGTGCTTCGCTGCTGAGAAGTCCCATACTAAGACGAAACAGTTACTCAGTAGTTTTTGGTTTTCAATGATCATCTGACTAAGATTGGTCAATGATGTAAACCATGAATTTCAATCACATCTACAAACGCTCCATAGTAATAAAACTGTACAATATATTAAACAACTTACTTCTTTATCCCATTCAGGCGAACAATTCGCCTGTATCATTACTAATCTATGTGAATTACACAAATCAACGATGTAATTTGATAATTTTTTCGAAATCTTATTGACTACTGTCAATGTTGTTGTAGGTTCATCACTGTTGGTAGTAGTAGTAGTAGTTGTTGTTGTTGTTGTTGTATTTACATTATCAGTAGTGGTCGTTTGATGATCAGTTGAATTAAAATTTATAGGTATGAAAATTTCGCTATGTTTTGAATCAGTAGTAATAAGCTGAACTGATTTATTTTCTCTCTCTTGATCTTCTCTTTGTTGTTGTTGTTCTTTGTCGTTTTCTCCTTGATAAATTGGCCAATAAGCATAAGTTACACCGGAATCATGTAGTAAACGATTAAACAAGTGAATTGGTTTACCCAAAGATTTATAAAATGAACATAATTTTAATAGATGATCTTGAAAAACTGGATGAGTTTCAAAATATTGACTTTCTGTTAAGAAATCATTACATGTTGATGAAATAAATGGAAGGTTATTGTCGTTAGTAGTATTGTTGTATTGCTGTAAACAACAAAAGATGTTTGAGTTTTGTTTATTACTTGTTAATGCAGTAAATCTAGCAGACTTAAAAAGGTGTAAACAAATCATTTTTTTCTTAGTTTCAAGAAATGAATTACCAAAAGAAGTATTCAATATATATATATATATATATATATATATATATATATATATATATATATATATATATTCCTTTTAAACTCTTTTTATGAGTGCAATCAATTGAGAGAAGGTAAAATAAAAACTACACAGATTGTTCTGTCAGAAGTTTTCTTTGTAAACAAAATGATTGATACTTAACTATCAAATATTTAAATCCGATGATTTTCAACCAATTAGCAGTAGTGAGTGAGTTGAGATAATATTAGAAAAGTCCTACTTAAATTATAAATAAACTCCAACATGTTATGTCTTATGGCCTGTTAAATACTATGTGACAAAATCGTCAGTCACACTATCAACTTTCATGACTTTGTCCCTGTGCTAAACCAATGATGCGTCAACCAACACTAACAACCTTGAGCCAACTCTGAATTTGGAATCCTAAAGAGAAAGGCCAAAGGACACACGGCGTTGGGAATTGAAAGCAGATATACAAAGGATGAATAGTAACTAGAACGGATTGCCCAGGACAGATTTAGATGGAGAATGCTAGTGGGCGGCTGATGCTCCTCCACGAGGAGCAATAGGCGTAAGTAACTGTTATGACCTTGGATGGCTTTTACCCCGTGATACTTGTTATGACTTGACCTTGACGCGCTAGGCTGAGTGGCTTAACCTTGAGTCTAATACGCGTGAGTTCGATTGGGGTAGAGAGAACTATTCTAAATCCTGATTGGTTGGCAAACACGCGAGTGAAAGAAGACAAGACAGTTGGAACACTAAACTCTGAATTCTCTGAATTCGGATTACTACAAAAATGTACATGAATAAATAAGTGCATATCTTGGCCACGACGTAGGATAATTTGGAAAAATACAGTTATGCCCGAAACAGGGAATTAAGGTAGAAAATATAGTGCAAAATATAATGTTTAAATTACAATATTTTTGGAACAAAAAAGGGTATGCTAGTGAATGATACATAGAACGAAAGCTCGTGTTATGTAGAATAAGATAGGGACAAAAATAAATATAAGTGTTTTACAGGTTTTGAATGAAATGCAATAACGTCCCAAGAAAATAGCTTTCGTAATTGTCTGGCTTCTTAATTCCCCGTTCATAACAGTAACATATATAAAAGCTAGTTACTTAATAACTATCCAATAAGAATATATGTAATAATAGTCCATAAATAATCCCTGGCAGTTACCACTCATCTATTATTCTTCGTTTGGACGTAACATAGTATTTTTTACATCGTTATTCATAAGGATTTAGAAAAATATATATGGTGTATGGTAATTACGTCTGTCGGTATAAATAGTACGTAACACCAGTCAGAAGCGAAGTGCCAGGCAGTAGAAGGTTGTGAAGATGGAATTGAAGAAAACGGGGATGTAAACAGAGTGTAATTACAAAAGGCATTGAAGGAACAATGAAGTTTGAGGCAACTGAAGAACGTAATATATGGTTTTCACATTTTACCAAAGAATTCTGTAATTTTGCATGAATTACTATATACATTGGTCGGTTCTACCTGAGTTCTCATTCACTACATATATTTGTTCGCTATCATTTCTTGTTTTAACTTGTGAAGAATCGAGAGAAGTATATTTTCCAAGGAATAACTAAGCAAAAGAATAAAATAACTATTCATTTAATCAGTTGGATATGTTAGTTCCTCCTTCAAAGAAATATAATTTAATATCAGATGGGTTTTGTGGATATTATAGTAATTTCAATGGTTAAGATCATGAGTCAGTTGAAGCTAGACCACGATGCACTAAATACAGGAGGTTGATTATCTTACCAAATTCATTCCACTTACTGATTGTTCTGTATTTGTGTCGATAAACGCTCATTCTGGTCTAATCTGGTTCTTAATTAAACGGTCAAATTATTGGGTGTTTGTTGCGTGATCAAATATATTTTTAATCTAACGCTGATAATGTAGGCAGTTTTAACTCTTTTTCGCATTATAATAAAGACTTAATAAGTAGTACTGTTTGATTTTCAAAAGTAAATTAGATGAAACTGGGTTCGAAACTGCATCGATAAAATAATCTTCTTATTTATACATAGTAACATCAACACATAAATAACAATTCGGAATACCTTGGTTTCTATTGGCGATTGGTAATCTTCTGGGAAACGCCAAGATGTAGTCACATCACCAAAGCCAATATCTAGACAAATAAACAATTACAAATATGAACTGAACACATAAACAAATAAGTCGAATTTAAGATAATAATGTTATTTAAATAATTCTGGGTTTTATTAGTAACAAAATTTATTATCAACTATTATCAAATGGGTATGTACAGTTGCTTTTCGTCATGGCTTTAGACTTCCTCAGTAATGAAGTTCAGCGATTCCATATGAGACTGAACTCACAACTTTTGTACCCTATAGTATAGATGATACCACTGTGATAACATATAACAGTTTCCACCCTTCATTTAAAATTCATTTTCAATGGAACACGGTCCTTAACCAACAATGTCGGAGAGTAATAGTCTAAGTGCACGTTTATGTACTGGGACTTGAGTCTGTTTGAATAAATTTTTGTGATACATACAGTTACTCAAACCGAAATAGATTAATTGCAGTTTGAACCCGCCACTTAATGGTTAAATTTCGAATGCTTTGAACATAGAACCATCAACCCTCATCTTGATTACTTTTATAGGTCATGGCTTACGTTAAACACCATAGAAAGTTGTATATCGGTTCTGAATTACATACTATTTGTTTATTTAATCAGGAGAAATCACACACTGACAACGTTTATTAACTGAAAATGATCCCGGTTAGCTCAGCCGATAGAGCATCAGACTTTTCATGTGAGGGTCGGGGGATCAATCCCCCTAGTTGGGCGACAAATGCCTTTGTACGGCTGAGGGTGAGGAGAGTCCGCTCTCCCTCTTGAAATGCTTTCATATGCCCATGTGTCTACAGCCACTACCAGGAAAGTCCTACTCATTGACTTCTCGCGTCAGGGGTGTTGTTTACGAAACCGAGAGGATGAAAAACGAATGTCCGGCGTTTTAAAAAGGTGGTGGATATGGAGGATCCACCTAGGGTAGTTGGAAAACCCTGATTCCAAACCAATAGTACACATCGGCTCCATGATTCTGAAGGAACAAATGGCGTATGAACCAATTATTGGTCACCGGCTAACGTTGCTCCACTGTTTTGTGAATCAGACTTTTAGGTTGAAGGTCCAGGGTGTGGTCCCCTAAGAAAACCATCTGCTTCGGCCTGGGCACCCGGTAAGTATCACAGCCCTCACACAAATCAAGTGACTTGCGTGGCGCATATGTATTCGGTGCCAATTCGTACCAATATGTGCGTGTTCAAATAAATAAATAGGAGATGAATTAGAGAAAGTACAGAATTACTGGTTCATCAAAATGTAGGTGATACATATGAATAATTTGTTACATGAAAAGCCAATAAAAGAATATAGTTAAGATTATGGTTAAAAGATCAGACTGATCAGAGTTGGTGTTTCAAGATTCAAAGTTAGAAAGAATCAGGACATAGAATAAGAATTAGAAGCAATGGTTATGACGAATAATGTAAAAAAACTTTTTTCTTGGGAAACATGAATGAGTTGTTAGGCGACTAGTCCTCTGATTTTAAATATCAAAAACCTTGAAGTTACCATTAAAAGAGAAAGACTAATCCATCAGTCATGGTTTCTATATTTGCTTTCATTAATTTTAAATATCTTATTCAGCTCACAATAACCTAGGTATCCGTCACTGTCTTAAACCCCATGCAAAACAGCAATCCCATAGCCGCCGTCTTAAAATATGATTGATTGATGCATACATTATACTGTTATTTAAAACATTTAATTTTGTTTTTAAAACGAAAGCACAAAATAGGCAACAGCAACACTATAATTTATGGACGACCTTTGCGCGACGCTGAAGTGACCATGAAAATATCCACCTAAATTAGGATTATAAACCAGTGTGAAGAATTAAGATTATGATTTACAGTTGATGGTTAGAGTTAGGAACTAGATCTAAGGTTTTCATCCCGAACTGGCATCAGCTAAGATTTCAAAACTCTATTTAGCCAAACGCGCCAAAATCCAAGATCTGTTATCTTAAATCTGATTGGTTTGTTCATAAATTATAATCTGGCCACAACAACAAACGATAATTAATTACCTTGGCTTAATTTTAATCGCACCAGATCCATTGTAGCAATGGCATCTTCAGCGGAAGAATGACCTCCTTTACCAGTTTGAATCATACGTCTAAAACAAAAAAGTGTATGCAATTGGAAATGTTGAAGTAACACCAGTTTTTTTTACCAAATGATTTTGGTCTTGAAGTTTATTTTTGTCTCGATGACTAATTTCTCTTACTTACTTACTTACGCCTGTTACTCCTCGTGAAGGAGCATAGGCCGCTCACCAGCGTTCTCCATCCAACCCTGTCCTGGGCAATCCTTTCTAGCTCCGTCCAGTTGTAATTCATCGTTTTCATATCTGCTTCCATTATCCGACGCAATGTGTTCTTTGGCCTTCCTCTTTTTCGCTTCCCCTCAGGATTCCAAGTTAGGGCTTGCCTCGTGATGCAGTTTGACGATTTGCGTAATGTATGTCCTATCCATTTCCATCGTCTTTTCCTAATTTCCTCTTCAGCTGGAAGTTGCTTTGTTCTCTCCCACAGAAGGCTGTTGCTGATGGTATCCGGCCAATGGATGTTGAGTATCTTGCGAAGGCAGCTATTTATAAATACTTGTACTTTCTTGATTGTGGTTGTTGTAGTTCTCCAAGTTTCAGCTCCATACAGTAGAACTGCCTTGACGTTCGTATTGAAGATTCTCACTTTGATATTGGTTGAAAGTTGTTTTGAGTTCCATATGTTCTTCAATTGTAGGAATGCGACCCTTGCTTTACCGATCCTCGCCTTTACGTCTGCATCTGAGCCTCCTTGTTCATCGATGATGCTTCCCAGATATGTGAAGGATTCTACATCTTCCAGAGTTTCGCCATCAAGAGTGATTGGATTGCTGTTCTCCGCTTTGAATTTGAGGACCTTAGTTTTCCCTTTGTGTATGCTGAGGCCTACTGATGCAGAGACTGCTGCTACACTGGCTGTCTTCATCTGCATCTGTTCGTGTGTACGTGATAGGAGGGCTAGGTCATCTGCGAAGTCCAAATCGTCTAATTGATTCTGAGCTGTCCATTGTATTCCATGTTTTCCTTCAGATGTTGAGGTCTTCATAATCCAGTCGACCACCAGGAGAAAAAGGAAGGGAGAGAGTAAACAGCCTTGTCTGACTCCGGTCCTTACTTGGAATGCATCCGTCAGCTGTCCTCCATGCACTACTTTGCACTGTAGTCCGTCGTATGAGTTCCGGATTATATTGACAATCTTCTCAGGAATTCCGTAGTGTCGAAGAAGTTTCCATAACGTCCTCCTGTCTACACTGTCGAATGCCTTTTCATAATCAATGAAGTTGATGTATAATGATGAGTTCCACTCAACTGATTGTTCGACGATGATCCGTAGTGTTGCAATTTGGTCTGTGCACGACCGATCCTTACGGAATCCAGCTTGTTGATCTCGAAGTTGGGCGTCTACTGCATCCTTCATCCGGTTCAGCAACACTCTGTTGAAGACTTTCCCTGGTATTGACAGTAGTGTTATGCCTCTGTAGTTTTCACATTTGCTCAGATCTCCTTTCTTTGGAATCTTGACGAGGTGTCCTTCTTTCCAGTCCATCGGCACTTGTTCCTCCTCCCAAATCTTTTTGAATAGAAGATAAAGCATGCTTGTGGTTGTTTCGATGTCTGATTTCAGTGCTTCAGCTGGTATGTTGTCGGGTCCTGCTGCTTTCCCGTTCTTGATTTGTCTGACGGCCATTCTAATTTCTTCCGTAGTTGGTGGATTGACATCTATAGGAAGATCTATGTGTGCTGCTTCGATGTCCGGTGGATTCATTGGAGCCGGCCTATTCAGGAGTTCCTCGAAGTATTCTACCCATCTGTTACGTTGTTGTTGAATTTCGGTGATTGGCTTGCCTTCTTTGTCTTTGACCAGCCTCTCTGGTTTACTGTATTTCCCTGATAGTTTCTTCGTTGTATCGTAAAGCTGTTTCATGTTTCCTTCTCTAGCAGCTTTTTCTGCCGTCGTCGCTAGTTCTTCAACGTATTTCTTCTTGTCGGCTCTAATGCTCCTCTTCACTTGTTTGTTTGCTTCTATGTATTCAGCTTGTGCTTGGACTTTCTCTGCTCGTGTTCGGCTGTTGTTTATTGCTGCCTTCTTGTTCTTCCTTTCTTTGATCTTGTCCACTGTTTCTGTAGAGATCCATTCCTTATGATGGTATTTCTTTAGACCGAGAACCTCTTGACACGTTGAAGTTAATGCTTCCTTGATGCCTTTCCAGTTGTCCTCCATAGTAGTTTCTTCTTCTTTCAGTAGATCTCGTAAGGCTTGGAACCTGTTGTTGAGAGCTATCTTGAATTCATTGAGTTTGACAGTATCTCGAAGGAAGGCTGTATTGAACCTTTGTATTGCTGTTTGTCCACTTGTCCAGTTCTTTTTTAGCTTCAGTTTCAAATTGGCTACAACTAGGTGGTGATCTGAAGCTACGTCAGCACCTCTCCTGGTTCTCACATCTTCCATTGTCCTTCGGAATTTTTTGTTGATGCAAATATGATCTATTTGGTTCTCTGTAGTGTGGTCCGGTGAGATCCATGTAGCCTTGTGTATACGCTTGTGTGGAAATATTGTGCCTCCTATGACCAATTTGTTGAATGCGCATAGATTTGCAAATCTTTCTCCATTTTCGTTTCTTTCTCCCAGTCCATGTCGTCCCATAATATCTTCATATCCAGTGTTGTCTATTCCGACTTTGGCATTTAGATCTCCCATTAGAATGGTGAGGTCCTTTCTTGGGCATTTCTCTATCACTGACTGCAGCCGCTCGTAGAATTGATCTTTAATGTCGTCGTTGCTATCATTGGTGGGTGCATAACATTGGATAATATTCATTAAGATCCCCTCCTTCTTTGTTTTGAATGATGCTTTGATGATTCTGGATCCGTGAGATTCCCATCCTACAAGTGCATTTCGTGCTACTTTGGTCTTGAAGTTTATTTTTGTCTCGATGACTAATTTCTCTAGAACACAACAAAACTTTCTAGAAATATGAATTCAATATATTTGTGATATACATCAATCTATGAAGCTAATTTCTTTATTGTACAGCGGGGAATATATTAATAAAATGAACTGGGTCGAAATAATATTAATATTGATGCTGTGACGCGTGCTACTGATGACGATAGATAAATGTAGTATGTAACAGGAATTGAAAGTGGAATGCCTGCCAGCGGAAGATTGGAATAAAGAGAAGGGGAAAGAAAATGAGAAATAATAGGAATAACAAAAGGATCGGAAGAACGAAAAAGTATGTAAAAGAAAACGCAATGAATATATGCCAATGATGTACTCAATGTATGATTTTGATATTTTACTAAGGCATAAAAATAATAAATTGGTTTTCCCCACCAAGTCTTCGATCACTATAATACCAGTATCTAACTATATGAACAAAAATTACCAGTAAACAAAACAATTAATAATGAAATTCCGTCTTAGGAAATCCGTAACTCCAAACATAACTCAGTCTTAATAAGCAACTACTTACTCCATAGATCGATTCTAGTTCTTGGTTTGACGACCTTAAACATTCTTTGTTTTTCTCACTCCTACTAAGTAATACGCTCAGTTGTATTAGAAGGTACTTACAATATTTATGTCAAATAGTATTTTGGTTATTAGTTGGATTTCGCCCTTTCAACCAGTTGTATGTGAGCATGTAATACTCTTTGAATGGATTTATTCAATAAAATCAATGAATTGAGAGTTTAAATCTCTGTTGTTGGAAATAAGTAGCTAACTTATGGCCTCAACTATCCATGTCTAGAAAACTAATGTTTTCCTGAGACTCCGTTTCCTTCTAGACTATCCATAAAGCTAACCTATAAAATAATCAATTGCATGGAAAATTGTTGAAGTATTTTCCACAGCTATTACAATTTCACTATTCTACATAAATATTTCAACTCTGCTCTTGATTACGCTTTTTCTGTAATTCACACCACTGACTGGCATTAACTAGACAAACACCAAAAGCCAGAGTGCTTTTTTGTCCAAATATGAAACTCTTCAACAATACACATATTCACGACTCTAACAGGAATCGAACCAAGGATCTTCAAATCTCGCAAAGAGCACTTGACCTTTAGACCACTGAATTAGTACCCAATGGTTTACATGACTAGCTCCAGCTAGTTCGCGATATAGTCCGATTTCTCTTCCAGAGCTACTTTGCACACGACATGGTTGGACTTCACTGGTCATGAATTCTTATTGGAACTTCGGAAACCACCGTTATGATTACCAAAAGTCATTTCATACACATAGTTCCCTTTATTATCTTAAATAGAGCAAGAACAAAGATTGGTGCAGAATAATACATGAATTCATTTTATTTCGTTAGGTTCTCATCAGCTGCTTACAACCTAAATTATTTGAAATTCCAAATTATTACAGATATTGACATATTGACATACATAAGAGTGTGATTAAGGATCAATACATGTGTATGATGATCTAGCAAGCAAAGATTCAGATAGAGTTAATGAGCTCATAAAATGTTTGATTCGAATAAATAAATAAAGTTAGAGAGGGAAAGTTCTGGAACATTGAAAATAGATTAATGGTAAGAAAGACACATGGAATGGTAGTTTTCTTAATTTCAATAGCTTTTGTCCAATCAGTTACAAAAAGGCACTGGTCAAAACACTGTTTCACAGAACAGAAAGAATATGTACTTCCGATACACTAGAAGAGGAAGTTATGAATGTTAAAAAAATGTTTAAAGAATAACGGATACCCACTGAAATTTATTGAGAAATACGGCAAATGTGAAGATAAAAAACCGAAAGAAATTACAGCAAATAAAAAGCCTATTTTTATTCAACTTCAATTCAAAGGTGACGATGTCACAGGATCAATCAATATGAGACTAAAAACTGCACTGACAAGAACTTATCCTGCAGCGAAATTGATTGTCCAAAACAACATGTTCTTTGACACAAACAAAGGTCGACAAGTATCCCTTTCATGTTACCACCAACTGTGTATACAAATTTACATGTGCCTGCCAAAGCAGTTACATTGGTAGAACAGAAAGGAGAGCCTACGTCCGATTCAAAGAACATATTCCGAAAAGTTTAAGGTTAAATGGATTGAACGCATTCAACAGTGCTATCGCAAGACATCTCCTTGATACAGGACATAAAGCTGATATACTGAAGTCCTTCAAGGTGATTAACAAACAATCAAACTCCAACCTTTTGAAATTCGCTGAAGCGTTAGCAATCAAACGTTTAAAACCAGATCTATGTATACAAAAAGAGACAGTAATAAATCTTTCTTTACCCTGGTAACAATAACCCCCACTCTTTCTATTAATCTGCTCCTATTTATTTATTTATTTATTTATTACGTCATTATTGCAACTCTTTCTGAAATTACATCATACATAAATGATTTGTTTCAATTTATATTTTCTTTATTACCATTAATCTATTTTCATGAGTTCTAATCACTATTTCAATGTTCTGGAACTTTCCCTCTCTAACTTTATTTATTTATTCGAATCAAACATTTTATGAGCTCATTAACTCTATCTGAATCTTTGCTTGCTAGATCATCATACACATGTATTGATCCTTAATCACACTCTTATGTATGTCAATATGTCAATATCTGTAATAATTTGGAATTTCAAATAATTTAGGTTGTAAGCAGCTGATGAGAATTTAACGAAATAAAATGAATCCATTTATTATTCTGCACCAATCTTTGTTCTTGCTCTATATCAAAAGTCAGTTCGCGGTGTCAACTATAGAAACTCAACAGCCCTCATACATGTTTATGCCCATAATTTTCCATAAACCTGATAGTAAATTATGTGCACTCGTCTATTGTGGATCAAAGAGAATTGATACACAAAATAACTGGCTCTGTACTTATTCTGCTACAATTACTGTTGTTTTTTCAAACAGAAATCCCGATAATCAACGAAAGAATTCTATCAAAAATGAACACATACATGAGCTGTTATTTAGTGTAACAGAACAATAAAAAAAACTAACAACTAACCCGAGAAAATGTTCTGATAGGAATCGAAGACGTGTTTTAGCCGCTCTATTGCCTTTCAGATTATAGATGACACTTGTATCAATTAAATACGGATGAAAAACCTGAAATTATTCAAATAATTAAGTAAAAACAGTAATTTTTAGCGAAAAGAAATTTACAGGTTCTTTTCCATCCAACTGTAGTAGTAGAAAACAGCCACAGACAAGATGATTCGAGAAGAAAAATAGTAACTTCTCGTGATGAAAAGTATCAGATAATTTTGTAACACAAGATATAAGGAATGATAAAAACGAATAGATCTACATCTACTTTGTAACTGATTCTAAGACATATGGCCCAACCTACATGATAAATTGAGGTTTTGTGTGAAAAAGAAAACAAACATTACCAAACTGCCTAGAACCTTGATCGATAAGATTTTGTTAACTGGAAGTTGATTATAACGAATAGGAATGTAAAATGTTAGCGTATTTATTTCAATAATGAACTAGATAGAACATTTGAAGTACTAAAACAATAAACCCAATGAATATTTACAAATTAATTCTAAACATTAGCAAAAATTGTTAAGCTTCATTTTATGTTAATAGTTTGTACCAGAGGCTGGTCGTAGTTAGACTTCTTTAGCCCGTTGATCTGACTTCGATTTGGACGAACGCATGAATATGCTATAAACATAAATCTTCCATTTAACTCCGTATATTACCTAGGCTAACCCCGTTTGTGTGACAGCGGTGAAAAGAAATCAAATACGAGTTGAGTTGGAGGAATTTATTTCAAGCATTCGTTTATCTAGACACTCAGAATAAGAAACGGAGCGGAGAAGGCGAGTGAGATAACTCGATTTGATCAAGCGTGACTCGATATTTATAGTCAGACAAAAATAAGCTGCAGACACGCAATGATTATGGTAAGTAATTAACACACACTCACATAAAATCAATCAAGGTTAATAAGCGAATAAGTGACATGGTCTAAATGTGACTCAAAAAGAATAAATAAATTGATCTATTCAGAAGCTAGAATAACCCGTGTTAGCTTAACATAGTACCAGCCACTACAAGACAACTACTAAAAATGAAGAATCGGTGAACTTGTCAACACGATGCATTGATAATCTCACCGGGAATTAAACCCAGAACCTCCCTATCCTGCACAGAGCAATTAACGTTTAAACTAGTGAAACTAGATTTAATGGTTTACATGTTTGATCTCACTCAGATGTACAATGGATGACAGTAATTAGTTCAAAAATCTAGAATTTATTTCTTTATAGAAACCAGTAATTCACTAAATTTTTTTAAAAAGAGGATTTCACCTGCCTTCATGGCTTCTAAATCATTTCCAATCGAATGACCAACTAAGATAGCATCTCCTGGTAACGTTTCAGCTAATTCGTGCTGTATATCTGCCAGTGTAGTGTCTATTAATGCAAGCATTTCTCTAGTAATTCCACTGAATCTGAAATCAAAAAATAGTGTAAAATGCAAAAAGATCTAAGATTAGGTAACAATTTGGGTAACAGAAGAGCTGTTTCGTTGAAATCATGAATTGATCAATGTTATACCGTCATTGAAAACCTGGAAGCAGTGGACAGCTGTCTAGTCTTAGTGTGAGACTCCTCAGCAGTAGGCATTCACGACCTCACATGCGGAAATCAAACACAAAACCGATGGTCTCGCGTACCAAAGCCTAACCTCTAGTATATCATTATGGATCGACAGGAGTCGGAAATCAAATCACGTAAAACAGAAGTGCAAACCAACCCCCCCGACCCTTGAAAAACGTTTTAATTCAGCTTCGAGAAGACAGTAAAATCTCAGGAAGTTGATCGCAGCTCCAAACGATGGTGACACTACGAAATCTTGGGATATTTGAAGAGAATTGTGAAGTAGCTTTGAGAATCAGCCATTAATACCAGGGTATCGGATTCAACTTAGTTTAAGACTTTTAAAACATCGCTTGAAGAGCTTTTTGTATAATTCCAGTCGGATTTACCGGAAAATACTACTTCTTCAAATAATAATCAATATATAAACTATTTATCCTATGAGAATTCCATAGTGATGTAAATACTGGTTGTTTGCATCATTTCATTGATGTTCGTGACTGTAATTTATCAGATATGGGATGCAGGTACATTCAACTGACAAGTACCAAGTAGGATGAGACGTGCATCGAAGACTCCACTGCTACCCACCATCCATTTCTGCTCATAATGCCTGCGGCCTGATGGGAATATCGGAGTCCGCAAAGGACGTACATATGCCAAAAGAGACTAGTCAATTGTAGTTCAAAACATCGATAAAACGATTCAAATAACCAATACAAATGAATTAAAATTCACCCGATTATAAAAGTGAGTCGTTATCTCGAATCAGTGACTAAGTTGATAACGTAATGGTGTTTTGAGCGAACAATATTGGGTTCGAGTCCCGGACTAAACATCAGCAGCAGGATGTAGATGTGTACAGCTGACGAATTTCAGGTGGGATAAAACGCACGCCCTGAATTTCACTACTAGTTATACTCCACCTGTTCTATATATTAAAATGTTAGTGAATCCGGGGATACTATGAACATGATAGAATAAATAACTGTGTTAGGAATTTGGATTAAGAGTAATTTTCAGGAACAGGGTTAAAGAACTTATGTAAGTATATTGATGAACACATATCTAGCTGCTTCCTAGATATGAATTAACAACCGTTTGGTTAGTCTAACGGCTTCATAAATTATGGTTCTTATTCTTTAACCTTTCCATATTTATTAATCTTAAACGTTTTCACAACTGAATATTCACAAGTTTTTTACTCATTCATTACTTATCTGTCAATAAAATATAAGCTGACTTTCGTTAAGAAATCCATCAGCCTCTATCTTAAATTTAATTAGTTCATTAGCAAAGTATAATTTTACTAAGAATTTGAATGTTAAACTATAATAGGTTGTGAATACTTCTATAATATCCTTATATTCTTAAAAAGTACAACTTTCAAAATGATCAGTTTAATGGCTAATTAATGTTATTGTATAGCGTACAACAAAAAGATGATATGATTGGTAAACACAAACTAGATATCGACTTCTTGTACAAAAGATGAATAACTTTACTTAGTTAAATAGTCTTTAACAGGATTTGGCGGTTTCACTAAACGATCGAACATAACTGTTGCCTTCTCATCAACCATAGTCACTCGAGCCAACTCACTTCCTACGGATGTAAGTACCATTTCGCAGTCTACTGCATACATTGGGCTGTTGGCTGATACAGGAAGGTATACAGGCTATAATGATAATATAAGGAAATTAAAGGAAAATAATGTTAATTTACTGATTTCATGGGTCATCGTTTATTTTGTATATGGAAATATGATTAAATTTTTCTTTTAAGAAATACTTGTTAGATTGGACGACGTCCGATACAAAAAACAAAAGATTCTTATATGCTTGCTCAACCACTTAGGCAAGCGGGAAGACTCATAAATGACAAGGAAACTGAACTTGGGTAACCGAATTAATAGGTAAAAAAACTATATATATATATATATATATATATATATATATAAACCTAAAAATCTAGGACGTGAAAATATAGAAGTTGAAAGTTGCTATATCTGAACGGCAGATTAGAGGACAGCGAATTATCGATCGGACCAAAGACGCGCAAACACGTAAGAACGACCTAAGGTTCTGATTGGTCCCGCTTCCCTGTCTAGCCCAACAAGTTGAGTCCGGAACACAAGTCTCAGCCTCTGAGATATGAATCGTTATATTTCAAACACACTTTGTTTATATACCAGTTAAGCAGACCACATCATACAATAAAATAGAAAATAACATTGCACAATATTGACCAGTAGGAAAACGAAACGTGAAATAAATATTGACCAATACGAAAATGACACCATTTCAAGTTCAAGGATAGTGTTAGACTTAACAGAATAATTTTTAGGATATTTTTCTGAATATCCCAACAAAAGTATGCATATCAAGCGTATTTAATGAAGTTTCTAAATACTCTGGATGACGTGACATTGGTCGCTGCTCCTTGAATCAACCGATGTAAGAGTTTCAATCCTACAAGTCAGTTGCAGTTCAAATAGCTTAGCATTAATTTTTCCTGACTGAAGCTGGGTAACACAGGTCCGGACCCCATAGGAAACACCAAACCCCTCAATAGTATGGATACATCTTATTGGCGAGTGGTAATTAATATGGTTTCCTCCCGACTGTTTCCAATCTCTTAACATACCTGACAATAAGAATGATTCAAACCTTAGTTAATCCTAAATCAGGCAAAAGAGGCTGTGAATTATTTATTTTCGATACAACTTTGTTCAACTCGAATACTTATTGTCTCCATAAGTTGGATTAGTTGAGTTGTTTGAAGTATTCAATTTCAAAGTACTGAGTTACAAGTACAAACCCAACTCCTCTTGATACAGCTCGCGCGATCGCATAGTATTACTGGTGATTACATCTAAAATTCATGTACGCAAACATATACTTGGTTAGTGAGTGACACTCAACTAAGATAAATCCTACAGCTGAGAAAATGGAAAAGCAGATGACTGGTTTTTAGAAGGTTGTTTTGAACACAGAGAATTAGTGCAAACCAATGATTAGTTAGGGATGAGCCATAATATCAAACACCTTATAGTTTTATTCACATCTTTAGAATACACAATTTTATGTAATAGATTATGGAAAGTTATGTCTATTATGAAGTTTGTTTGCTCATATTTCATGAAATGAAGTTAAGTTTGGCCAGTGCAACCCATAAGTTAAGGCTTGTAGACAACCAAGACAAGTTGGACAAACAGCATGGTGTTGATTACTTACCAACGGGTATCTAATGCATATGTACCGAAAAAACCCAAACAGTTCAGTAATCATTGGTAAATCGTTGCGTGCAAACTCTTTGCACAATAAATTTAGATATTTTGACAGAAAGAAATGCAAAATATTCACTGAAGTGCTTATATTACGGACTGCTATTGAACTGTCCCTTTTGAAGAATGTGTATTCTGAACATCTGGACTCCATGGCTCATTGGATAACGTGTTCGGGGTTTGAAGAAAAAGTTGGTGGGTTCAAATCTCAGTGTGTAGATATCAATACTAGAATCTAAGTAAATCCAGATGCGAAGTCCCAAAAAAGATGAAACGTGAGTTCTGATTTCTGCTGCTAGCCACTAACACCCAAAATTAATAAAAATTCAGTAACGTAGTGTATAAGTTTTTAACAGATATATTAAGTGATGAGTGATTGAAGGGAAACTGCATTTTAACATGTAAGCAATCAAAAAGAAACTTACTTTACTTGGTACAAAATCTGAACGGTTTTTGAAGTATTTACGTTGGTCGATTAATAATTCATTAGGTAATGGAACGTTTTCTTTTTTCATTTGCTCAACATTTAAAATCAGTAAAGTTCTATCAAATGCATCAGGTGTACCTGGTATAGGTAATGGAAAAAGTTTATCAGCTTTTCTTTTAAGAGTGCGTTTTTCTACTGGTTCATTAGTAGTTGTCGTAGTAGTAGAAGTAGAATTAGTAGTCTGTGAAGGTAACTGTTCTTTAGTTATTTCGTGAACTGATTTGATTATACGCATTTTATCAATAGTTTTTTCATCATCTATCCACGTGCGGCGGGGAACAGGAGTTAGTATTGACTTATTTAAATCTACACACAAACACACAAAGTAAAATATGGAAGACTACAAGTTTATTTTGAACAGGGAAATCACAAATATCAAGGTTGTCAAATTATAGTTAGTATATGGAAATTTGGATATGGATAGTTTCATGAAAAAAAACTAGAATCATTAGTCATAACATATATAGGAAGGGATAAACATATAAGTGGTTTGTCGAATAAATGAACAAACCGTGTCTATAAAAATATAATTTTACAAAATTTAGGTTACACCACTTATTAATCGTTCAAAATACTTCTCGTTTAAAGTGATATATCTGTACCGCTTCCATCGTTTAAAGTCTCCACTTAGCTGTTTCATTGTTTCACATAATTTCTCCAACCCTATTTGTTATTTTCAGATCGTATGCATAGACGACTTTCTCGAATTGAGTCCACAAGTAGTTATCTGAATAGTGAATCAGCAAACAAAAAAACGCATATGTTCGATGTTTATATCAAAGCACGAGGTTGACGGATGCTTCGACTTTGTATCACCGTTGAAATCACAACTTCCATCGAAAAATGAAGTATAAATATGATAAATTTTTCCAAGTTAAACAGCCTAGTGGGAGATCCAACTTAGTTTTCAACTGGTTTTGGAGTCTACTTGATTACCTTTAGATCATAGAATGACAGACAACTAATTTTCAGTCCGTTTCTACCATACAAGGTTTTCTGTCTACCCGGTAAACCATGAAAATTAACAACTGAAATGTCAACAAGTTCATTGACCTCGTAAAGCATCTACTACAAAACTTCAACTAAGGGGTATGATAATGACATTAAAATGTATAGAGCTACACGTTTCGGACCAAACTGATCACTTGTTGAGCACAATGCAAATAAAGCATAGTGAAATTAGTTTTTCATTTTAAAATGGTAGAACGGTAATAATTAGTAGGATGAATCAGATGTCTCGGGACAGCAATTAAGTTAGATAGGCAAGTATGACATGGTACCTAAACTTAAAAAATATTTCGTCACTGATCATAATTGATTAAAAATATGCAACGACGTAGAAAACATACCCGCCATAGCTGCTGCGTGAGTTGTGAGGAAACTTCTGGGGACAGTAGAAATTTCTCTGTCCCATGTATACTTATAAGCTTCTGGATTTAATACTTTCAGTGGCTAAAGAAAATGGATATGTTAACAGATTTACCTCCCCAAACATCAGAGCAAACTGTTGTCCATATTTCTCGTTCGATTTTAGAGTATTTACTCTGTTAATAAATACCAGAACAATATTCTTGATGAACGAGGGCTTGGTGACTGAACACCAACTACACGGGTAACATAAACAAATAACAAGCTTACTCAGGCCATTTAACGAAATGTTGGGGGAAAATCGTCAAGCCTAACAACTTTTGAATATCCAAAGCCGACAGAGCAGTTTTTCGATCTTTAATTACAAGTAAGGGCTTCTGAAGAGTAAAATATGACGTCAATCAAACGGAAACCTTTTTATTTTCTTTCTTGATTTTGTTCAACTCGCGAAAATCCATTGTTAACTACTGTAATATGGTATAAATTGAAGTCGTAGTTTTTAAGCATCCATACTTTCAGTTAATCAATAAAATCCGTTAGAGCTCTTTTTCACCTTTAGTTTGCAATGAGACTTTTGTAGAATTGATGCTTTCGGAGCAGAAAAACGTTTTTACACAACGGTTAGTTCACTATCAGTATATTTTAATGCATCTGTTTAATTAATTTCAGCTAACCAACCGAAGAAAGTGTACTAATTTGCATTTATTGCACAGCGTTGTTTTGTCCTGTAAAATATACGTTAATGTAAGAGACGGAAAGACTGAAATAGGACAGTATATAATAAACAATGGTTGACAGAAATGGTGTAAGAGATAAAAGTTCGCCATTCAGTAATGTTGATCAAATGTATTACAGACGTTTAAATGCACGTGTTTGACCTACAAGTCAGTAATATACAATCAGTTTGTCAGTAACAACGTGGGACTTTGTACGTACGTACATCAGTTTGAGTTGCCACACCACATTAGCACAGAGATGCAGCTATCGATTCAAATCCCGTAGTGGTAGAGGTAGTAAGAATATAAGCAGTAATCGGAAAGATTAGGGTTTGAAGATGTTATTCAAGGAGGATAATCCAGTGAGATAAATTTGGAAGGAAAAAAAGGATATGGAGAATTCAGAAGATTAGAATTTGGGAGAACACAAAGAGTGGATACACCTGCGCACACCACTGCAAACGATTTTGAGCCATATCATTCAAGGTCTTTAACCATCGGTTGCTATCACCTCGCGGACCCAAACCAGGTAGTTTACACCTACCAACATGACTCAGTCTACTTGTCAATGACTTCATGGACTTGTGCCATGTTTTGGTCTGACCGCCCCTACCTTTCTTCCAACCTACTCCATCATAAAACACCACACGTTGTGGTAGTCGGTAGTTGGGCACACGTAACACGTGTCCCAGCCATCTCAACTGATCAAGTTTCACTACTTCGTCAATCGATTTGCCATTCTTACCTAGTACCCGTTTCCTAACAACTGACTTACTTACTCAGTGGTCCCAGGATATACGAGCAATGTTTCGAAGATACCTATGATCGAATACTAGTAACCTACGAATATCCTCTTCTCTTTCCGGCCATGTTTCACTGCCATAAAGTACAACAGAACGAACTGCTGTGCAGTAAACCCATCCCTTGGCTGGTAGACGGGTATCTCGCCTACGCCATAAATGACGCAGGTTGGTAAAAGCTAGTTGAGCCTTCTGTATCCGTGCTGAGATTTCGTCACACATCAGACCACAAGGGCTGATGAGACTTTTAAGACAAGTGAAGTGGTCGACAATGCTATACTTTGTGTTCAAACTTCATTTTACCCTTTGTCTTTTTTCAAAAACATTTCAACTCTTAAGATCCCTTTTTGGTAATTTACTATTGATATCCCGAATTTAAGTAAGGCAACAAGCCTGTTGTGGTGGGAAAAATTAGATCTTATAATCGAATCATAATTTAAATGACCAGTGAACGATCTGTAAAGCCTATATTCTATGACTGCTTATGCTCTATGTGAGACTATATATGCCAAAAGAGTTGATATGATAAGTGGTTTTATTTAGCTTGTAAAGACTGAAAATGAATAGTTTTCAAAGTGATTCAATTGCAGTCGATAGACATACCAAGACCGTCTAAGCACGATCGTTTGACTTTGCCAACTTGCACTAATTGTGATGTGCGCAAAATATGGATATATTAAGTGACGATCTTATTGTGTGCAATCCATTATTTAACTTTATTCTTATGGAAAATAGCCTCTAAAGTGACAGAAAACATATGAGCTACTAGTATTTTGAAGCATAGTCCATGTATTCTGATTTAACATAGTGAACGAGGATGGCATTAGATGTGCGGTACTAGGTAAATTATACAAATTGGTTATTAAGGCTGTAAAATTGTGTTCAATTCATGTGGCTAGAAAGTATGTCACTGAACCCATATTACAGTTTACCTAGGGTCTCAATAGCGACTAGTTAGAGGCAGGTTGAAAGACTACAGATAACCAAACTAATATGACACCATTCACTTTCGAAGACACTGGCAGCCAGACAGAATTACATGGGGATTTACAAACTATCTGGTTGGGATTCACGAGATAGTTATGATGAATAGTCAAATGCCTTGGGTGAGATGGTTCACAGCCAGACACAACAACAGAGACGAATCCAATTTTAATCTTTATCTGAATCTTCATTTTCAACATTACTTCACAAACTTAAGACTGTGTACGCACTTCATTTTCCGGAATCCTAGCATCCACTTTTAGTCCTCCCTACTATTATTAATTTTGCCACTGCTTCGATCCATTTGCTCCCCATCTTGTTATAACAGAACAAGCTTGTGCACACTGGAACCAAGCTCGATATTACGAATAAATGAAAGAAGCTAGAATTTCATGAAACTAACAGCAAAAAAATATTGTGAAAACATTCGAAAAACAAACCTATTAGTTCATTTACAAAATCTTGAATACTACCACACAATCTGCATTGTCACTGCACTGTTTTCAATTTATTCGGATTACAATTAGAAGTACAACACTAAAAAAGAAATAAAACAGAAACTAATCTTTTAATAGTATAAGATGTTAAGTGACAAACTTTCTGAACTGTCATGAAACCTGACTGTAGAACAACAAGTTGTAATAAGACTATAAGTTGTAACAACTCTTACGTAACTAATGTCATCACAAAGTATTTGAAAGTACTCACTGGAAACTACTCATTAATAACTCAATAAGGTACAGTCTTTTGCTGTTTCAGCCATTCCAAAAATAACCTCGATTCGCATGCGTCAAAAGTTCTGATTAAGGAATCACGAAAATAAACCGCGATATAAATATTATCAAAACCGACATGTCCGTTTTCTCAAAGGTAGAGCAGTAAAAATTCTGATTGAAAGGGCGTTAAGTTCGTCTGCATCATCAACAGTCCTAAATTAAACTTTTCGGACTTCGCCGAGTAATCAGACCTTATTACTTTTATAAACCACTCACTCCTTGTTTTGCTACCGAAGTGAGTTAATATCATCACAAGTTCGTAATATTCAGAAAGTGTGAGACCACAGTTACCATTTGACCAGTGGATTATAATACAAACTCTTATTACGATGTCAGTGTGATTGAAATGCAAAGGATTTTAAACCGTTTTGCAAGACAAGAATTATGCGTAAAGGTCAATCTTTATACCGTATGACATACTTTAAAAAACCTACAATAGCAAAAATACCTTGATCGATAACAGGTTAAAGAAAACTATCCCGAGACACTTCTGAAGCTAAGTTTTGACATAGTGGGTGTGATTTTTTCACCATGAACAAAGGGACTTTGACACAAAAAGCAACATCTGTTAAAGATAATAAGTGGTTGTTCTAATTTAGCTTATTAACAACGCTGTCATATACTAACATACTCGAACAAACTTAGGGAAAAATTGTATGGTCAACGACGAATTGAAGAATAAGATCTAGTATTTTGGAGACTTGAAGTTAGCTGGAACGTACCACGTAATTGAGAACGACGAGGAAGGCAAGCATCAAACGATCCTGGCGGTTTTATTCAAGGTCAAGGTCATTCTGATAATTTCGAATGATCAAAACGTTTATTTCTACAGCTTAATGGATACGTTAAGCATCAAGTTGTTGCGTTCTGTACATCAAAGTTTGAGATTTGTTGCAACTTTCTTACTCGATCGTTATTTCAAAGGGAAAACGGTATCTTCTCTGAGTGTATATAATAATCATGATCGCCAAATTACTCATCAAGACTGCTGTTTTTGCCGCACTTGAATTTATTACGGTTGAAATAATCCTCAAGAGTACCGCTTTTTTCCTAGAAACGTTTATCATATGCACGTTTCCTGCACATATAGAAAAAAACTAAGGGCATTGGTATTTATGTTTCCGCATTGACTATATCTTTTAGTATTGTTTGTATCCATAGTTGTCAATGTCTTTTTATAACAAATGAAGTTGGATTTTTTTATTGCTGTTAGGTGAAGTTATATACAAACCTCCGTTTTTCTTTGTGTTCCGTGTCTATCACCTATCAAACCTCAAAAGACATTTTATCTAGAGATCAGTTTTCGCTGTGAGATCACAAAACAAGTTTGTGGCTTCATCGTCATGCCAGACCTACACGCTACTCCCATGTTGATGATTTGATGCAAAATATTAAGTTATTCTTAGTATATCTCAATCCAGAATGTGTAGTAGATGACTCCCTCCTAAGCAAACTTAAGTCCTAATGTAATAGGGGTAGAAGCTTTATATTAGGTGACTTAAATCCACGGTATATAAACAGGGCAAACTTAAAAGTGGGGTCATTGGAAACATCATTTGATCTCATACTGTTAGAAACTTCAATTTCACTAGCTTTATTCCAGCTAATTCGAGATCTCTACAAAGCGATATATGGGCTCTCCTTTCTAACATCCTGCCCGACTATCACCCACGACCCAGCCTATAGACTTACAAACAACGCATATACACCACTTACTGTAAAACACCAAAAACAAATTCGTTGCGAGTTTTTTACAGTATGGTATAGTTTATTGTGGAACAGGCTGCCAATGCCTATCCGTAACTGTAACACAGTTATCAGATTCAAAAAGCTAATAATCCAATTTCTAGACTCTAAAGAGCTTCAACATTTCCTTGAACTCCCACCCACCAATGAGGCACTTTATTAAGGACCGCCTAGTATCTAGAAAAAACAAGATTATAACAAGTTCGACTGTTACTAATATGAATATAACCAAATCACAGAATATATGGCTTATACTTTCCTACTATTCATTGTTTATTAATCATGGCCTTATGCTCCTAATCCTAGCTTTCAGTTCTCAAATCTCTACAGGTTAAATGTACATTATTGTTCCTAAAAGTCACGCCTTTTTTTCTATTGCAAGTAGACAGATAGCTCAATCTTATTGATGCTGATCTACTAAGGCCGATCATACAAAGCTCAAAATCTGGCCACAAAGTCTTTTGAGTTTCTTAATGTTTTATTTTTCTTACCCTAAAATCTTTTTTTCTACAGTTTTATACCCTCTCACATCCTTTGATTTGCTACTGGTCCTTACTTCTTTAAACCATTAGTTATCTTTATAGCAGTGTGATATACTATGTAGACATCTAACCCATAAAACAAACTTTTTAACTATCTGATTTGCTTGTAACATGAACCTAGTAGAGACAGTGTATTCCGACTATGGGCTTTGATTAAAGCAGTATTCATACTTACCACAAACGCAAGAGAGCCTAACATCACAAAAGGAGGGAGGGTAGCATTACTGACCAGCAAAGATGATGGTGGGGAGATAACTTCAATCCACCCATGTCTATAGGGCAGAACAACTTGTTTAATTACGGCTCCTTATGGTTTAGTGGGATGTTACGAACTTAAGATATTAATGCTGATTTATCATGCAAAATACCTCATTAAATCGTGTTACGAACGTTGAATTGGTTTCACTTCCTACCAAGTAATCCTATTACAAGCAAACTAGACAATTCAATAATACACGAAGCCTACTCAAGACCCTATGATACCTAAAAATTAAAAAAAATAAATTAAAAATAATAATAATAATGCAAAAAAAACATGAAAAGGGCTCCAACAGCTTCGATAAAAAAGGGAAGATAGTCAATTATGTATCACAATACTGTTTCTAGCACTATATTTTATTTTATAACCACACATAATCTCATATTCTCAGCTCCTTTCAGAATTGCCTCCATTTGTCAGTTGTATGTCCACTCATACATTGTTTACACTTATTTTCTTTAACCTATCAAAATGCTCTTGCTTAAGAAATACCTTAATAAAAGAAGATTAGACTGAGTATTCATACCTTAAGCATTCCTTCATGAATATTGGCTACTCTGCCTCTCGTCCTTTCTTTTACTTGCTCCCTCTTTCAGCCCCCTTGAGATATGGAACGGGTGACTTCATCCTGCACCATCCTTTAAGCCTTGGATATTCCAGAGGGGCATAAGGTTGCGATTTCTAGAAGCTCCCACCTTCAACCGACCTATCCTTGACCATCAGTCGCACATCCGCAACGCGACTTTCATGAAGCGCGCCAACTGTGGTACTGACTAAAACCACCTACATTCATATCTTTTAAATTATCAACCCAGCTGAGTAATTAACTACAGTGGATATTGCATCATTTGTAAAAATTTGATCTTGTCTGTAAACTGGCATGCCTCATGTAACAAACTGTAATTTGAGAATAAATTATTATTATTTTTATTATATGACTTACAAAGCCCATCGCTTAAAATGGTAAAATTTTTATGATGGATAATAAAAACTTTTGAGTTCATTAATGACTTGAAGCTTATTTAAAAGTTATTTGACCTGCCTGAACTACTAAAGAAAAGGACTTGTTATATTTCGATTACCACGGAAGTGCAGTAGCTGCAAATTGAGTCATAAATTTGTGATGAGAATTCTGGTAACTGTAAGTAAAATCTCTTTTTCACACCCAAGTGAATTGATATTTCAGATTAACAACTCAAGATCTCTAAAATCAAACTTAAAAAGCTATATGCCTCGATAAAACAATGAATTACTGTCTAAATTTCCACGACGGTCGTTAGAATGAAGGTAATCGACAAACGAACTTGCCACCATATTCAAACTTGTTGCTTCGCAATGCGGTAAGAAATTAACTGTATACATTTCGTTTAATTTAACGTTGTATACCGGGATGGGTTTAATACTTTTGTGGAGGTAAATAACTCCATAAAAAATAAGTGGTCCCGCCAGTCTTCATTGATATATCTGGCCTCATTGGTTCTACTGGACACACCATAGGTGAAGACTGTTGTTCACCCATCCAAATCAGATCACTACTGAGTGCGTCATGATGCGTAGTACTCACAAAAATAAAACAGCTTAAATCATACACTTCTCGATATATCAACTGTCTTCAAACATGTCTTCTAAATCCTTCATTCTTGACCTCCGGTTTGGCTGAGTTTAAGATTTTTGAGTGTAACGGTGTTAAGACAACAAGTATATTCAAACCCTGAATACCTGAAATGTTGACCTTTTTTGTGGCTCATTAACCTCACTCCAACTTCATCTAAAGATATTGTTAAAGAAGTACAACACTCGACTACCTTTGTGCATAATTATCGACTTTATTTGCCTTGGTAAATAAGGGGATGAGATAAGCCAAGTAGGAGACTAGACTTTGGATACGTATATTTGATACACTCGACTTAGAAATACAATCAAAGAAATGAAGCGCACTAGCAAACCGGATAATGCAAGTGCTGCAACCCAACTTCATAGAGCGTAACTCAATATTTATAGCTAGATAAAAATAACATAGCGATATTCGGTGAATAGGGCGGGCGATCGACACAAGTACCCTCACAGATATCAAAGCGATAAGCGAATAATTGGCTAGGTTAAAATGTAGTTCAGGATGAATAAATAAACTAGTCTATCTGGAAGCCATAGTAACTCATGTAGACTCGACACAGCACGAAACTTTACACTTCAACATGGGTTTACTAAAGTCCGTCTACTGGGCGAGTATCGTATGAGACTTTTCAGTCATAATCATTGATAAAGACCTCCCACAACACTATAACCTACTGTTCAACTAAGGCAAGTGAAGATAAGAAGAGGGAAACGTTAAATTATCTGTTCGATACACAATAAGTATCCCGAATTGCACAATACATGACTGGAATTACTATGTGTAACCAGCAGTGTGGCACACAATATTACGTCTGCATGACCACCTGTATTTTCAAAAAGTCCCATCTAGATGGTGAGTACGTAAGACTTGCCAAAAGTTGGTTCCATCACATGATAGATTCAAGAATTGTCCATGCACCGTAAAGCCCATGGACATTTCCGCATATGGTCCCTAAAAAGAACAGTAGTTAATGGCGCCGTAGTGGTGAATATCTTCAACCTTTTAGTGGAATCGGTTTCTAAACACATGTAACACTAAGAACAGATCCACGATGATGAACGTAGGAGGAGTGAATTAAAATGGCATAGCTCGTTCGTGCAGGTGTGGTTGATCTTCCTAACCTCTCTTTCTGTATCAAATATATGCTATCTTTGAGGAGATTGAGAGTTCTTTTAGTCTGCGAACTGAACGACTCAGTTACAAAATAACGAAATAAGCTAACTATTCCGACGCGTTCCAGACCTGCTAACTAGAGAGAGAAGTCTGAGTTCAGAAGATAGAAAATGTATTCCACAGTCAGCCAAAAGCAAGGACAACAACAAGCGCAACTCAGGCATATATATAGTATAAAAATGTCCTTGGGAAACGTTACAAGATAGCATATTAAAAGAGACAACAAACCAATGACATTAAAGGTCCTACCAAGTGAGAAATACGATATGAAAGTGAAAATGGGCGCTTTCGACGCGAAAACAAGGGGTTCAAATCCCAAAAATAAAATTACAAAAATTAGACGTGTACATCTGAGGATTTAGCATCACCAACAATATATTACCCTCTTCCCAACTCAGAGGTGTTCGTCATAATATTTCTGACCGACACAATTGGACGAGTTAGTGCAGACAATGATAGAACTTCCATGTAAGATCTTATAGTTCAGATGGTCACATGATTACAGACCGAAAATTTTGGGATTAAGTTTAAATTTATGGTAGCACTAATACCGTACTAGACCGAAGTCCATCAACCAAACATAAAATTCACTCCTGACCGCTATCCATTGTCTCGATTCCGCGAGTAAACAGTTAGCTTGAAAATTATAATCATTTCAAAAGTCTACTTGGCTAGGGAGTGAAGCCGAATTCCTTTGGTTAAGGACATTTCAAAAATGGCCAGCATCATGCCTCTTCAACTTTACGAATCTCCGTCTATGCCCTACGGTTTAAAAAATGCTGATGGGAACAGTTAGGAAGACTGTTTCGTGGCAAATCTATGGGTATTGATCATCGATTCACACCGAATAATATCGACACAGTGCTGAACACTTCATCAATTTCCCAATTCATGTGTTCGAGCGATCATCAAGCTCATAGCAGAACGATTTTGCTGAACTGGTATGCATAACGACGTGAATGAGCACTACTATAATGTTTTGAATTATTTGAATTGTATTATGAACTAGGAATCCCAGAATTAACGCAATTGAATTAAGAAGTAAGACACAAGCACAGACGAATGTATTGTATTTGGAATTCGAAATCGAGCATTCAACAAGTACAAAGATATCATTAGTCAATTCAAACACCACATCCGCCACAGCTTAAATAGAAGTATAAGTGTTTGTAATCGGTTGGACGTCTTCCTGTTAAGTTCATCCTGACTCTGTCCGACATTGTATAAGATAAAAAACTTTGTAGTATTTAGAAAGTGCTCATTAGTATTGGAATTAACAAACGAAAGCGGAACAGACTCACCTGGAATTGTATACAATCAGCATATCGGTTTTGTATTGAAATCATTCATATCTAGAATTTGAACCATAGATTTTTCAACACTATCCTCCCACACGAAATAATGTTGGATCTTTATATCCCCAAGTTATGAATAATGTGGCTTTGTAGAATTATGGTCTACTATGATATTAGTACTGCTCTAATAATAGACCTAATCCTAAAATTGTAGATTTGTCATGATATAACTGCCTAATCTATAAGATCTTACGTGGAAGTCACATCATCGTCTACACCAACTCACTGTATCGTAACAACTACCAATACATGATGAAGAACAAGCTTAGGCTAGAGAAGGAACAATATATTTAATATGAATAGAAGATATAAGGTAACATTCAGCAGAGACCACGCCTGCATGGCCGAGTCATGCCATCCGATCAACTCCAGTTCATTCCATTCATTGTTCGCGCCTTCTCCATTGTTAGGTATTTCTCCGCGTTAAATGTTGAATATCTATTTTCTGAGTAGTCTCGTGTTCACAGCTTCGTGGATTGTGTGGCTATTGTTCAATGCCACTACAGCTTCATTTAAAACATATTTCTCACATTGTTTAGAGTAAACATTAGAACTGTTTTTGTGATAAGGGTAAACAGCAGTTGATATGAAATCATCCGAAATGTTATTATTATTATTATTATTATTATTATTATTATTATTAATGGCACTTAGTACTCGTGCTTCGCATTGAGCAGGTTTTTCACAAGGATCAAATGCCTTATGAGGATAGGTAATATATGATATGACATCAGGATTTGATTCTTCTGAAATATTCTCATGAAATTCATCAGGACTGTCGTTGCAGAGCGTAGGATCGTTAGAAAAATCAGCATCTATTTAAACCACATCAGGTTTTCGATTATGATTAGGTTCATTTAACATATTTTCCTCAGAATTGCAAGTAATTTCATTAGAAATATGTGAATCATTGGGAAAAGTCATACCTGGTACAATAGCATGAGAATTCTGATAAGTCGGTTGATTAGGAACCGTTGTCTCACAATAATTCTGGATTTCATTTAACTCTGAACTGCCATATGACTCTGCACTGTCTTTTGAAATCGTTGATAAATATAAATGATCATCATGAATACTCGACTCAGTAGAATCAGAATTAAAGACTTAATATTAGTTGCAGTAAGATGAACAGTAATGTTACAAACTGACTGAATATGTCCAATATCACCACATTTAAAGCACTTAGAATTACAAACTTTACATGAATCAAAAGAGTGGAACTTGCCACAGGACAAACATTGACCAAACTTGTGCCCATCTTCGTGAACTGCATCCAAACTCCTCAATGAATTATATGCACAACCTTGAGTATGCACTGGGTTGGGATGACATAATGCACTGGAATTTTTTATATCCTCATGAATCATTTTACGAGATCTTCCTCCTTTACCGCATTCGAAATTTGTATAATTAACATAGTCTAGCACCAGCTCCTTGAGAGTTGTATAAGGAAGCGAGATAGGCTCTTCCGGCATAGTCAGAATTCTTAATAAGCTGTATGCTTCTTTTCCAATGAATGTGAGGAAGTGTGCCACAATATTAACATCCTCATCATCTTCCTTGGTCATAGCCCAGATTTCGAACCTTTCAAAGTAATCTTCAAAAGCTTCCGAAGTTGAATGAATATCTAACTTTTTGATTGCAAGTTCCATCGCGACGCCAATATAATGTTTTGAATTATTTGAATTGTATTATGAACTAGGAATCCCAGAATTAACGCAATTGAATTAAGAAGTAAGACACAAGTACAAACGAATGTATTGTATTTGGAATTCGAAATCGAGCATTCAACAAGTACAAAGGTATCATTAGTTCATTCAAACACCACAACTACCCAGTGCATGCCACCGGAAACCAAATGTGATTGGGCACAATGAATTCTATTATGCTGTCTTACAACTCCCGATGCTCGCCTCAACCATGTTCATCTTGGTTTGATGGATAATTACCAGATCCAAATGGATAATGTGTTGGCCGCTTCATTTGATGGCCAGAAGAAGCACCCAACAAGGACATTACTACTGAAACAGTGGCCACACCCTCGTAGAGCATCTAAACGACTATTGTGTGTAAAACATTCCATAATCTCTTCCATTTTTTCTCGTTTCCTATTTTCTATGGTTACTTGTTTACATTTTCAATCCTTTTTATGTTTAAGGTAACAAAAAGCCTAAGCTTCTGAAATACCGGACAAACATTTTGCTATGCTTATGCATGTGAAAATATTTATAATAAACCCTGCGAAAACCTCTCTGTATGTAATTTTTCGGCTGTTACAAAATAACCATATAAATATATACCGGTCTTCTTCCTTGACAAACTTTGCTTGCTTACCTTAGCACGAGCATATTTCGACACGCATGGACTTTTCTACTATTTTCTGTTGTATCAGAACAACAGTTTGTGATCAGTAACGAAGTTAGTTCGTCAAAAAGCGATTTAAACGTATGAAGTATTGAATTGTATTATGTAATCGCGACAGATTAGAAGGAAAAATGAACAACAGTGGAAACGATTATTTACATAAATGATCCATTTAACAACGATATGAGTGCGCGAATGCACAAGATTCAAAGGATCCGGTAAACACTCAACTATTCGTAAAAATGTTCAATCAAAGTGGCTCAATTTTTAACTGACGATTATACGTTAACTTTTTAAACTGTTTGCTTACAGTGTCGATTCCCAGTCTGGTTTGTTCCAAGTTTTGTGTTTTTGTTAACTATCGCATATCACTTTCCATATTTTATGTAAGTGCGTTGTGTGCACTTGGTAGGCCGTTGGTTTTCCCTTCATCATTTTCCATATGGATATCCTTCTTTAATCACGTCACTTCATGCTCCCATTAGTACACAAAACACCTTTTGGCTAGACGTGAACCGCTACAACAGCCTAATACATAATGGGATACAGGTGCACTCTAATCATTTCGTTTTCAAGCTAATGGAGTAATATATATGATATCGATATCTGAACTACGATGGTAGTTCATATAAATGTGAAAATCCGACCTACCTGAATTATGACTATATATTCTTGCGAACAATTTGAAAATACTAATGCTCAATAACTAATGGTACAATCACCTATTAACCTTAATGGTTCACTGACGCTCTGGAACTTGGATAAATCGCAAGGTACGTTCGCAAGTTTTGTAGTCGTAATCCAGATAGATCGTTTGTCTACATTCACTTTTTCAGCTACCTGATATTTTATAGTATCAGCTATCCTTTCAAACAAGTGGATTACTAGGACACCAAAAGAGTATGTGAATAGCTACCGGACATACAAGCTTGAATGTGAGCGTTTTTAATTCTTCAACTGTCATAAAACCAGCAGTCGGTCTCACAGAATACATTTAGTGACTGTAATTCATAGTCCATTAGATACTGGACAAGGTATAAGGGTAAGCCGAGAGTCATTTCAATACTGTGTACCTTCTGACCAGTCAATGGATCCCCAACTTTCGTTGATAAATGAAGGCTTTTGATCTGTTCTGGGAGATACAACTGTGTTCAACTTGATTCTTCGTGCACCAGGCACTACTGTTTCTTACGTAAGTAAGGCGAATAATGCGTTGAGGTTTTTTAACTTGGGATCACTTCTGTTAAGATTACATGTAATTTTCTATAAAACGTGAAAATGCAGTAATACCAGTCTCCATTGCGTCACATGTAGATGTCTTGTAGACTACATTTGTACTTCCTGACCATAAGCAATGTTTCATTTTGTTTTCCGTCTCTGTTGCATACTTATTCAACGGAATCAACCTCAGCATAGATTTAGGACATTAAGCGTGTGAGGCCGCAAAAAATGTTCTCGAAAACCCTGCAATTTCATTTGATAAGACTGGGCTTAAATGTGTAACAGTGACAAGGCTAGAACTTCATATTCAGATAAGTGGAAATCACATAAGCTTTTGATCATCATTCTGGTCGTAATTAGTTGACAAGTATTCTAGAGATTCAACCGCTTTGTATATGCTTCATTTGAACTTGTTCAGTATTCTCTGTTTGACAACATAGAGTCAAATCTGGTCTATTTTTGTGTTGGCAGTCTACGTGAGACTGTTATATACTAGAATTGTTTCTATTACATGTGAATCAAGTTCACATTGTTTAAATATCAGTGGGTATCTTTGATATAAACGTCAAATGAGTATACAAGAACCGTCCTAAACTTTTATATATCGTTTTTGTTGGAAGTAACAACTTGTAGCTGACTGACTGACTGATATTGTTTTTGTTAGATCGGTTATTTGGATGTTTAAACATGTCCAGTAATACCAACTTATCACTATATGGCTGTTTACTATACCTTCACTATTCCAGCGATATATATATATATATATATAATGGTTTTCCCTTCTAGATAATCCGCTTGCATGACTACTCAATGACATCATTTGCCGTCACTTGGTTTATAACTACATGCATATCTTCAAAAAGAGGGGATCATAGACTCTAGAACGAGTCGACCGACAGCGTCAATTCAAACCGTTATTTAATTATCTTAAAAACATCCTTTTCATTCCGTAAATTTATGTTCTTTTCTCAAATTACATATTTACTTAATCCTTTGTATTGCCATTAATGCTTTTACTACACACGCAATTAATGAACTGAAATTGTGTGGCGCATATATATTTGGCGCACTCCTGTACCAATATATATGTGTTCAAATAAAAAATAAAATAAACATACCACTCTAGCATCTTACTGTCCTAATAGAGCGTGGCAGCTTTGACCCACATAAGTTCCAAATTCTACACTATATAATTGACTGGGATTTGAACCTATTCTAAACAGAACAGGTCAATTAAGTCTTCATGTTCGTAATAGAAATAAATATACTATCTCTGCTTAGAAGTCTTTAAACTAAATGCGAAAATCCCACTCGATGTTTCTACTAAACAAAAGCTATGGTTGAAAGGCTTCTATGTTCAAATACCAACTTCGCACGTATCTTTTCCTCGCTAAAACCCGTCTAACATCCGTCAATTAGTACAGTGGATTCACTGTCACCAAGCATCTTATTAGTGACAAGTTTGCAAGTGCAAAACGAGTTCTATCTGTTTTAAGATTTCTGCATCATAAAGCTAGGTTTAGTTTGAGATAACTTCCGATTCAACTTTTCGGGGTTTGAATAAGTTTCTAACCATTTACTATACATTAACGAGCTCTTGATACTTGAAGCATGTTTGGCGTTCAGATTTTAACTCATCACCTGTCTGGAACCGTGTTATACAGTTCATTAAAATTTCTATCAACTGGTTTATTTCATAAGGTTTATTATCATCATGATTATTTATTATTCCTTCAATTCCGTATTTGCACCCCGAAAATTCTTCTAAGTTTTATAGGGCAAGGTCATGTTTTTTAAATGAATTTATTGTCTATCAACTCATAAAACTTATTTTCCCTCCTAGATTCTTTATCTGAGGAAAAATTCGTACAAATTTGTGGGCGATATTAGATGTATCATTAACTGAAGTTGACTTTTCAATTTGTTCCAATGCCTACCTTATCTCAATAGTTAACTTACATTGTTATCTGTTGTAATTATAACATAATACAATAAAGTGAATAGTGACAGTGCTACCTTGTCGATAATGGATACATTATTCATTAGTTCAACATTTGATTCATTTGATGTTCTGTATACGTTACTATTTGGACTTCTTGTATTTTGCATTATGGCACCGACTACAGAGTTTATTTCTGCTGGTGTAACATTAGAGAACTTGTTTAATCGATTTCTTGGTAATGAAAGTTTATACTTTGTACAGTATCATTTAAAAAGAACTGTAATGATACGATTATTTTCATCGTCTTTGGTCTTTCGTAAGTTTAATTATCTTCGTTTTTACTTACATTAATGTAGTAGGTATTTAATTTTATATGGTAACTTTTAAGATGTGTTTTATTTGGTGAAAAGGATGTTAGATGGTAATTTAGCTTCGTGGACTAAAATACTTTTGAATTTAATTCACTACATTTATTTTCAAGGATGGCTTCTCAACTAAGATAGAATGAGCAGTCTGGATGTACGACTAACTCTCATGCAATAAATTATAGGTTGGTATGCAATAAGTTTAAACATCTAAGTCGAGTTATCAATTATCTCTGTCAAGGTTATTGTGTTGTTTCCCTCTGTATAATAGTCAGCACAAACTAGAGATACTCACCGGACGTCATTTACTCAATGGAAACTTGTTTATACATTAGTTACTCACTATTTCCGTATGGAACAAGTCTGTACGTTATTTTTCAGTTGTTTTGAGTTCTATATGTTCTTCAACTATAGGAATATTGCCGTTGCTTTCCCAATCCTTGCCTTTGCGTCTGCATTGGATCCTCTTTGTTCATCGATGGCGCTGCCCAGGTACGTGAAAGTTTCCACATCTTCCAGAGTTTCTCCATCAAGTGTGACTAGGTTGGTGTCCTTCATATTGTATTTGAGGATCTTGCTTTTTCCGTTGTGCATGTTGAGGCCTACTGATGTAGAGGTTTCTGCTACACACGTCTTCATCTGTATCTGTTTGTGTTTATGGGATGGAAGAGCTAGGTTATCTGAGAAGCCCGAATCGTCTGTTGCATCCAAGATGTTCATTGTATTCCATGTTTCTCAGATGTGGAGGTTTTCATAATCCAGTCAGCCAACAGAAGAAAAAGAAGGGACGTGAGTAAACAGCCTTCTCTGACAGCGGTCTTCGCTTGGAATGCGTCTGTCAACAGTCCTTCATGGACGACTTTGCACTGTTGGCCGTATACGAATTCCGCATGATGTTGACGATTTTCTCAGGTACACCATAGTCTCGAAGATGGTTCCATAAGGTTCTCGTATCTACACCGTCAAATGCTTTCTTTTAATCAAGGAAGCTGATGTATAGTGACGAGTTCCATTCAATTGATTGTTGAACAATGATCCGTAGTGTCTCTAATCGGTCTGTGTACGACCGATCCTTACGGAATCCAGCTTGTTGATCTTGAAGGTGGGTGTCTACTGAGTTTTTCATCTGGTTCAACAACACTCAGTTGAAAACCCTTACTGGTACTGACTGTAGTGTGATGCCTCTGTAGTTCTCTCACTTACTCAGATCTCCTTTCTTTGGTATCTTGATAAGGTATCCTTCTTTCCATTCTGTTGGCACCTGTTCCTCCTCCCAAATCTTCCTGAATTAAACATAGACTATCTTTGCAGTTACTTCTACATCTGACTTTAGTGCTTCGGCTGGTATATTTTCAGGCCCTGCTTCTTTGCTAAACTTGGTTTGTCTGATGCACTCCCTGATTACTTCATGTTGGTAGAGTGACATCTGTAAGTGGTGCTTCGATGTGCGGTGGGTTCAATGGAGCTGATCTATTCAAGAGTTCTTCAATGTATTCTACACATCTGTTCCTCTGTTCTTAAGTCTCAGTGATTGGCTTGCCTCCTTTGTCCTTGACTGGTTTACAATTTTTACCTACTAGTTCCTTCGTTGTTTCGTATAGTAATCTTATATTTCCTTTTCTTGTAGCTTTTCCACTGTCATTGCTAGTTCTTTCACGTACTTCTGCTTGTCAGTTCTAATGCTCTTCTTCACTTGCTTGTTTACTTCTGTGTATTCAGCTTGTGCCTTAACTCTCTCTGTTCTTGTTCGGCTGTTGTTAATTGCTGTCTGCTTGTTCTTCCGTTCTTGAATCATGTCTAGGGTTCCGATGGAGATTCTTTCCTTATGATGATGCTTCTTTCGACTCAGAACCTCCTGGCACGTTAAAGTTAATGCTTCTTTGATCCCTTTCCAATTGTCCTCCATAGTAGTTTCTTTCAATAGATTCTTCAAAAACATGACATGTGAAAAAAAATGTGACTAGATATCTGTAAAATTTTTACCAATGGTCATTAGAAAACCCATGTCTACTTATACTTAAATCCCAAAAAGTCATAAATATATTACTCGGTACACTAATGGTTAATACATATGGCTTCAAGCAGAGAAATGGGTCGCAACTCGTCTTCAGCTTATTCTGTTTAAATGGCTGGGCACCCTTACTAGCTTTTACGTAATTCAAGCACAATTTGGAGCCGAGTGCACAGATATGTATTTGACAAATAATTTACTTCGTATATTACATTTAATTACATGACGGTAAAAATAAAACATTTTTATTGTTATTTATTTTTGGTGCCTGTGCGATCAAACCATAAAATAAGAGCAGTCGTATTGATCTATTCTGATATTTCGATTATTTTGCCAAAACTGTTCATCTAGTAATAATGACAATGATAGTGAAATAACAACTGCGAATAACACAATGACTATCGGTTCAGAACTTAGTTTTTCATACTTGATCGCTCAATATCCAGGATAGAACAGGACTTCAGGCAGATAACTTCTAATTATACAATTCAAATTTATAAGGTACTCATACATTGATATAGAGTCAAATCCCGATCACACCATAAGTCTATATAGGACTGATTAATGTGTCTATAGTAAAGTACTAATAACTTAATAAAGATACAATACATAATAACAGTTTACGCATCACGAAAAAGTTTACAAGTAGGCGAATATAAAATTCCATAGTTTAAATATGTAATAGTCATACAACAAAGGTACAAACATTAACTTTATATAGGGCATTCTGAAAGCTCAACTACGCATAGTATTTATCCCATCATAGCATTTATTTAGCTTTAATAATCTATGTTAATACTTAATATTTCTAAGATTTTTGTGCAGGACTATAATTTATGGACGAACCAATCGGGTATAAGATAACAGATCTTGGATTTTGGCGCGAAATTCATTCATCCGTTTGGCTAACTAGTGTTTTGGCATTATAGTTGATGTCAGTTCGTGATAAAAACCCTAAATCTAGTTCTTAATCCTAATCATCAACTGTAAATCATAATTCTAATTCTTCACACTGGTTTATAACCCTCATTTAGTCCTGCTTAGTAGGTGAACATTCTCAAGGTCACTTTAGCATTGCTCAAACGTCCTTCATTAATTATGGTTTCACCAATTTTTATTACGCTTCTTGTTTATTTATTATTTTTTCTAAATTGTAGTGTATTTTGTGTTCATGCAGTGTTTGTCCAAAAATGTAGCGATTTCTGCTCCAAATATTTCATTTCCATTTACAATTTGGGATGTAATTTTATGGATTGGCATAGGCAGTCTATCTGTCATTGGGTCACATACTTATCTAGTTTGGTATGGATCTGGTACATGGTATGGCCACCCAACAATTTTATCATTGAAACGGATTATTATGGAATCACTACCTGATTCACAATTGTCATCTTCAGCCACAGCATCATCATCCTTGTCAAATGGCGCATTTAGTGTCGCGTAAGTATATTTTACAACAGATATTTTTCTGTATACCTAGTGAATTAAGGATAATTGTTGTGCTATTCAAAACCTTATGTACTGTCCATATTTTGGCCTTTAAAATAGTGATTCAGTCGTGCAGAATGGTACAATGCGGCGAACTTATAGTGGCTTTTTCATAAAACAGCGTCTACTGACTTGAAAGCCCCTGATTAGATTGTGTAGTTTTGTGACGTAAAGTGTCTTCAAGCAAAAGTTATCGCTAAAAGATACCCAAGTAAATTAAGATTTGTAATCAAATTACCTTAGCATGATGAATCAAGATTTTCACTGAGTTCTTTGTGTATTGATGCAGTACAGAGCTGTAGAAATGAGTGTATTGTCCATTTGACTATTCTTTTATATACCATCTAACTTTATTATTAATCCGACTTCTAAAAACAAACCACTATTGTCTTGTTCTTTATTCTAAAAGGAATGTAAAATATAGGTAAATGTTCGTAAATATATCTCATAATATCAATATTTTCCAATCTAAAAGTACTGGAAAATCGTATTATTATGAAATCAGAGATACGTCAAGCCTTTTTTATCTATTAAATACTTAAAACAATGTGTTTAATCATTCACATTAATAAGTCTATTCTTATTTGTGACAGTCACTCCTTAACTTGTTCTGAATCACACTATTCTCACTAGTTTGTTATTTTGTCTTATACTTACTTATATTTAAGTTTTCTTCGGTATATGAGCCCAGTTTAACTCTAAAATTTAATGACTGTAGAGACCACTGATCTTTATTTCATCAGATAACTTTGAATAAAGGGACAAATGATCAGAAATAGTATGAAATAGAGTTAGATTATGCTTTATACTGGGCACCCACAAATAAATTTTCAAAGAAAGCAATCTCATTCAGAGAAATAATTATGTCTCGTACCTAACACTAACTCAGAACTATTTTACTAATCAAATACTTTAAAAATCAAAACTATCACCTCCTCTTTTCGTTGTATGAACGTGATTCGGCATTGTTGTTTAGCATATTGTGTAGAAAATTCTAAGAAATTCATCAATAAACAATAAATCAAATCTTAAGGGTAAAACTGATCATCACTAACCTGCTATGCAGCTGATATACCGTGATCTAATTTTCAAATGATTGTTGTCTTATGACTTAACACTTATAATTGTGCTGAACAAATAATATCACATTTATTAACTACAAAAAACCTTTCTTTCTATATTCCCGTCAAAATATCACTTACCATACGAATGAAGCTGGTTCAATCTGATTGAAATACAAAAAATCCTTACTATTGTTACTGGTATTTTCCAAACTGTTGAATTTTTAAACTCGAATTAGACCAATAATCAGTGACTCCATGTGTTGATGTAATTTTCCTAACTGACTACTCATTAATTTTTTGTCAACAAAGTAACGAATCAAAGTGGATGATAAAACTTAAAGTTTGCCTAGCTGACTTGAGAACCTTGTTCCAATGTTATAAATGATCACCCACACATATTATATATATATATATATATATATATATATATATATATATATATATATATATATATCAGTCCAGTTGAAGTCCAGTATAAATCCAGTCTTTTAGGTTAAAATAGATTGTAAATAATGATTAATTTGTAATGTTTATCGCACTTTGGTGCGAAGTCTTAATTTCCTAAGTTAGCTTATTATTCCTATGTTGATGATAGCATTTTTAACTTTGGAAATAGATTGTTTTATTTTCGTGACCTCAAAGAAATTCTCCATTCCCATGATCCGCCAAAAGTTGTATTTAAAAGTTAACATAACACAAACCTGATTATCTAGTGAGATCGGTATTGTATTCGTGGACAGTTGGAGCTGTGGCTTAGTGGTTAAGATGCTCAATTTTCAGCTGACTAGTCCTAGCCTCGGGTCTCGTTCCATCTACTTCGGTTCGGATAACCTAGTAGTATCATTAGCCTACCCACTTGAAGTGTGTTTCATCCCCTAAAGTACATGGAGAATAAGTTAAATTATTTAGATAGCAGATAAATTCTTGACTCACTCAGTTTTTTGAGTTTTTAAATCACTTATAAAATGATGATCAATTTTTGAAGTGCTTTATAGAATACTTCATATTCTAACCTCAATTTTGTTTTAGTATAAAAGCTTTGATATCTTCAATAAATTCTGAATATCAACGTTCTGATAAATTCGTAGCAGGTCAAGGAAGTTTATCAACAAATTGGTCAGGTCGACGATTTGTTATCACAGATTCATGGATTTTAACTTCACGTTTTACTGAATTCAAAATACTTAAACAATCTTCGGAAAATATGTTAGCTGTTGTTGTTTCAGCATTTTCAGTGCTGGACCCAAGCTCTCTAACTCAAGGTGGTCAACCTGACGGAGAAAGTCTCGGTGTGCAAACAATTGTAACAGTGAGATTTATACGTACAGATACAGGAGTGTGTTTGCTTAGTTTTGGGTAAGTAGTAATAAGTGTACATTGTAAGTAAGCTGTCACTGTATTTATTTTGATTGGTAGTTTTCTAGTCACAAGGTTAATGGATTGATTGAATCTAGTATCAGCATTGATTCAATCAACCTGAAGTGATTCATCTTGATACTTTCAATGTTATCCTCAGAAAGTTGTTAACCCATGGGTTTTAATTTATTCTAGTCTCCCATTGGTGAATAAAAGTCAAAGTCACTTCCTTTCAGATGTATAGTGTTGAATTATTTCCAGACCATAGCTGCTTCTTTGATGTGGTTGTCGGACTTGTTCATCGTAATGACCCAGTTGAGGTAATTGGCTAAAACAAAATCATTTACATCTTGTATTTACCATACCAGTTGGCGGAAGTTAGTAAGAGTAAAAGCACCAAACTGAACTTTCTAGGGCAAGGCTATACTGGTAACGCACAGAGGTGAAATGGTAGTAAGAAGTTTCCTTTTGACAACCGTCATCTCCAACGATGGTGTTTTCTGACAGCAGATAGAGTAAGTTTATGTAAGTAGATCATTCACCAGGCACTTCTAGATATGAGCCACGCTTAGTCTAAAGGTTAATGATACTACCAGGTTGCTCTAAACGAATTAGGTAAGTCGGGGTTCGAATTTGGGACTTTGTGGCTGAAAGTTAAACGCCGTAACCCTACTAAGACAATATCTTGCTGGAGTATTTTTCTATCATGTAGGCAACCGATCAATAATAACCACCCTGATACTTTTTACAGTACTCAAGATCACCTTGTTCATAATCGAATTTCTCCTTCAATTCTTTATATTCCTCGATTCTTACTCTTAAGTTAATCAACATAATGTTTTTTCCTGAGTGGCATTCAAATTCACGCTGTTTTGAATATTTGACTCGAAACAGAATCAAACCATAATTTGTATATCTCTTGTTTAATTAATTCGCCTCAATATGTTCATTTCTGATCATTTCCACCGTTACACATCATTGAGTTTCGTGTGATTTATAACGTTTGAACACTTGATTTCTGTGTTTGCTGACTGATTAGTGTTTTAATAATCCTAAGCGTCATAAATTTTGTGAGCTAAAAACTTTTAACACCAACAATAAAAATGTCGCTTTGTATTTTCAGTAGACTTTATACTGATGAGATCAATCGTAATTCTTCTAATATTATTTCCAATTTATTATTTCAAGATTGCCAGCATCAAATTTAGATGAGTTACGCAGTAAACTACGTTTCCCTTTAATACAAGCACAAGGTGTACAATTAGAGCCAACAATTATTCAAAGATTTATTGAAGCATTTACACAAGTAGTTGATGAAAATCAACCGGTAAACCTACCAGCTGGCTATGTGAGTTGTTTATATTTCATGTGTACAACTATGAACAAAATACTTCTTAATTATTAATGCTCAATCAAATTTAAACATTAATTTTATGCTGAATCTTGTCATACCTCTATTACCCCCCAACTATCCAGTCAATTGTATTAATTCTGCTAACATCTTACCTGCCTTAGCAAAACAAGTTTATATATTGATTTACTCGTTACACAACCAAAATACTATTTTAGCTACTCAGTGTACTTAATCAGATATTTGTACAATTCTTCATTCATTAAGGATGAACAGTATTTGTAGTTCAGGCTAAGCATTTTGGAGGCACTGTGTTTTCTGAGCTAAATAGTTCCATCGTGAAGTTTTAATTGTCTTTCCAGACAACATCATGATTTACTTTTTGAAGGCTTCACAATTAAACGATCTAGCTCAGAAAACAGGACATCTAGAAAAGAATAGTTTAGGTTTTAATCTTCATTTTGAGTTGATAAAACCAGCAACAGTCAGTCGATATCTGGCATGAATAACGCAAAGAAAATAACCAGTTCAGTATGATCGAACATTAACAAATAAAAACTGTTCTAGTTTTTTAACTAACCAGTAAAATGCGGACAACACAATTGTGAAATAAAATAAGTTACTTATAAGTAATGTAACTAGATTATGCAATATCAATGCGACACAATAGTTCAGCAGTTGGATATCAAACTACTTGATTGTTGAATTTTCTTTTTGTATCAATTGATTCAGTTAAAGGTATGCTCAGAAAGAAATCAATTGTACGTAACTAATGTATGTATTGCATAATCCTATGTTTTGAATAAAACATATATTGATGTTAGATGATTAGAGACTGTCGACAAGAAATCTTAGACCTAAGTCACGTGCTGGTTGACTTTCATCAGCAGGACATATCTACATCATTTGGATAATTGGTATTCCCTAGTGGATTTGAATATGAATCACCTAGTTTCACCATTCTGAGACGTTACCACTGTGTTCTATCCAGATAGTGATGAACATTGTATCGGACTGAGATATTTACAATTGACCAATCATTAAGCAGTGATCAATGTCATATTTGTTTAGCCCTACTTCAATGTTAATTTTACTGAAATAAAAAATGTCAGTGAAGTAGAAGGGATTTTAACTTGGTGTTATGATGTAATATGGTGAATAAAATGTTAACATCCTTGGTTTTTTTGTTACTTTCATTTTGACCGTTGGTTAAACATTTCCATTATATAAAATCATACTAACATAGTTGAATACTTTGTTCATAATTGATAGTTTCAATTTCCTAATAATGCCGTTCTAGCTAGTAGCTCTCTCTCCTATACAACGGGGTCAATCAGAAATCGTACGAATGATGTGTACACGATTGGTCAAGCAATGCCTTACATTGCCTAGGAATGAGACATACACCATTGATGGCTTGATTTTGTAGGGGATATATATACGAGTATGGGAACAAAAGTTTCTTTCTGCATCGAGTACTGAGAACTTGAGTACCAGTACGAATTCTCGTACACTAAATATCACAACAGTGTCTTATGCGGATGAGGTTTAAAGCTCAGTTGCACGAGTAAAATACACTTGCGGTCACTCACTCACCACAGTAGTTCCGTCAGCCAAGTATTCTCTCAAAGCACTTTTGATAGTCGGTTATGTTACTTGACTGTTAAGCAGTAAGTAATGAATTTAAATCATGTCCTACGTTTGCTGAAGTTTCTGAAGCCTAATGATGGGAATAACCTTCACACAATAGTGCTAGTTTATTGTTTGGCTCAGAAACTTGTATGTCATTCCTTATGTACACTATTTTACGGTATGACCTAAATGTAATATGTATATTTCGATTAATAAGATGCTGTGTGCAGATTTCTCTATTTGAAGTTACTTTTCGTTGCAAAGTGACTGAAATCAGGGACTACTGAATAGCTGTCAGGTTTCAACTTAAAACTGTTCAAGAGTCCCCACCTCATCCACTATTCCAAAGGTATCCTCAACGTCGCAAGACCTCAAGTTCGTAGAGCCAGTCATAAGTACGGTTGCGAGTGCACACGGCTAAGGAGTCTAAAAATTTAACAAAACTGCTGTTTATCACTTCGTATTCCTCGGTAATTCTTCAGCTGATGTAAGTCTCTTATAGAATGACTAAATTCATGTCTGTAAACAATTTTTATTCCAAAAGTTTTATCAGTATTTAATAGATTGAATATGTCAATCAGAATTCATATGCTACCTTCGGTTGTGTTTTGATATCAAGTCTTCTTTTCTTTACAAAATTTCTGCTGTTTTAATCTAGAAAACGTTTGAATGAACATATTTCAGCAGCAAAACGTAAACTGTCAGAATTACCGGTGTTTTGAAAATAGCGTCGTTCTTAATTTTTTTGGCATTTTCTAATCCTTAAACATTTTATTCCCAAAAATATCGTATACCCTGTCATTCTTCATCTTGTCTGATTATTTTTATAAACTCACTTTAACAGAAATATTCAATATTTTCGAGAGTATATATGTATCTTCATAATATTTTCCTGTCATATGTGGTTCGAATTTCAACTCGTCCAAATCAAAACATAATATGTTTGTGAGACCATAGTACAAATTCTAGTACATAGACAATTTATATCTGCTCACTCGGTTATTAATTTGTCGCTTCATATTTTTGATAGTGTTTCACTCATTTTTATTCTTTCGGTTTTTATTAATTATCTTATTGCACACTTTATTGTTATATTTTTTATACCTTTAAAGGAGTTGGAACAGTGCATTGGGTGTATGGTACAACAAGTTAATGTCACTTTAAATCGTCAATGCGAAAGTTCACTCACCCCTTCTTCATCATCAGCAGCAATTAATAGTAATCAATCATTAGATAGTAATCAATGCGGTATATGTTATTGTAGACCATTATGGTGTTTAGAATGTTTAGCACGTTGGTTTGCTTCAAGACAAACAAATATGCGGTGTCCACCAACTCAATGGCTTTCTGGACGTGTACCTTGTCCAACATGTCGTACATATTTTTGTGCTCGTGATGTCTCACGACTTATTATTTCTCATCGACAATTGGACTGAAATCTGTTGTATTTAACAGGTAACATCAGAAAATGTGATTCATTTGTGATACCAATCGGTTTTTCCCTTTTCCTACACTTGAACAATTCAAACATATATATATATATATATATATATATATATATATATATATATATATATATATATATGCTCTGTCCTACCGTCTTTCTACCTGTCCTTCAAATGACTTGCTCTTGATTATTTTGTTACCTCAGTAACTATTGAGTAAAAACTGGTTTCTTTATCGTCTCCCATCCTATTGGGGTGTTCTTTCCTTCATTCTCGTTTTTGGTATCTTATTTTGTTCCTAATTTTTTATAATTCCTAACATGTTTGTAGTGTATAGTGGGTTAAACAAGTTGTGTATAATAAATTGATTACAAAAGCACTTCAGGTTTTTTCCGTCAAGTAAAATGAGCAATTTTTGTTTGTCTGTATTGATTAGTTATTTTTTATCATTGGAGGGATTTTGTGGGGGTTGATTTAATTTTTAGGTTGTATTTGTTATAGATTGATCTGAGTTGATGTATTATTGGAACCATGGAGCACTGGGTAACTGTTTTCTCCTAGCATGGGATTCATTAGCAGTATGCACCTATGACCTCATTAGGAGTCGAATCCAACGGTTTAGATCCTATACTAAGCCAAAATAGCCGCCTATAGCTTCCTGGCTTTCGGTGGTATTGCGATTGAGATTAGTGTGCAATATAAATGGTCTATAAATTATTATTTCTTCAAAGTAAAATGCTTGTGAATATTGTTTTTATTGGAGTCAGTTCCCATTACAAACAAGGATTCCAGGATTTCAAGTGAGAAAGTGTAATTAAATGGAATATAACAGTAAGCCAAATATCACCTATGTTATTTGGATAACGGCGGATCTGTATTACAAGTCAACGGGATTTAGAAATATTTACCATTTCGGATTGTGAACTTAGTGGTTTTAATGCATTGTGCTCTCCAAGATGTCGGAAAGTTTTATATTCGACGATGTTTAAGGTCTTGAAAGTGCTCTACTGAAGAGTTTCAAAATTAGGACAACGCAACATTCAAACTATTCTGTTCTCGGTTGATAAATAATATTCGTTATCTGTCAGTTCAAAGTAATCAATTGGAGTTATAATGAATGATGAAATGATTCTCGTAATAAGTGGATATCAATATATTAAACATTAGGAACCATTGAATATATACTTACTTACTTACGCCTGTTACTCCTCATGGAGGAGCATAGGCCGCTCACCAACATTCTCCATCCAACCCTCCTGGGCGATCCTTTCCAGCTCATTGATTATATACGTTTCCCTATTGTGCGAAAAATCTGTCTTACATTTCTATAACTTCCCTTGGCTTGAAATCTTTAAACTGTTCACTAAATGGAATTTCCACCGTTTAATTTTCTTATAGCATGACTTAAATTCCAGTGTTATATGTGTGTTACAAGGCTACTTATTAACTATAAGTAGTTGAGATGCTTAATTAAGATTTCAGAAGTCTTCTTTCAGTTGATTGTTACACAATGAGTTTACATTTGTAAAGTACGATCGATGAAACAGTGTTTTATATAAGAATAATTATCAAAATTATGATAAATTAATTAATATTCATTAACTATATCAAATTCAGCAATCACAAGAAATATATCGAAATGAGAGAACTGTACATACATTAACACCGTTGGATGCCGGCTCACTGGTCTAGTGGTAAAGTGCTCGCGTGCGAAACCTGTAGGTCCTGGGTTCGAATCCCGTGGGGTGCGGGGTCGTGGATGCGCACTGCTGAGGAGTCCCATACTAGCATGAAACGGCCGTTCAGTGCTTCAAGGTTTTCCATGGTGGTTTAGCTTCAATTGACTCATGATTTCAACCTGTGAAATAACTAAATGTTTACTGTACACACAAAATTGAAGATAAACTGTCAATAACGTTAAGAGAATATAATTATGATAATAAGTGAATTGAATGTTATGAATTCTTGTATTTGCTTAGAATTATCATATATAACGATGAAGAAACATGATAAGCTATATATTTCACATAAACATTTGTCAAAATTTAAGTAAATAGCTTAATAGAAATTAGATCAAAAGTAAAATTATATTTGAAATGATCTTATCGAATAAAATTTAAATGATTTCAACGTTTTACTTGGCAAACTGGTTTTAATAGTTAAATTTATGAGTCAATTAAAGCTAGACCACCATGGGAAACCTAGAAGCACTGAACTCCTTAGCAGTGCGCATCCACTGTCCCGCTCCCGGGATTCAAAACAAAGACCTATCGGTCTCGTACACGTACGCTTAATCTCTAGACTACTGAGCCGACAGGCATCCAACGGTGTTAATGTCTAACTTCAAATAATCTCCGAAGTTGCGCCACCGTCCACCATTGTCTTCAATGAGTTACTATTTCACAGCAGACCTGACTGAACTACACTGGTCATGGCTTCTCACGAAAACTCTTGGAGATAGTTACTGGTGCTGAGGAGTCCCATACTAGGACGAAAGGGCCGTCCAGTGCTTCTAGGTTTTCCATGGTGGTCTAGCTTCAATTGACTCATGAACTCAACCGTTAAATTACTATAATATCCACAATACCCCATCTCTGATTTTAAACTGGTTTTAGTTTCCTTTAGGGGATTAACCAAAATCAACGTTGAAATTCTGTCATTAAAGTTCTTTAAAATAAATGTTTTTGGATACTAATAAGCTATATATGTTCAAAATGATTGATTTTCACCAAACGGTTCTTTTAAAATAATATTGGTGAGATTTTTTGAACCATTATTCATTTTTTAAATCTTATACTATTGTTATAATACTAATGTTCTCTAGTAGGAACTTGTATTTTGGATCCGTAAAGGAATCAGCTTTATCGTCTGGTCGCCTCTATTTGCATTTACCAGTCCACTTACTCTTGTGTAGCAAGGTTCATAGGCCATAGCAAGCGCTTGCTTTCAACTTGGATATGAGGGAATATCCCAGTATGGTTCTACAACGGTGAGATAAAAGCAGTTAAGAGTTCTATTCTTGAAAATTTAATAGACTCCAATTACTCCATTGATCCACAGGTTGATTGCAAGGTTGTTTACACAATCCGTGCAAAAGTACCTAGATTTCTTCGTACCCAACTCCTTAAAACAACAGAAACTATTGCTATCCATGAGTTGAAGCCAAAACTGTATGTACCAAAGAAGTACGTCATATCCTTATCGTTACCTTGGCCTTAAACTTATTATTATTGTTATATTTCGTATTTGAAAATATATTCCTCTCTTTCTTTTTAATTCTGTCTCATATCTTTATGATTTTATCCATAAATGTTTCTGATATTATTTCATTTTATTATGCACTTTTATCATCTTTAATTATTGTAACAAAAACATTGTAATTTCAACAGTTGAGATCGTGAGTCAATTAAAGCTAGACCACCATGGAAAACCCGGAAGCACTGAACGGCCGTTTCGTCTTATTGTGGGACTCCTCAGCAGTGCGCATCCAATGACCAGTGGAGTTCAACCGGGTCAGTTGTGATTTAGTAACTCACTGATGACAATGGTGGATGTGTCGCTCAAATTCGTGGATTAGTTAAATTTAGACATTAACATCGTTGGGCGCCGGCTCAGCGGTCTAGTTGGTCAAGCGCCTGGCGCGAGACTGATAGGTCCTGTGTTCGAATCCCTCGGGGCGTTGTCGTGGATGCGCACTGCTGAGAAGTCCCACGCTAGGACGAAACGGCCATCCAGTACTTCCAGGTTTTCCATAGTGGTCTAGCTTCAATCGACTCATGATCTCAACTGTTGAAATTACTACAATCTCCACAAAACTTCTTCTGGTACCAAAAAACATTTTAATCATCTTACTTTATTCACATAATAATTCGTTGCTAACTTATTAATTTTACATGACTTTTTATTAGCAGACACATAATATTTTATTGTTGTTATTCATATTACGTAATCTAGGATTATAATCTTTCTATTACGTCATCATGTTTATTTTTTGTTCATATGTCGTCACGGTGCTTCTATGTATATACTATTGTACAGCCTCGTAATAAATTCGTTGAAAGAAAAGATCCCTTCGCTAAATTTCGTTTTTTTAATATTTAAACAAGAATTCTGCATCAAAGTACATTTCGTCATTTTGTTTCGTATAAAAAATGTACTAATTTTCTATTTATTGACAGATTCACTGAATGTTGTGATGTTATACCTTATTTATAAGGTTAAATGAATCATAAATAGCAATCAAAAGAGATTTTTAGCCACTACCGTTGTTGTGTACTACCGGTTCTTTTTGTAAGATTGAACAAGAATTTCTATATATATATATATTGATACATATGGAGGGCGTTAAAAGTAGTCACGAAAATGAGGAATCTGTTGTTTGCATAATGGACAACATACACTTGAAACGTTGCTGTCTTAAATTGGTTTGCGTTAAAGTTATTCAAAGAATCAAATTTTTCTTCCTCAGAATTTTCTCATATTGACTTACTTGAAACTTATCAACTGCAATTAATATATTCAGTCTAGAAAATAGCGATATGCTAAAATCATTCATATGGATGATTTAAAAAATCTAATTATCCAGTCTTTCAGTTGAACACAATAATAATGTTATAATGTAAGGATGTTTGATTTCCTCAAACAATCGATATGTTTTTGATCCAGTCCTCAAGAACCTTAAGTTGTTTCAATGGTATGTGGTTAGTAGACTAAAATTTAATCTTGTTAATAAATGACAATCTATTTTGTTTATCATTTATCAATCAGTTTATTAGACCTATTTCCCATTAGAGTTGGGAAAGTTCATTCACTAAATTTTATTCTTTTAATTCTACCGTTATACGAGTGTACTCAAAAATATAAACCAACCTGTTTGGATCACTAAAGAACATTGAAGTTGAGCACTTTTAAAACGTCCGAGTGTAGGTTATTTTTAACTGATTCTTTTTTTTACTTTCATGTCGAATATCTTTGTGAAATGTATTTCTCAGGGACTTCGGACTAAAAAATGGTTCTGATGACTCTATAGATCATAGTGGCGTTTAATTTCCCTCTGATGTAAAAGTGTGGTTATCATTTTCTTCCTACCTTGACTATTTGTCCTAATTTCTCTCTCTATCCCTCCTAGGCTATCACAGACTGTAAATGTATGGTAAACACTATAATCTATTATCTCTATTCATTTTGTAGACTCTAAAACTATTTTCGTCCTAATGCCGAACTGAATGGGTGCAGAACACAGTGTTAGTCAGCAGAAGTCACATAATTTCACAAGAGATTCTCAGCTAAATTCTTTTCAGTCAACAAAAAGATCTGGTAAGTATGATTGCTCTAAATAAACTGTAACTTGTTAGAATCTCTGTAACTCAATCTGTTATC